TAAAACATATCAATAAAAAAAAAATCTAGAAAATAAAAGAAAAAAAAACCCAATTTGAGCTGGCTCCGCAAAGAAATCAAGATGCGCCTGAAGCGTCAATTCCTACAACACAATGTGGAGGAACAGGCACGAAGGGAGCTACAGGCCTTGCGGCACACGGGGAGTGTTCGAGACTATGTGCAGAGCTTTAACTCGTGTCTATTCAGCATTACAGACATGTCGGAGAAGGATAAGCTCTTCTTTTTCAAGGAAGGGCTGAAACCGTGGGTGCGCCTGGAGCTAAATAGAGCAAGGGTCGGAACTCTCGAGGAAGCCATAGTCCAAGCGGAAAGGTTGGTGGATTACCATGTGGAGACGAAGAAGGAAGTGAGGCCGACCAACAGCGGTGCCCCTAAGAGTGGGGGTAACAAGTTTGGGAAGCCGAGCTTCAGTGCTGCTAAGAGTGGAGGAGATCGTGCCCCTGCTCAATCCGCAGGCGGGTCTGGCGGACAGGGCAGCTCGTGGGGTAGTTCGGGTGGCCAGAACGGTGGATGGAGAGCCTCCACCAGTGCGCAAGGTTCCACATCGAGACAAGGATGCTTCTTGTGCAATAGTCCGCACTGGGCCGCGGAGTGTCCCGAGAAGAAGATTGTCAATGCCCTGCTCGCGGTTGATGCTGAGTCCCAGCAGGGAGACTCTGTGGCGGAGGCGCAGACTGAAGAAGAGGAAGAGGCGGGAGAAGACGCGATGGGCGCCTTGTTCCATTGTTATGCCATGAGTCCAGTGGAGAAGGCACTGGCAAAGCCTTCCTTGGAGCAGAAACTGGATCGGGCTATCGCGAGGCTCCAAGCTGAGAAGCGTGGGCTTGCCAACAAGAAGGGTGTGTCCCGAGCCGTGGAGACGCTAGTGGACGGCCTTGGAGGCGGAGAGATCGAGTATATACAACCGGTTCGTGGGATGGATGAACGGTTGCTATATGTCGACTTCATTGTGAATGGAGAGTTCATTCGGGCGATGATCGACACCGGGGCATCTCACAATTACCTCTCGCACACGGAGGTGGAGAGGATGCGCTTAGTTCTCACCAAGTCCACAGGAAAAGTGAAGGCCATCAATTCAGCTGCTCAACCCATCATAGGGGTAGCCAAGAATTGTAAAGTGAAGGCGGGATCATCTGCGGCACAAACGGAGTTCCATGTGGTGAAGATGGATGACTTCAAGTGCATCATCGGCATGGACTTCTTGCAAGCTTTCCAAATTGCCATCTATCCTTATGGCAATGCCTTGATCGTGCTGGGGGACAGACCATGCATGATCCAAGGGACTGCAGGGAAGAGTGGAGAGGGGAACATCTCTGCTTTGCAGTTCAAGAAGGGCTTGAAGCGGAACAAGGTGAGCTACCTAGCTTACCTTTGCTGGGATGAGATCAAGGAGAAGTTGGGGCCGGTGGATCTGTTGGTGAAGCAGTTGTTGGAAGAGTTCCAAGATGTGATGCCGGATCAGCTACCGAAGCGGCTGCCTCCCAAGCGCGAAGTGGACCACGAGATTGAGTTAATCCTGGGGACAAAGCCACCTGCTCGCGCTCCTTATCAGATTTCACAACCTGCGCTTGCGGAACTTCGCAAGTAGCTAGCCGCGATGCTTGAGGGTGGCATCGTCGTGCCAGCGAAATCCCCGTATGGTGCACCAGCATTATTCCAAAAGAAGAACGATGGTACCCTGCAATTTTGCGTGGATTATCAGGCGCTCAACAAGATTACTGTGAAGAACAGATACCCGATTCCACTCATGGCTGATTGCTTTGATCAACTTTGTCGCGCCAAGTTCTACACCAAGATCGACCTGCGCTTGGGATACTGGCAGGTTCGCATCAAGGATAGGGATCAACATAAAACTACTTGCGTGACGAGGTATGGGGCCTTCGAGTTTCAAGTCATGCCCTTCGGACTCACTAACGCCCCGGCCACCTTTTGTAACCTTATGAACTAAGTACTACAGGACTTCATTGACCAATTTGTGGTGGTGTACCTGGACGATATCGTGATCTACAGCAACATGCTGGAAGACCACCTGGAGCACTTGAGGTGCGTACTGGCTAGACTTCGGGAACACGAGCTCTATGCCAAGCCCTCAAAGTGTTTGTTTGCTCAGCAGAGGATTGATTTCTGAGGACACATCATTGAGCCTGGCAAAATCCGCATGGATCCTAAGAAAATCCAAGCTATCACGGACTAGAAGCCACCTAGCAGTGTCAATAGAATTTCGATCATTCCTTGGACTTTCCAACTACCATCGATGTTTTGTGAAGGATTATTCCAAGATAGCTTTACCTCTGACGCACTTGCTCAAAAAGAGGAAGACATGGAGTTGGGAGCCTTCGTGTCAACTGGCGTTTGAACGGATGAAGACGAGCATGTCCACTGACCTTGTACTTGCACTACCCGACATGTTAAAACCTTTTGAAGTGGACACGGATGCCTCAGACTTTTCTCTAGGCGGAGTGTTGATGCAGGAAGGCCACCCGGTGGCATATGACAGTCGCAAGCTAAACGGTGCTGAAAGCCGCTACTCCGCCCATGAGAAAGAACTGCTAGCCGTTGTGCATTGCCTGCGTGTGGAGACATTATTTGCTGGGGGCACCCTTCGTGATGAGGACGGATAACACTGTTGTTAGCCATTTCATGACCCAGCAAAAGTTGAGTAGCAGACAGGCGCAGTGGCAAGAGCTACTTGCGGAGTTCAATTTCACCCTAGAGTACCGTGCGGGGAAGACCAACCAGGTTGCGAATGCCCTAAGTCGAAAGGGACAACTTAAAGTCCATCACATGTTGGCCTTACAGGGGAGTGAAGTTTCTACGGGTATTAAAGACCAGATCCGTGACCTTCTGAAGGTGGATCCGGGCGCAGTTACACTGGTTGAACTCGTGGAGCAAGGAAGGGCTAAGCAGTTTTGGCTTAGCGACGGCCTCCTTTATACGAAGAAACATGCCTCTATGTTCCTAGGGGTGGCGAGCTGCAAAGAAAGATCATGAAGGAGTGCCATTATACCTTTTGGGCGGGACACCCTGGAGCTGAACGGACCCTGGCGTTGGTGCAGAGAAGGTACTACTGCCCTTCTATGGCAGACGATGTGGACAACTTCGTTCCCACGTGCCTCACCTGTCAACAAGATAAGTCAGATCATAACAAGAAGGGTGGGCTCTTGCAGCCTTTTCCCAGGCCTAGCAGACCTTGGGAAACCGTATCGATGGATTTCATTTGCGGACTGCCAAAGGTCGGAGACCTCGCAACCATCTTGGTGATGATAGATCGCTTTTCTAAGTATGCTACGTTCATCCCGGCACCCCAATACGTTACAGCAGAAGAGACGGCTAAGCTCTTCTTCAAGTTAATTGTAAAATATTGGGGGCTCCCTCGGGATATTGTTAGTGATCGTGACTCACGGTTCAATGGCAAGTTTTGGACCGAACTCTTCAAGATCCTCGGGTCTAAACTCAATATGAGCTCTGCGGCACACCCCGAGTCGGACAGCCAGACCGAGCGCTTTAATGGCATGCTGGAGGAATAGCTTCGGCCTTTTGTAGCGGTCAACCAAAAGAATTCGGTGCAATTGCTGGATGTTGCCCAACTATGCTTCAACGCTCAGAAAAGCTCCTCAACTGGGAAGAGCACCTTCGAGGTCGCTACTGGGCAACAACCCCTCTTGCCGCACACTCTAGAAATTGTTGGCAAAACGAGGTCTCCCCAGGCCGCCAACTTCTCCCGGGAATGGAAACGTAACGTGGACATTACCCGCAGCCATCTTGAGAAAGCCGTCCAGCGTATGAAGAATTATGCCGACCAAGACCGACGCTTTGTGGAGTTCAAGGTTGGAGACAAAGTGATGGTGAAGTTGCCTAGCCAATTCCAGAACCGAAGCATCCATGATAGGGACCCTCGGTTACTGCAGAAGTACATCAGCCCTATTACCATCCTGAAGAGAATTGGAAAGGTCACCTATGAGATTGACCCTCCCTCCTGGTGGAAGATTCACCCGGTCCTGCATGTTAGCCTGCTGAAGCCGTTTCACGAAGACAAAGAGGAGCCAGAACGGGGTTAATCATAACTCCCGAGGCTCAATATCCAAGCTGTGGGGAAGCGAGTTGTAGAGGAGATTCTTGCGGACCGGATTGTCAGACGATCGCGCAAAGACCAGCAGGAGTTTCTCATCAAGTGGCATGGACGCAGGGAAGTGGAGAACACCTGGGAGCTCGAGAAGAACCTGCAGGCCTTTCTGCCATTGATCGAGCAATATCTTTTTACGCCGCCGAGGACGTAGCCAAATCAGGCAAGGGGGGGGAGGGGATTGTTGAAGGGGTGTTTTTTCCCTTTAGCACCGTGCAGCACATTCAACACCTACATGCGATAAAGACCTTGTGCCAAGCTCCTTGTAATAGATAGGTCTTTGTCGTTCTTGTAAATAGTAGAAGTAGAAGTACGATGGTGTTCTTGTGATTTTGTGCTTTTCTTTGAGGGAAACTTTTCCCTATTCCTATCACTACCTTGAGGGGGACAAGTGAACTAGACCTCAAGCAAGTGAACGGGTTACCCCCTCCCCGAGTCCACATTGCTTTCATTGTAATCTTTGCCGCTTTCGTTAATGAAAAACAAGATGTTGCTTACAAGTTGCCTAAGCCTTTACATTGAGTTGTAGTAGAGTATTGCCTCGTGCTCCTCAGTCCTCTAAAGGTAGACGTGCAACCCTTGCCGTCTACTGAGTGCGACGCTCGAGTGAGTCTTGGCGGAAGCAGCATCCAACGTGCTGCTTGCCACACGGGTTTCCTAACGTGTCAAGGACCGCCCCGTGACACAGTGGCAGGAGTCCAGTTTTCTTACATATATTTTCTTTAACACATTCAGTTTATACTTTATTAAATTACGAGAAAATTAAAAAATGTCACATCAATGAATTGACAATCATATACATTATCTGACGTTTTATCGACTTTAGTATAGTGATTTTGTCATTTATATATAACATGTTAATTTAATACAATTTGGCAGTGTTTTGAGAACGTATTGAAGGACAGTAATCTAGTGCGATCTAAATTTGGCGGCATAAATTCACCAATGCAAAATCTCCTTAATGCTTTTCCATTATGCATTAGGTACTCAACCAGCTTGAATTCATATTCTTCATTCTTGAAGAATTTGATCTCTATTTCCTTGAGATTTTCAACGAAGCATTTGGGGAGTAGTGCTTCAAGGAGATGCTCCATTTCCTTATCATGTTTGTCCAAGATCACCTGCATTCATCCAAAATTCCACAGAGAGGAACAGACCAATGGAAACCCTTAATCAATGAAACGATGAAATGTCAAAACTTTAATCAAGAAGATGTGTATTTATATACCACTCACATGATTGAGAATAAGTACTTGAAGATTGGGAGCATTTTGGAATAAGTATGGTAATGCTTGCCATGCAAGCATATGGCTTGTGCTCACGTTTTCCTCAAATTCAAACTCGATCTCTAGACGTCTCAAGTTCTTGAACGATGGCAATTGGCGTAACAATCCCTGCAGAGCCTTCATGTGAGAATAAACAGACAACAACTTAGCCTTCATTCCACTATCTTTTATTGCCTAATTGGTAGATATATATATATATATATATATATATATATATATATATATATATACCAGTGCAAATTTTTTGAGTTGAAAGGCCTACTACCTCCAAGATGTGCATTCCGAAACAGATGGATTCCACATTCTGGACCCGATGAAGATGCTGAATTACATCAACAACTGTTGTGCTTATCACGGAGACATGTTGAACTTGAGCTGTTATCTTGGTTCCCACAAGATGGTTCAACTTGTCTGAAACAAAGTTCAATTTCGCCACAGGCGCGCTTGTGGTTAAATGTTGAAGATTCGGCGCATTTATGACCACTCTCTCAATGCCATTTTCATTGCCATCCCAGTGAAGTCGACAGTCCAGACTTTGGAGATTGTTTGATCCCACATTAATGGTGACATCAACCCCTACAGCCTTCCAAGAGTCAATCTTCAATTTCTTCATGGAAGGGCTCGAAAAATCAAGATCATGATGTTCCATACCATGGTTCCCTCCGGAACACTTGAAAAATATATCTAGCTCCTCAAGCTGAGGACAACCTTCAATGAGCCTCTTTATGGAAATTGTATCTACTAAAAGCCTGAAATGCAAATGAAGTACCTTAAGCTCAGGCAATGACACCGATCCTGGAAGAGTATGAAGCGGAAAAGGTGTCCAGCTAGAGCTCAGTTTTAGGTTTACTATGGTTTCACTGATGAAAATTCCGGGAGGGAAATCATAGACTGTAAAATTCATATGGTGTATAGAAAGTTCAAGTTCTTGAGTTGGACACAAAAGTGCAGCAGATATCGTCGAGTCCAGTATATCATGAAACCTTGTCCTGATCCTCCTGAGACATAACCTGAGTTTTCGAACTGGAGTTCCCTGTCGAAGTAGAATCATCCTGTCGCAAAGATTGATGAAATTGAGGAAACCCTCAGTGACATCGGTGGAATTATGAGTGTAGTCAAGATCAATAACGGGGACGAAAGCATACAAGTCCTTCCATCTGGTACACAAAATGGAAGTGGCAGCAGCCTCTTTTGAAGGAAGAAATGACAAGATGTGGCAGAGTATAGAGTTGGGAAGTTCGCTGATCTTATCAACATCGTCATCATCATCATGGGATTCTACCAGGCTTTTCTGCACCTTCTTTTCATGATCCATATTTTCAAGGAAACTAAAGGAAGAATGAAAGAAATAATCAGCTTCTTATTTGTGAATCAGCTGGGTTATTTCATCCTGTCACTTCCAATCCTTGTCCGCTTATTTGACATCTTCATAGGAGAGCGGAGAAACCGATGATTTTCTTTGTGAAAGTGTCAACGTGCATTGTTTTTGTCACAGGAACGAAGCTAGTTTTGTTTTGTATTTATGTTTGTTCTGAATAACAATTTTGCGACTAAAAAGTCTAAAATCTTGTCTTTTGGAAGGGGACAGCACTTTGATTAGTTACAGACACTTACAGTAAATACATAATGCTAATCATCCATGTCCTCCTCCCCAGCTGAATGAACTAAGATGCACTTTAGATTTTACTCTGCAAGTTGAGCTCCTTTTTAAACTGATCCCTTAAAACTCTTCTCAACAGCTTGTTCGAAGCTGTTCGAGGAAATTCTGGTACAATCTTCACAAAGCTTACCTACAAAAAATGAGTTGATAAATAGTATGATCAACCTGTAGTAACGTAACCATGAGAACCATAATAAGAGTATAAATGCTAGCAGGATGACTTTGTCGAAACCTTAAAGAGAGGGTTGAGGTTGGTCTGAATTGCTCTTGAGAATTTCATCCTCAGCTCCTCTGGTGTGGAGTTGATCCCTTCCTTTAGCACTACAAATATAGCTAACAGCTCGGGGCCGCCATATGGTGGTGGACTGCTAACTGCAGCCGTTTCCAAGATACCATCATCAGCCCGATTACATACACGTTCAATTTCAACTGAACTTGTCTGTGCAAGAAATAACACATGTCAAAGACATATATCTCAGACTTGGCTGTATTAGATATATGGGACCTAAATGCAGGTCGGAACTGGAGCATGTGTTTCCAAATAAAACCCATGCCAAAGAATCTTAGATAGAGAGAGATTGACTGACATACCTTTATGCCACCTAAATTCATGGTATCATCAGCCCGGCCTTGAACGATGAAAAACCCTCCAACAGTTCTTTTAAGGATGTCACCATGTCTCCGAAGTTGCTGTAAAAAACAATCTAGTTAGAGAGGTTAATTTGGGGGAACAGAAGAAGTACAACAGATCCTTGAAGACAGCAACAGGGATTACCGTTCCTTTGTATATTGGCATGCCCTTAAAATACACATCCTCATGATCCGCATTTAACAGTTGATTAGTTGCTCCCATATACAGAGGAAATAGCCCCACTTCCCCCTCACAGGGTTGATCATCTAACTGTCACAATTGTAAAAAGTCCAAAGTTTTAAATAGTTATGACCAAGGAATCTCTTAGTTTCCCAGGAAATGACAGCCGGAGGTTCAGGTATGAGTTCTTACATAAGGAATTCCATTTTCATCTAGGATGACGAAGCCAGTGGACATTGAGGCGGAGCTAAAGGCTGCAAAGGCTTGTGGTTGTAAAGGGTTTCCTTGGATGTAAGATGATGCGAGCTCTGTGCCTCCACAGCACTCAACAATAGGCTTGTAGTAAGCCTTTGAAGAAAGCCAAATATCATCATCTACATTGGAGGCTTCCCCGGTGGTTGCGAAAGTCCTTGCAAGCGAAGCTTATATATATAAGCAATTTACACATTTAAAAAAATGGATCATCATCTAGTATGTATAGCTGAAAATTTTTTGTGACTTACCTTATTTTTGTCCAGTTAAGGCCATCCATACATTTTGTACTCTTCCAGGTCTTAACTAAGCTTGGGACTGTGCCCAATACTGTCACTCCAGCATCCTGATAATCCGCATTACATTAGAGCAGTAAAGATACACAGTGATGTTCGAAGATATTGATTATGACAGTGGAAACGGAAATTGTCGTTACTTCAGCTGATATGGGAAGTATCCCCACCTGAACAAATTTCCCAAAATTGCAGCCGAGAGGAGACCCGTGGTAGAGAGCCAGGGTTGCACCAGATAGAAAACATGAATAGAGCAAAATTGGACCCATCACCCATCCTAAATTCGTCGGCCAGCAGAAAACATCTCCCACTTGGACATCAAGATGCGCCCATGTATCAGCAGCACATCGAATGGGACCATGCTGCGTCCAAGGTATGGCTTTTGGATCACCTGTGAAAAGCAAAAAAAAAAAAAAAAACGAAATGAACAAACATGTAGGTAGTATTAGCATTAATAGCAATGACGAAGAAGTTAACCTGTGGTTCCCGATGAAAATAAAATGTTGGTGATAGACTCTATCGGTTGATAAACAGGCGAGTAGGATTTGGTACTGCAAAAATTGGAATGATTTCAAAATTTCTACTCAGGACATTGTTAAATATGAAGATTCTCGAACTACCTTGGCTGAGCATGGAGAGAGGAAATGAAATCCTTCCATGATAAGTCCTGGTTTCGAAGCTTGACTGCTAAATCCTTCCCAGTACCAGGAATCACAATAGCTTTGTAAGGCGCGGCTTCCACAACTCGACTGCAAATAGGTATTTGATCATGATCTGTATAGAACGTATATGGGAACCAGCAAAATGCACATGTTTGGCCATTATCGAATTGCTACCAATCATGCTTCCTTTTTTAAAAAAGAGGACTTCTTTGCTGAACATTTATGAAAACTTTTAAACTTTAGGAGAAGTATATATTTAGAGCTAGATATCTTATGTTGAACTCATCATTCTACTCGAATAAGTTCCTAAACAGGCTTCCTCATTCAGTTATATCCAGGAATAGTATTATAAGCATGCATTTAAAGAAAATATCTTGAAAATCAGGAATGAATTAAGTTATTAAGCGAAATAGATATGTTTAATGATTCTGAAAGAAGAGTTAACAGCGAAGAATGGAATCTGATGCGCACATCATTAGCATTGACCGATGCCAGATTACTTACTGAGCTTATGCATAGACCGTAATACATAAAATGATCTGAAATGGGATTTATACCTGTATAGGGGAACCCTTCGTCCTCCTCTTACTATGAAATCCTGTTTTTTTTGACAAAGATCCAAGCAAAATCAGGCCCAGAAAAGGACATTTGGTCCCAAGACAGTTTGAAAGTTGTAACCCAGGGAATCAAAGATATCATTTTCTTATTCTACACAGAAAATGAAGACTTTGATCGAGTTGATTTACCTGAGTAAAAATAGCCTTTGCTTCAGACACACGCAATCGGGTTGCTATCTCCTTCGCTGCAAAGCTGTCAGCAATTGAAACAACAACTAATCCTGCAAGTACAATGGCCAGATATATGATGACTGCTGTGGTTGTCATTGGCATATCTATAGCAATTGCATCTCCTTTCGAGAAATTTGCATCCAGAGCATTTGCAACTAACCTGAAAAGTGGATGCAACTCAGTAAATGAAGAGAGATAACAAGAAAGATATTACGGCAATGAACATAAATTGTCAGTGCCCAAAATTATAACACCCCCTATAGCTATACGCCATGCAAGCTTCATGTAAAAAATATACTTAAACTTGAAAAAGTGAATCAGCTATGGCTTACATTACTTGTTCCCGAAGCTCTTTTAATGTCATCTTATTGACATCCAGATCATCATTTCCTTCATCTCTCCATACTATGGCTAAACTGTCATCTTGCTTCTTGGGCCAACTATTCGACAGCAAGCAACACTCGGCGATATTCAACACCGAACCAGGAAACCATGCTCCACCACGTTTTGATTTGTCAGAAGTATCAAGAATGCATTTTGGAGATTTAAGAAATTGAATTGATAGCTGATCCAGAACAATTGACCAGTAAACCTGCACATCCTCAAATAGGTCAACTCTTATTTTTTTAAATAAACATAGGTCAACTCCTCCCCCACAGGAAAAAAAAAAAAAAGACAAACATAGGCTAACTCTCAAAACTAGAACTCGTGGAAGAAACAGTGAACAACAAAATGCGGATGGTCGTGGTATGTTATGGAACATCCAAATAAGCACATGCCTGTGGATGCTGAACGGAGAATCTTTGGAATTGTTTGAAACTGGCTATTGGATCCTTATATACTTCTCCCAGAAGCTTCCGGCCATGAGTTTCCATTAGGCGTCCCAAGTTTGTGTGCTTTGACTGGTGCCTAACATGAAAAAAATTGCTGCTAACATGAAACTGAAAATGAGGACGAGTGTCTGGATCAAGAAACTAGATCACGCTCAGCATGGAAATCCTTAAGGTCTGTGAATTAGGAGGCGGTCATGCAACAAAAGTACATCTATATGTTACTTTTTATTTGATCCCTAATAAAATGACCAAACTGACATGTCTACACTTTCCAGGCACTTTACTTTTGCTGACTGTTTTAAGTGAAAGAATCCTGATACAGAACTGTAGAAAATAAAATGAATGTTCCCAACGTTTTCTAATCCTTTAAGTTTGATAAATTCGCAACAAGCAATTGAGAAACACCGGAATCATAACCGACTGACTGAAGAAACAACAGCACTATTGGCTTTGGAAGAATACCCCTACATGCCATAAACAAAAACTTACAAAAACTTACAACTTGGATCTATGTAATCAGCAACACTTACAAAGATTAGACAATAAAATTCCAACTTCACAAATAACCCGTTATAATCACTTTCTGAAAAACAGAAATTAAATAAGGAAATAAAACAATAAAAAGAGGGGCTTGACAGAATTCGATCGCGAAAAAAGAAAAAAAAAAAAAATTAGCTTACAGAGAAGGGAACCAGTAAATGGGAGGCCCATTAGTGGATTTTTCGTAGTCATGATACACAGAGTAGTATATAAGCTGATGAAGTGAATGGGGATGCCATGGTTTCAACGCCTTCTTCTCCGCTGTCAAATCCCTCCACAATTCTTTTGAATCCAAGGTGCTGCTTCTGGTAGCTTTAAAGATTGAATCTTTGATCTCAATCAGAAACCCGTTTGCCTCCTCAACTGATAGACCAGCTCTCACCAGGTCTTCCACTCCCAGTTCACTAATGCTCTTGCCCATCTCCCTTTCAGCTGTTTCCTCTTCTGTCTCTCTATTACTTATTGGTTCTTTCTACATTTATAACTGCAAGGTAACACACGAAGGGAAATCGTCTTTTAATCCTTGGAACTTGGGAGTACTAGTTAAAAGAACACAAATTTACTGAAACTGAGAATTAGGTACATCATGTGAACCGAAGTTTTCCTGCGTCAACAAATCTGTGTGGTTGGTTTTTTATACTTACAACAAAACCTGACACTGACAAGACCCTGATTCATCATTTATACCTCTACGACTCTTAAAGCATGTGATGCACTATTTTAATCTGAATTGTGAATCTCATTGTTTCTTTATTTATATTGTTCTCATTATTAGAATATTGTTTTAGTTAGAGCATCTAGCAGCCCGGTTGCTTACGGCATAGCACCAAGAAGTAGTTGACTTCTGTGATGACGGGATTCTGAGGAAAACCGAGTGAACTGTGCTAATTGCACCTCTCCGTCTATTTCCCTCATGCAACCTATCAAATCTGCTTACAGGAGGGGGCCTTTATTGTTTTGAAACACGAGATATGATTCAAATAGCGGATCTCATACGATGATGTGAAACAAAGCCCAGGTAATTTATAAAGACAAAGAACAGGACAGTATAAATCGTTGACAGCATACAATATTTGAAGTTTGCACACATGCAAATCTATTTTAATGATACAACTACCTACGTCGAGAGATATCTCTTGTACAATTTATATTCCTTCAGGGGTGTAGGAACCTAGCTCCATTGCAACAAATAGGTGACCAAGGAGACTGATTCTGGCAAGGACAATATGCTAATTGTGAAACCTCTTTCTGCGATCAGGTTTTTCCGAACCCAAAAGATAATTGGTTAACCGGTCTCTCCTTCTGCTTTTGTATCCTGAACGACCACACTTTCACCTGGCAAAACGCGCTGTCCACTCTGCAGCAAGCTCATTGTGCTTATCTCTGTCCGTCAAGTATAATTGAGCAATACCTGGAACGAGGGGTTTATCTGCAATAAGAAACCAACATATATATTTAGTACACCAAAACTCAATCTTCAGAATCAAAGGAAGATATGTACAGCCTTGATCATATTCCACTTACAGGCATCGGGAGTAGTGAAGATTGAAACCAACGCGATCAGGACCTTAGAGATTGTCAAAGCAGGGCTCCAGTTATCTTTCAGGATGTCCAAGCTCACATTGCCAGCAGAATCAACATTGCAGTGGTACATTCGAGTCTTAAAAACGACCTGCAAGCCTGAAAGTCAGCATAAGAATCACACAAATAGTCAAAAACCATCCTGATCTGAGTAACTTGACACTAAAAAGATCATCAGTATTGAGAAGTTTTGACTCGATAACACTTTTTTAAAAGAAAAAGAAAAAGGTTAAATTTGACGAGGAAATGTTGTACAACTTGCTGATAAGAAGAGTCAGTTTGCTATAAATTGTCACTCAATTGTTGGGCGGATCTCAGAAAAATACTGAGGTAACTCTTTATTATGAAATTTCACTCCATAATTTCGAAGAAAAACATTTTCTTTTGCCAAATGATAAGTCAATAAATTCTTGAAAGATTTGCAAACATGATCCATCATCATTCCTGAAAGCTTACAATATTTGTTTTGGGTCCAAAAAGGCAAGGAGAAACACTAAATAACATGTCGCTCGATAAGGAGCTAGTTTATTTACATAAATAAAACAAACCAAGAATTATAACGTGGCAGAAGTCTAGCTAGTTGTTAAAGCCATTCTAATAAATCTCCAAAAAGCCTTGCCATGAGCCGCGGAAACTTAATGACAGTGGCAAAAACAAAGCAAGTTAGAAAGATTTAAGAAAGGAAATTAAATCACATCTCTATTGAAAATATATGGCCAGCAGCAAAAATTTGAAGATGAAATTGGTATTAGCATCTGGTAAATGAATCATGTCAACCATACCTTTGGAGGTTTAAAGGGATAATTGCTAGGAAAAGTAATGTCAAGGAAAAATATGCCTCCATCGTATGGCGTGCCTGCGAGAAACAGGAAAGAGTCAAGGTTAAATATCACAAGTAAGAGCATCCTGTCGAAGCCAATGATTAAATAACATCGCCTTTCAATTAAAGCCAATGATTAAAATCCTTTCCAAAGCGAACAAACTCCTCTTTTTAACAATCAAATTTCTTCGGCAATTAAGTGCACACCTATGTAGCTTCAACTTTTATATACGGTGACAGGACAAAAATGCTCACTGTTATAAAGTCCAAGCTAAAGATGTTGTTCTTCATAAACATCTGCTGTTTCGCGATTGGCTTTGATTTTGGTGTGTTCTCATCAATAAGAGACTTTTTGATTCTATTGGTTCAAAATAACAACACTTAATATAATCTAATACAATCAACGGATTCCAAGTGTTGATCCTAATCATCTCATTAAACCGAAATGGTATCTTAAGCCGTAGTAATGAACTAATCACGCACAATGATTTACACTACAAAAAACCAATTAATGCATAGAATTTGTTTTGGTGGCCGCAAGGACAGATCATTTTGCTACAGTCATGCACAATCACACAGTACAAGCAAAGCAACCAGGATATAAAATACTAAAACAGCTTCCAGAATCCACACATATTTCGTAACAAGAAAGTGCCAGCCAAACAAACCCCCCAAACCCAAAATTAATTCTGTATACTTGAAGGAAACTACATAATACAAGGACAGACAAAGAAACTGAAGGAGGATTGAAAAGAAGGCCAAGAAATCGGAAATCTCACCATGGGGGCCAAGAAGAGTAGCAACCCAGTGATAAAGATTGTCGCCTTTGGGGCCAGCAGAACAATGAGGAGGTGGGTCCATGTTCAGTTCCGCCATTTCCCTCTGTATTCTCTTCCCTGATGTTGATACTGATGTTGTTGACGCCCATGATCTACTTCCCCCTCCGACCGAGCTGCCACTAACACCACCGCTACCACCAGCTCCAGGGCCTCCTCCTAGTCTTAACCCGCCGCCGCCGGAACTTGGGCCGGCGGTCCCACCGCCACTATTGCTGCTGGGATTCATTTTTATTATCTTCTGGCTGATGTGTCAACTGCTGGAGTTTTGACTCACTTCAACAGAGAATATAGGATCAATAATAAAATTATATATCCAATTTGATGAAAATAAATAAACCCTTCTCATTTAATAATGAAAATAATAATCATTGTCCCTTTTTTTTTTTTACCAATTTTGATGTAGTTGCCACTTGCCACAATATATACGTAGTAGTTCCTCACAAATTATCTTTCCGGCTAAATTTTACATAATCATCAGTATTATACATCTACCATTCATTCAGCTAAAAAGATCCCATAATACAAAAATCATTTCTAATTCATCATTCTTTTTTTTTTATAAGTTAATGATAATTAAATAATACAAATTTGAAATATCAATGTGGATTATTTTTTTTTTAGGACGGAAGGAGTACATTAATTGAAAAGATAATAAGTATATTCACCCCTCTATTCTTAAAATCACTTGGTCACTTGTCTTTTCGAATTAACACCCAAAATTGTATCCATCAGGTTTGAAGTGTTCCAAAATCAATTTGATTTCGGACTAATATCGAAAACTGAATCTCTTGTTATACAATTTTCAATGTGAAAGACAGTACATTTTATAGAATAATAAACTATTTTTGTGATGATTCATAACAATGTGATGGTAAATTATTATTAATATGATACCTTATGTAAGACCTAAAATGAAATAGTACTCTCTCCGTCTTGAAATTATTGTTCTGTTTGGATTTTTGTTTTTTGGTTTAAATTGTGTAAAATCCTAAACGGACCAAAATTTTGAGACAGAGAGAGTAACCCATTAAACAATCAGTTGGTTATTATTAGTTCCAATTCTCTTGGTGTGTCTTTTAGCAGAACCAAATTTTTGAAGGACAAGAAGGTAAATAAGTGGAATAAGGTAAATTGGAAATTTGACTAAACAAAAGGGCTAAAGTATAATACTACTAATATTTTCAGGCCCAATACGAGAAGCCTCTATATACCACATACTTCGACGCTAGCAAAAAAAAACCTTTACTAAACCCTGCCGGGGACGCCGCCTCCGCCGCCTGGCTTCACCGTTCCGTCGCAATTTCTTGGTATTCATCTCCTCTCTCTTTCTCAACCGTCTATTAGTTTCTTTGTCATGTTATATCAGAAATTATGCTGTCGATTATGCCAATATTATTATTACTGTGCTGGGGGGAAATTTGTAGTGAAACCTGTTCAAGAGCTTCTAGGGTTCTTTTTTCCTTTTTTCTTTTATTATTATTATTATTATTTTTTTGGTAAAGAAAAATGATTCGGGATAGCGGCTGCTAGTTTTTGCGTGTGGGTTTGCCTAATATGTTTACTGGGAAGAAGACGATTATTCAGTCTAGTGATTCTTCGCTTTTATTTGATTGATTCTTCTCCGTAGTGCAAATGTTGGATCTTTACTTCTTCTTTTTTTTTGAATCAAATGGCCTTAGAAATTGATGATTATAAATAGAAGGAAGGAAGGAAGGACAGTACCTCTTTGTCTTTGTCCATTTCTGAACATCTTTTGATGTTACATCAGAATATCTACGATTGTGCTGCAGAACTATGGTTTATTTGGTTCTCGCCCTTTTCATCTTAAGTTTTATTTGGTTCTCGCCCTTTTCATCTTAAGTTTCCTCAGCTTGTTTAAGTTTTGTGAATCTTTTGGTCAATAGATTGTGCGTTTGTTTTAGTATTCAAGCTCTAACTTGCTCTGTGTACAACACAGATTTATTCATTAGCCCAGAGGCATCATGAGGTTGGAAAAATGCTGGTTTTGTTCTTCTACTATATACCCTGGACATGGTATCCAATTTGTTCGCAATGATGCCAAGGTAGAGTGCATTTTGTTTCTATGAGTTTGTTGAGGAAATGCTAAGTCCTTTTTTTTATTTTTTTTCCAGAGTGTTATTATTCAACAGGCTAGTTATGTATATTTGCTTGAGCATTATTTGGCAAGCTAGTATCTTTAGAGAATCATTTTTTTTTCTTTCTGCATCTGTCTTGGTGCTCAAAGCTAAATAAGTGAAGTTTCCATTCTGTTTCACTTGTGGTTGTAAAAGAGGTTCTTTTTCAGATCTTCAGATTTTGTAGATCAAAGTGCCACAAAAATTTCAAGATGAAGAGGAATCCCCGTAAGGTCAAATGGACTAAAGCTTATAGAAGATTGCATGGAAAGGACATGACTCAGGTTAGTCAGCAGATTATATTCCATGATCTCACTTCCCTTTTAACTTTTTTCATTTGCCATTTTTCTTCTTCATTGGTCATTTAATTAATGATGAGAAACCCAACAATTGAAGGACTCGACATTTGAATTTGAGAGAAAACGAAACCGGCCGGAGAGATACGATAGGAATGTCACGGAGAATGTGCTGAAAGCCATCAAGAAGATCAGTAAAGTCAGGCATGCTAGAGAGGAGGAACACCACAGACAAAGGTTCGTTGAACTTGTGTATCCAATTATCCATCAGAGTATGATGTATTGTTTCTTTATCCATGCATCATTTTAACGCTGTTGGTAACATGACAGGATGAAAGGAAATAAGGTCATGAAGCTGAAAGAAGATGCCAAAGAGTTAGAACAAAGCATTCATTTAGTCGGACCACTGGTGAAGAAGGATGATATGAAGAAGGAGAAGATAATACCTCTACGAGAAGATCACAGGATGGAAGAGTAACATCACCCCTATTGCAGCCTTCACAAAGTCTCCAATTTCCATTTTTCTTTTTTAATTTTATTTTGTGCTGTTTTATGAGGGCAAAGACATCCAACTCCATTGGTGTCATTTTGGCCAGAAAAGGTTCATTAAGCATAGGAAAGTATCAGTTTCATGGTGATGTCATTAGAGCAATTTATTAATGTCATGGGACCCTTAATTTATTGTTTTGGGAGCTTTTGTACTACTCGAGAATCCAAATGTTGTACTTCTGAGTTGGGTTATTTGGCACTAATGAAAACATTTCAAAGGTTACTAGGACGTTACGCTAACAAGAATCTGATTCTTAGTTATTCATGTCATGCACTCCAGAGACCAAGTTTTCTTAGATGTGGACGGATGTGTTTGTGTTTCCTGCAACCAGCAATTGTAGTTTCTTGCATGATTGATTGCTTGGTGATTTTGGTTGATTAAGGTTAAAAGGAAGAATGGAATTTCAGGCTCCTCTTTTGGCTGGAGTTACCCTTGGATAATAAAGTTAGAATAACTATTGGATATTGTCAATTGTAATCTTGGTCAAATGGATTTTCTTGCTCTGGGGTGCTTTGCTGAAATTACTTCTTCACCGTGAATGTTGCAGGACATGAGTAAACTATACAGTACAATGGATATTCAAAACTTATCTAAGCAGCTTTCCTTTGCCCCAGAACGAGAGGGAATTGAAGGTATGATTCAACAATTGAGTAGAGGTAGAGGTCCCATATCTTACTATAGATATCCTTCTCAATTTTTTGGTTTGGAGTAAAAAGGCAACCACATATGGAAGGCAAAATAATCATCTGAAAGAGTTAATTTTGGGTCTTCAAAGCAATTGCTCTCAAGAAAATTGATGAGATTCACTTTAGTGCACGACAAACCTAAGCAACACAATTTCTACATGCAGTTGAAGTGCTACAAGTACAAAAACTTGAAGACATTAACATTACACATGAATAGCGGTAAGCAGAGAATGAACAGAAAGCCACTGCTACCAAACGCTTCAAGTCTAGAACCCCAAGAGGATGGGCCAACAGGTCCAGCCGCTGGAGGCGGGAATAGATTGCCTGAACTCGAATTTGAACTGTGGCAACGAAACACAATGCATCAGTCAAAAGTACTTTCATGAACATAACAATGTCCTATCTCATGAATTATAATCTTTTTAAAATAAATTTTTTTTACTAAGGGTTCTCACCTTCCCATAAATATACAGGATCCATAACCTGGCAGGAAACACAACACACACACAACAATATTGGTCAGTTGGCCGAGAAAGTGTAAAATATGTTTCCAGCTATGAGTATCTGCAAATATCTGTGTAAACGAAGGTACTTGAGAGCTTCAAAGAGCAAGTCAGGGAAGAAAAATTTCATACAAACTGCCAAATAAGAGAACTGCTGGTACTACTAGGATTCTCGGAAGTATATATTCACAAGCAATTGTGTGCTGATACAATCTTTGTTAAAATGTGTCCAGACTACTGGAAATGCTCTAAATTTCAGAACCACAAAGTGCTAAGTCGCAATCTTTCCTCTTCTGCTAACAACAATCCCTATCTTGAAACTCTATGTTCGGAGAAAGGGTTATTACATCGCAAGCAAACAATGGAAATAAATATAAACATAAGATTTGCATAAGTTCAGCACGCCACACACAATTTGATGCAAATAAGCTTCTAAAAGAAGAGAGCAGAAGCATACTCGGATCTTGAGAAGTAAGTATTGCCGAGCCATTAAAGTCGCAGGTCCCACCAATCAAATGCATTCTCTGATAATAATCGTTGTAAGCATAAGAAGCATGATTCTGCAAACTATCTGGGAAGTAACAAGGCTGTCCTGTTTGAATAGCTGTGCAATTTGCCCCACCTTGTCCACAAGCCCAATTAAGTCCATTCTGCAGCTTCTCAGTGTCGGCATCAGGTCGTACCACGCAAAACACACCCGAAGAATTTCCCCCGACACTGCTACCTGAAGCACTAATTAAACTAATTGGATAGACAGCAGTTCCATTTGGGAAGAAGATCCCATAATTTCTCTCAGATAGTGGCCCAGGCCTCTTATCCTCGTTGAACAATTCATATATGTATGTGTTGATGGGAAATCCTGGCTGACTTGGGGGACCAGAATCATTTGATACTCGGCGGATCAAGTTGTTGTTAAAAGTCTCCGCATTTTGTATAGTGGCATCAGGTTCGTGGGAGTCGCCAAGCCACGGCCAACCAGTTTCCGTCACAACAATGGGGATCCCTGAAAGATTGAATGCTGAAATGGAGTTGTAAGCAGCATCCACCATAGCATCAAACATGCTGTCGTAGTGGAAAAGCGTGTTTGGATCAACAATTTCTTTGACGGCCGAAAGTGGTTGGAAAAGAGCATACTCAATTGGGAAGATACCATTGCTATCAACATATCCAAAATAAGGATAAGCATTCAACATGTAATAGGAATTCGTATTCTTCAGAAACTGAAGCATCTGGAAAATCGTGGAGTTCCATGAAGAATTGAATGCCGCAGTAGAAGGAGGAAAGGGTTTCGGGATTATATCCATCGACTGCGGGGTTGAAACTTTAACCTGATCATTCAAGTTGGACGCAACCAGGGCTTTGTGCAGGTAATTCATGGCTGGCACCAAAATAGGAGCAGCATGTGGAATGGTACTTAAGACTTCACTTCCAACAGCGATGGCCGTGATATTGGTCCCTGGCAAAAAAGCTGCAACGTTTTTATTAACCCAGGCTGCTGCAGTAGATGGAGACTGACCGATCCCGAGAACTTCCTCATTAGTCACGCTAACTATGACTTCGATTCCAGTGTCCGAAAGGGCAGTCAACATGTGAGCATCGGCATCAAACAGGCGAACATGAGTTATTTGATGAGCTCTTAAAATGGCAACCACGTCGGTCGCCGATGGTAAGTTAGAGAGGTCAGTGCCAACGTTAACACCGACGAATGCCCCTACAAGCCCAAACAGATTAATTGCCTTTTTTATGATCATCCTCAAAAAAAAAAGGTGTTGTTTATAATACATAGATGAGTTCTTCTAATCCAACAAATTAACTCACATTTCTACTTACGACGATATTGCATCTCAAAGTGACTAATGTAACAAGGTGAAATACTAGAAAGTACAGCTTCACAAAGAATTTTACCTCCAGCTTTTGAGGACAAAGAGATAATGTCCAACAGAAAGATACCAAGCCATAATTTAAGCAACATCAGCTCCACCATATGCAATTATTATTTCTTCTTTCAACTCACTGGAAGTCTGTTCACTTTCCGCTTCACCAAAACTGTCAAAGAAGTGAATGTGATATCAGTTTCTCATTGAATGAGAAGTTTATACCGGGTAAAAGCATTCTTTATCTAGCATTGTCAATAAATACTCGAAACAGTCAAATCAAATCATAGCTCCGAATGGCTACAGTTTCACGAGCTAAACTGATTAAAGATTTCAGCTTTACAGCCTAAGCGGTTCAAACACTCAAAAGGCCAACAATATAGAACAGAGAATAAAGGAACTGAAGCCAATTAGAGCCTTCACTGCCAAAATCCACATCCAGAACCCATAAAATTATCATCTCCCAAAATCCACAAGCACAAAACTAAAAATGTACATAAAAAAAAGGGCTCCACAGTAAAAACTTAGCCCAAGAGAAGATTAAAAGGGGAGAGAGAAAAGAATGAAGTACCTTATATGTACTCAACTGAAGAAACCCAGAAAAAACACCAGCTTCACAAGAAGATCCTCGGAGAAAGGCCAAAACTTGACACCCCTTCACAGTGGAAAAGAAAATAAAGGAAAGGAAAATGAGGAACTACATACAATTTGAGCCCCCATCGCCAAAACCCACATCCCAAAACCCGCAAAGATGTCATTTTTAGAAGCAAGAAAAGTTTTTTTTTTTTCAAAAGTAATAGCATTTGAAGTAACATTCAAGCTCAAAGCAACTGAAGAGACCCAAGTATTACCTGCTATCCTATCCTTCCCCAAGATTGTCCAAAGGAAATAAGAACACTCTTCAAGTCTCAAACTGGAGAAGAAAGGGAAAAGAATGACCAACCAAAGATAAGCTACCGCAAAATCTAAGCAAGCAATTCAATTAAGCTGGCTAAAGATAAACGAAATCTCAATAAAACTCAAGTTACAAAATAATGGAAACCATAACATCACTTACAGAACTGTACAGTTCCAGTAAGTTCAGAACTCAAAAACTCTCCCCGAAATAAAGCCCTGCATTCATTATATTATTACAGCAAAAATTTCTACTACTTCAAAATAAAAAGGGCCCACCAACTTCATATTAAGAAAAAAGAAAAAGACAAGCAGGTCCAAAAAAAGACATGCATATTACCCCCACGTAGTTACATTTCACGAATTTAATGTAATAAAATACGTTATGGAGAAGCTAAATAGACCTTAACATCAATGTCCTTCATTTCATGGCTTCTCAAATTCATCCAAAGTCCAAATTTGGTTGTTCTGCTTGTCTGTGCTAAATACAAGAAGGAAAAATTAAAAGGAAAAAGACTACTCTTTTAACACATTTAAGCCCTGATTAATTAGCATTGTTAAGATTCTTCCTTTGTTTGCCCCTTTTTAATCATGCTGTTTTGTTTTTTGAAGGAGGGAGGGATTGGGAGGTTTTGGACACATTGAAAACATCACCTTGTGCTTATAAACTAGTAGTTCAGTCCAGCAAAGCAGATGCTGTAATAAAAATTGTCTCTCTTCTTTTTGAGTTTTTTCCCTGACTTTTCATTCATACGTAATGCAGTCTCTTTCTTCATATTTCGTGTAAAAGCAGTTGTCTGGAAATGGGGTCTCTTTATCTTTTCAGATCTCCCTCCATAAATAATGCAAAAAAGATTTGTGCTTTTTGAGTTTTTTTTTCTTTCTTTGAAACAATCTTAGTCACAGAGCTCGTGGGGTAATTCTTTCTACATTCCCCCATTCTTCGTGACTCCCACTCGAGAGTTGAAACTTCTCATTTTGTGTTGGAAGTCGCTACAACATCAGAAAAAAGTGATCATATTTTCACACTAGTTTGGTTCCATTTGCGATGTTATGTGAACTTGGTTGCATGGAACTAACAGCGTCAAAACAACTCTGAAGAATTCATACAACTCCCCAACCCAATTTGGCTAATCCAGATTGTTTATTGCATATCCTTTGGATAAATTCTTCGAACAGCAAATTAAAATGACACCTACTACACACAAGTCGTCACAGAAAAAAGTCACCGACAGGCAACAGGTTCTAACTGTAAGACCACAAACATGAGGAGTTGCATTATAGAAAATACAGAAAATCCAGTTAGCCACTACTATAGCACTTCAATTCAATTCCCACAGGCCAACAAAAAAAGAAAAAAAAGAACAGCCTTGAATTCTAGTAACTGATAAGCAAAAAACAAACCAACTACAAAACATAATGAAATTCCGCAAAGTCATATTGGCCCATCCAGGGAGGCATACATCAATCAGTGATAAGGGGACCCGTCCCTTTCTGGGTTCCCCCGGTAATCTCCACGACCAGGGCTTCGGCTTCTGCTTCGGCTTGGGCTCCTACTTTGGGCCCTCGGTGGAGATTGGTTATTCTTGGGACTCCGGCTACGACTTCTGGGGCCATTATAAGGAGGAGATATCTCTCGTCCGGGACTCCTGCTTCGGCTCCTTGAGCCCTCAAATGGTGGGGAACGTTCCCGTACTGGGGATCGCGAGTATGTCCTCTCACGGCTATACCTTCTCTCTTGAGGGGAGACAGATCTGCAAGTTAACAATATGTTACCATCTCACTAAGAAAAAACGAACACATCTTTGCTACTACCAGGTAAAATATCATACTCAACTTTCTTCAATTGATCCAATGCAGAACATATAATCTCTATTGATCCATGACAAAAAAGTAATAAGAATGTGCAGCACATGTTATCAAATGTATAACCTTGAAAGTTCTATTGATCCATATATAAAAAAGGGGCAGTGAACATTATCAAGTGCACAGTTCCAGGGTGTATCTACCTTAAAATTATTTATGCGAAATACAAATACACACATTTCCGTGTCTAAGATACAAGGATGCTCCACCTTTGCCAGCTAAAATAATGTGCATGAAAGAATTAATGCAATCATACCTTGAGTACCTTCTCTTGGGAGGTGGGGAGTAGTAGTCACGGCTGCGAGATCGAGATTTTCCATATCGATGGGGTGGAGATCGAGAATATTGGGGTGAGCGTGAATAGCGAGGTGGGGAGCGTCTACGATCATAGTGACGACTTCTGCAAAACAGAACACCAGTACAAACAAGTCACAAAATGTGGGGCAAAAAGGGCATAGAGAAAAAAGAAAACATAACAAAACATCTAAAGGCTCCAGAATATTATTCCTTCGAAAAACTCTAGAATGAAATTCTCAACAGATCTCCAATGTGCAGACACAATCTTTGACCAAAAAAATTACAGCTTATCCAAACAATTTGAGATCAACAGTAAAGGCAGAAAAGTATGAGCAATATAATTCACCTGGTACCCCGCTCTCTAGCTCGCATCTCCACAGGCTTCTTCCTATTTTCCTCAGCAAACACAACTGTCAATTGTCTGCCTTGAAACATCTGCCCATCCATCTGATACTTGGCTTCACCAGCATCAGCTGGCTCAACATACTGAACAAAACCAAAGCCTCGTGGTTCTCTGAAGAAAGGAAAGGAATACGTCAAAAAAGCTACATGATAAGCCATCCCATCGTAGTTTTGAGTTTGTAAACCTTCTATTAGTTTTAATTTTCAACTATCCCTGGCTGGCAAGACCAGGTAACAATTTTAAGAATTGCCTGAGAAACATTTATATTGGTACTTTAAGAGATAGGTAATTAGATATATATACATATATATATACATAGAAAAGATTGTTCTAAGTGATCTGTGATCCTGCAACGGTGCAAACAAATGGCATGTGAAACTGATAAAACCTTAAATCATAATTATGTCAAAACTCAATTACTAAAGCAACCTCAACAAGGAAGACCGCGATATTTCATAAGCAAACACATGGCAGCTGACCTTGTACAAATAAGTTATAAGGTGACTTGAAAGTCTTCAAGACTTGTAATCTTGATATCTTCACATTGAATTCAAACACAAATCCTTCCACAATCTTCCATTATCATTTACATCACCTTGAACTCTTAATACTTGATCGATGTCAACAGAACTCTTTACTACTTCAATGGGTCAACTGAACTCTTACTACTTGATTGGTCTTCAAAACTCTTAAATTCACTGCTAGATCCCAAAATTTTAATAAAACAGCACAATCGAGGAATAAGATTTAACACTAGCAAAGGGAAGGGGATAACTTGGAAAAGAACATTTTTTAAAACAAAATCCCTTATCTAGGTTTATGGTAGGGAAAGGGAAAAAGAGAGTTTGAAAGATCTATTGTGAATGAAAAGATAATTAAAAAAAAACAAACGAACAAAGACAACAACCACACATGCTCACCCAGTGTAATAATCCCTTGGTAAGTAGATATCCTTTACAGGGCCAAATTGTCCAAATGGCCTGCGAAGGTCTTCTGGCCTGTCACAGCAAGAAATACATAGCATTAGAAAGAAGGTTGGGTGATTGTTCAGGAGTGCAGAGAAGAAAACAGTGCTTTAATGAGAAAGTTACAGCCAATGGAGATCTGCTACAGAAAAAAGAAAATATTCTACAGGAAAAAAGAGGTAAAATTCATGCATACAGATACATTATGAAAGTTATTGGCTAATTACACAAAGAACAAGGAAAAAGCTACTCACTGCATCCAAATTATACATGCAAAATTACAGCGCCTCATAAAGGTTGGTGGATTATGCATACCAAAGTGTTTATAAAAGGAATGAAGAAAAGAACACATTACCCAAGCAAACAGCAAGATCCAAAGACAACAAGGATAATTATCCCTGTGTGAAGAGAACGTAAAGAACAGAACCTTACCTGCAGTCATGGCGCAGATTACGAACCAAGAGGCTCGTAGGAGCATCTCTTGCCCTACCACCATAACGACCTCTAGGACTTGGACTTCTTCCTCTCCTGCCATATCCCCTCGGAGGTGAAGGAGTATAACTTCTTCCCCTCATTTTCCACAATCAGAGATTCTTCAGTCTGGGTAAAAAAAGTAAACGTTAGAAACATTTTTTAGCTTAAGAAGAACTCCACACGACAAGTTATTCAAAAAAAGGAAACGAACCAATGCTAACATCAAATATTCAACTCATTATAACAAGAACTGGAAAGTGTTTCAAAAAATTGAGTAAACAAAAAACCCGTTGCTCAGATAGTTGGCGAAGAGAACCAAAAGAGAATGATCAGGTAGAGCTAATACATGATATACGCCATCAGATCGGCACTCAACAGAAAAAATATCTTCATCATCTCATTCTCTTTCTTCAACCCATTCTACCAAAGAACCAAACTCCCCCAAAAAAACAAAAAATAAATAAATAAAAATAAAGCAAACATCCGTTCCAAAAGGTCAACATTATTTCCATTCCCCCTCCCAAAATATTTGATTGAAAACAAAATATGAGGTAAACCAACTAAGAGAATGATCAGCTAGAGCTAATACATGATAAAACTGCCATCATATCGGCATTCAACTGCAAGGTAATCATCAGCTCATTCTCGCGGGAAACCCCCAATCAAAATAGCTCACATATAGTAAAAGCAACTAAATCCTTTTTTAAAAAAAATAATAATAATTAACTCCCTCCTCGTTCAAAGGGTCCAAACACCTTCACAGCGAACGTAATCGAGGAAAATAAAACGACGTTAGAAAGATAAAGCATACGCAAATCTATCAAATCAACTGATATATGCCGTACCAATAACAGACAGAAAACACAATATATTAAGCACAGACACACAGTAACAAACAACAACAAAAACCACATTCATAGATTAACCCTAGTTGGTGGGAGAAGAGGGACTGAGGACGTACCGATTCAGAAGGCGGCGGTGGCGCCGGCGGACGAAACGAACGGAGGAAGAAACGACGGCGTGTTATAAGAAGGAGGAGTGCGTGAGTTTGTGTTAGGGTTTCGTTATTACGGGAATCAGCTCCGAGGCTCCCTTTAAGTAGAGGCCAGAGGGCATCGTCTGCCACGTGTCCATCGTATTTTGTCTAGAGATTCTGAATTCACTCTTCGCTAAAAATTGCTGTTTCGGTCCCTGGAAGTATTGAGTTGTCTTGGAAACCCCTGGTAAGTTACTATAATTAAAAAATTAAGCTTCTCATTTTTTATTACATTTGTGCTTAGCCTATTTTTCTTTTCTTTTTTTTTTTTTTTTGAGGAAAGTGCTTAGTCTATTAATTTAGAAAGACTTGTCAAATATATATTTTTTTAATTACTATAAAAGAGACTAAAATCTAAGTTCAAGAAATTAAAACAAGACCACGAAACCACTTTGTTAATCGATTCGTTACAAATTTGCTTCTCTAAAATCATGTAGCACGTTAACCGTCCACACTCGTTTCCAGTATCGTGAATGGAGGGGGATTTTTACAAAATCTAACCCCAACCAAACAAAATAAAAAATATTACTACAATATTTGCCGGTATCGCGAATGGAGGGGGATTTTAACAAAGTCTAACCCCAACCAAGAACAAAATAAAAAATATTACTACAATATTTGCTTCGAACATACTGCAATTACATTAATTCGATCACTTTAAAACTTTTCCCATAAATCTCTAAGACTTCTTGGTCTTCTGATATCCATAATTCAAATCATTATCCTTATTTAAGAGTAATTCGATCACTTTAAAACTTTTCCCATAAATCTCTAAGACTTCTTGGTCTTCTGATATCCATAATTCAAATAGGTTCTGATATCCATACTTCAAATAGGGTCATCTCCAATAAACAACAAATACTTTTTTAGAGCATCTTTGCATCAGTAGCTCCTCTTTTTGCTCTTCTACAGGAAAGAGAAAAGTTTGCAAGAAGAGGGAAAATAAACTTTTTATTCACAAATGATGGAGTAACAATTCAAATGTCCGCATCAAATGTAATGTAACGGAAACTGGCTCTTATTTTGCTGATTACAACAAAGCCGTGAGTACATAAATCATACTTACACATTGTGTTTTTACAGTTTACTGGTGGTTCTAGAAAGGCTGCCCATAGCTTTAGCCTTCTGCCTGAGAACAAACTTCTGAATCTTCCCAGTTGATGTTTTAGGCAACTCCTCCACGAAAACTACTGTTCTTGGAGCCATGTAATGCGGCAGCCTGTCACGACAGTGCTGGATGATTTCATCCGGGCTTGTCGTGGTGTTGCCTCCATCCTTCAGTTTCAAAAATGCACAAGGCGTCTCACCCCAATAATCATCAGGCCGTCCCACCACAGCTGCCTCGAGCACAGCTGGATGGGTATATATCGCGGCTTCCACCTCGATCGTGCTGATGTTTTCTCCACCTGAGATGATTATGTCTTTGGACCGATCTTTTAACTCTATGTACCCATCAGGATGTTTCACTCCCAAGTCCCCTGTTCGAAACCATCCACCTTTAAAAGCTTTGCGTGTCGCCTCAGGATTGTTTAAGTACCCGTTCATGACAGTGTTCCCTCTAAACATTACCTCGCCCATGGTCTTGGTATCCGCAGGCACACTCTTCATTGTTACAGGATCTTTCACATCGACTTCTTCCATACCGAGGTGGTGCAACCCTTGACGAGCTTTGATCTTGGCCCGTGCATCAGGTGGTAAAGGGTTCCACTCGGGCTTCCAAGCACAAACTGTTCCGGGACCATAGGTTTCTGTCAAACCGTATGAATGAGTTACATTGAAACCTAATTCCTCCATCTTAAAAAGCACTTGAGGAGGAGGAGGTGCACCACCTGTCATTACATTAACTTTTCCAGGGAGCAGCCTATGATCATTTTCTTGTGCATTTACAATCATATTTAAAACCGTAGGTGCGCCACTCATGTGAGTTACTTGATGTCGTGAGATTGACTCAAAAATCCCTTTCGCAGTAACATTCCTAAGACAAACGTTCGTGCCGCCCTGTGCAGCAACAGCCCAGGTAAGGCACCAGCCATTGCAGTGGAACATAGGGACAGTCCATAAATAAACAGGCATTGATGCCATTTCATTCAAAAAAACAGCAGCTAGAGAATTTAGATATGCTCCTCTGTGACTGTACACTACGCCTTTAGGATTTGATGTTGTCCCAGAAGTATAATTGAGAGATATAGGTTCCCATTCATCATGTGGCCTAATTATCTCAAAATCTGGATGTCCCGATGCCAAGAATTTCTCATATTCCAATGTCCCATTATCCAGAATCGTGTCCTTCAAATCTGAGATTATGATTAAATGAGGTAATTTGCTGATCATCTTCGATAGATTTTTCAAAGCTCCCAAGGCAATATCAAGAAACTGATGATCAACAAATACAACTTTTGCACCAGAATGCTTCAGCAATAATGACACCATTGCTGAATCATGACGGATGTTAAGAGTACAAAGAACAGCCCCGGCCATGGGGACACCGAAGTGTAGCTCATACATTGCAGGAATATTCGGGGCCAAGGCAGCAACCTATTATTTTGCAACTAGAATCTGTTAGGTTTCATTATGAGACTAAATGAGGACTTTCATTTCAAACTGGTAATATGGATGGGTTGAATCAAATTGTAAGCCAACATATAGAAAAGTTTAATGCATCACAGTCCATGTTTAGAATGATTTGTGACAAATGACAATTGATTCTGAAACAATAAAACTCATGCAGGCAACGCACAAAAGGCAAACAAGAGTACAAGACTACATTCAATACCTAACTGAAATGCAATATTATGTTTTCCAATCAGATAGTCAACGATGATATTTCAAGAATCAGTCGAACTTGTGAATCTTCTTTCAAAACTATAACTATCAACACAAAATCATATTTTTTGTACTTTGAACTCGAACTGAGGGAATACAATTTGGAGCTTTTAGCTTTAAGATTTTATGCTTATTAGTAGCAAGAGTCAAGTATCCAAGAAAAAATGATACATCGGATGATGACACCAGAAAGTAGACACCCCACAAAAGTAAAGAATGACCAGTAAAAACCAGGAAAAGGGGGACAAAATAAAAGGCATTTTGGCCATTTCTTACCAATCAGTGTCTATATGCATGACCTTAAGAATGATCAACAGAGATGACAAGAATGAATATGGCAGAAATGACAAGATTCAGTTAAATACACATTGGTTGGCACAGACACAACAAAAGTAAGCATCACTTAGCATGAAACATCACAAGAAAATTAAAATTGTCACCATATTCAGAGGTTTAGAATATGAGATTTGAATATCCAAAATCAGCACAGAGATGTACAAACAACTAGGCCATAAGAAAAAAATAAAATAAAATTGTGAATTTGTAAGGGACTCCCAAAAAGAAAATGCATACAGCTCCTAAGTCGATAATTTCACAGGAGAGGTTTAACTCTGAACTGTAAATGATCATACCAACCAAGGGAACTGCCGGCTAAAAACTAATTTCAGGTAAGCATCATACAACAGAGCATCCATGAACAATACTACTACTAATTAAGTAAACCAAAAAAAAAAAAAAAGGTGGAGCTGTGAGGAAACCGCAGACAGGGAATTATAATTCAATAAAATCCCAGAAAAATTAGAGTCCAAAAAAATTAAGCACAAACAGCAAAAGGTTGCCATAGCTGCTCAGAATTTACCACATCATGACGAGAAATTCCCAGTTGGTGAAGTGCGGAAGCAAGTCTGACGCATCTCTCTCGAGTCTGTGCCCAAGTGAAGTTGATGTCACCATGAACTACTGAAATCCTATCTCTGTACACAATTGCCGAGCGTTCCAAGAAACTTATGGGAGTCAAAGGAAGGTAATTCGCTGGGCACTTCACAGTACCTTCCATTTTGTTGATCGATAAAAGATTGAAACTTGGAATTAAATCAGAATGAAAATTGGATCTCTTCTGAAGAGGGTGAGAGAACTGTGAAGATGGAGCTCAGTAAATGAGTAAAGTATAACCAATCACATGATTTACATCCCGGAAGAAGCCCGTGTCAGAAAGATCGGTAGGTCTTATTTGGTTTTAAAATAAAGCATTCTCTTTTTTGTTTCTTTTTTTTTTTTCTCTTTTAAAAAAGAGTTTTAACTTTTCTCCTTTTTCCCTGGAACAATCTATGTTTTACTATATAAAACCAAGCGGGGAAATCCAGATTTTTGGCTCCGAATTCGTTCTTCCTACAATCTTTCGCCGTTTCCAGGAAGGGGCTATTCAGTATTGATTTCCACTTCTTTGCCCCCGCCTCTCGTCTCCTCTTCTGATTCTTTAATTCACCGCTTTTCTCTATCTCTCGATTTCGAAATCTACCCCTAATCTCGGAAAAGGGAGCAGCAAGGAAGTGAAGATTCTGAGGTCCGGGTTGAAGGTACAAAACCTTTTATAGCTTTTAATTATCATGGTTAAGTGAAGTTATATTTACTTGAGCCTGAATTGTACGCGGAAGTTGAAAATTACAAGTTGGCTTAGCTCAACCCTTTGAGATGATTGAACAGCTAAGGTTGGAAAAATGAAGTAAAGCCTAAAGGGTAATTGCTAGGTGCAATTAATTCGTATAGTATACCTGTTTTGTTTTGAGATTTAGGTGTATGTTTTTATGCCTGTGTGAGTTCTCATGATAAATCCGCAAGGCTTCTACTTCGGTGGTGCTGGTTAAGCTTCTGGTCTGTCCAAGATTTTTAGCATTAAACCATTGGTTGATTTGATGATTGAAGCTTGCTATGGCAGACCATTTGGTGCTAACTCCATTTCCATTTATAGAATATTTTCACCATCCCTTAAAGTACATCTCCAAGGCACATCTCTGGTTACTTCAGTAAATGAAGCTCCATGGAAGAACTTGAGCTGCTACTTATTTTTTCCTATTTTCCAAAAGCTACTAGGGCATATGCATTATGTGAAAGGGTATCAAAAGTTACCGTTTTCCTGATTGTTTTTACTCTTTTAGGTTTATGCTTTGATACCTGTTGATGCAATGATGTGTGCCAATACAAGTTTCTGCTTCTTTGTGTGCATCTTCATTTGAAGAATAATAACATTAACTTGTTAGAGAAAGAATAGGCCTGCTTGTTTCAATTGAAGCTAATTATCCCCTATTGTTCCCAACCTTGTGCGGTACCCCACACACTAGTATGATATGTATACCTCCTTCATCCTCACTTTCCTTCGTTCTCCTTGTCGTTATGCTCTTCCTGCTCCTTCCTTTCACCTAATTTTTTAGCCCTACAGGCTACAATCATACAATCCGCTAATCCCCTGTCGTCCTCCTTTAGTTGGGATTCTGCACTTAACTTTTGCCACTATGTCTTCTCCCCGGCTGAAAGTTTGATACTCCATTCGAAACCCATCTCCGGCGAATTCAAATTTGAAGCTAGGTAAATATATGTAGATTTCTTCAGTTTGGTTTTCCAAGTATGGAATCATGGAGAACTTGAAAATCACATTTAAGAGAGATCGGGGGAGGAAAAGATGATGTGATTGGAAGTCAGATCTTTGACTTTTTTTAGGTTTTCCTGTTTGTTCTCTTCCATTCAAATTAAAACTTTGTATGACTTGACTGTGATTGGTGTTTAACTGAGCCTGTGTTCAACCTAAAATGATTTATCTGTTTGCCTATTGTTATATGTGATTGTACATAACATTCATTTTCCATGGTGTCAATTTCTGTTCTCTTTTTGCTCTATCCATCGTGACTTTGGAGTTTGAACTTTCACGTGTAAATTATTTGTTTTGGGTTTTGTGCAAATTTTTGTTAATTACGTTTATAACATTGAGGGATATGGAATTGTGATCAGGGAGATGTTTTTTGCTGTTAATTCTGGTACCAATCTTTTGAGAAAAAGTAGTGGTAGTTGAAGTTGGTGAAGGAGAAGTGGGAGGAAGCAAAGTGCTCATTGCAGCTTATCAGCTTCATAGGCATAAATAAATTGAGTTGCTTTCCTCTGCAGTTTGTTGGCTAGTATTCTTAAACTGCTATTTGCCACAGGATATGGACGAGCAGTTTATACTTCGAGTTCCACCTTCTGTAGCTGAGCGAATTGAGTCCCTTCTGAATGAAAGTGCATCTTCTTCCGATGATAAGTCATTGGATTTGACATTTACAGGTGAGATACATGCTTTATCTACACAATTAGCTACTCAAATTTTGTCTTAATAAATTATTGCCTTCTAAAAACAAGAAGAACCAAAAAGGGGTTCCTTTTAGATTTTTCATCTACTTTTGTAGAGAGAGTCCGAGATAACATTTAACTTGTGTAGATATCCTGGAGTGAACATTTTGAAGGCAATATTGACTTTAGAAAAAAATAGCTATCTCCATTGTAATTCTAGCCTATTCGCTTTCGTGATTGTCGATGTTTCTTAGTGGTTCTATAACATTTAGCCTTATCAAATTTCATATCCCTAATCATCGCTATTATGATATCATTTGTCAGTTCATTAATTCTGAGAGGAACCTATCTATGTGAAACAAGTATGTATGAAATGACAAGTTGCACCTTTGCCTGCTAAATAATGAGGATCATGTAATGCCAGTTCCTGAAGGAGCAACATAAAATGTAAAACTTGCTTCTATACGAACACTGTTGTATCTCACTGCCAGAAAGTTCTACTGAGGTTTCTTATGTGTATATTCCTTACTACCTTCTCAGGGTACTTATTATTTGAGTGCTGTCTGCTCAATTCTTTCTGTTGTAAAATAATTTTAAATTTCTTATCATTGTTGTCCTTTCACATGCTAATGGTACTCTACCGTCAAGAAAGATAGCATATCTGGTCTAAGAGTGTGTCTTTATTTTATTTTTCTTTTCTCATCTTCCCGTTTCCTTAGAGGATGGCAGAACCGGCAAATTTGTCATTGGCAATGATGAGTTCCCAGCATATCTCTTGGATTTACCTGGCATTGTGGAATCATATAAAACTTATGATGACAACGTGCTGATTAAAACAGCTGACGTTGGCCAAGTATGCTGCATTTGAAATTAATAATTTTTGTCACCATTGGTTTTAAAGCATCTTACGTCAAATTATGTAAGAATACCTGTCTCATATTTGCAGATGATCATGGTGAAGGAAGAAGGTGATAGTATTCCAGATGAGGTAGAGTACAGACATGGGCTCACACCTCCGATGCGAGATGCACGGAGGCGAAGATTCCGGAGAGAACCAGATTTGAACGTATGCCACCCTATTTTAAGTCTTACCTCTCCTTCAACTTGCAATTACTGCTAATTACTGCTTAAAAGAAATAGTATTGTAAGATGCCTGTTTGATATAGCGTTTCCTAGCTTTCGATGTGATTATTGATTTTAATTTATCTGGTGTGCTTTTATTGGGCTTAGAATATGTCTTAAGCATTAATGTTACAGTTTTCTAGTTGATTAATGTTGTCTTGTTTCTTGTTCAGCCCGAGCTTGTTCGCCGTGTTGAGAAAGATTTGCAGAATATTATGGCAGGGGGTACAGCTGAGAATATTGATATCCTTCCATTTGTTATGTTGTCTTTCGTTCTTATTTGAAGCATCAAGTTCCTAAGGACATATCTGCAATTTTAGTGATGAACTGGATTATGTTTATGCCTGGTTTGCATGGTATGTGAAGATCCTTTCTTCAAAAAGTCAGCTAAGGATATTGATACCTGCTGTTGTCCAATTTTTATTCTTTCTCCTTCTGTTTTGAGGAGATATGAAAAATTGTTGATGCTGAGAATTAGTCGGTCTCTCGAAGAGAAGGGTCTCAGTTAGTATTTACTTTGTTTTCTGTTGTCAATCCTTGACCAAAGATCTTACATGTTGAAGCTGCTGAGCAAGAGGTGGACGGTAATACTCGTAATGCAGATAAGAAAATAGAATCTAAGCCTCCGCAAAACCCAGATGTACCTGAGGCAGGAACAGCTGGTGGTGTGGAGCCAGAGAGAAGTGATTCTGATGAATCTGACTATTCAATATGATGGAGGCCCTTCATTGAATCTTCAGTTGTGTTATTGTTGAAGGTTAAAACTGTCCCTTGGGCATCTAATATGCTAGATGGATGTGAGTAGATTTCTTTTTAGTCCATGTGATCTTAGGTTAGCTGAAAATAAGTTTAATGGTTTATCTCTGTGCCTTACCTTGTTGTCTCTGTATGTATTGTTACTGGAGTTCAATAAGTTTTATTGCTTTGCAGTAATCATGGTGTACTGAGACTTGAAAGGTTGTTTATGTATTCTTTTTTCATCAATGGTAAATATATTGCTCAATGGTGAAAATTCTGTGACAAGTTTCATCCAGTGCTATGATAGTTTGTATACGTTGTTAGTAGATATATTTCTTAAAGATAGAGTTTTGCAGCGATAGACTGTTTGGTGTTAAGATCTGTTCAAACCACTCCAAAATGTTTTCATTTAGAAGCATGGCAATCAACTTTTCTGTGGTCAAGTGAAGTTCTTTGAAAGATGATTACTTTACTGAATATCCTCCCTTCCTTTCTTCCCATCTGGATATGATATGAACTTTGAGTCCCCCAAGGATGGCTATACATGATTTGCATTGTAGTTTAGTGGTAATTCGAACTGTAGGTCTTATGTTGAGGTCCATTTTCAAATTAATGGAGTTGTTTAAAGGTTCATCTTGTAATGAAATAGCTTTGTCGTTTGAACCCGTTTAGAGATAAATTTATGGGGTAAGGACGGGCTAATCATTAAACGACTCAATCAGAGGAAATGCTTTGTGCTGGTTTTGTGGTCAAATGTTTTTGGTGAAAGATTCTAGTTTCTTTAGTAGGTTGGATAGGCATTGATAGCTCTTTTGCATAAACCTGAGCTCCTCGTGACCTGCTAAAGTTTTATCAGTGGATGTTGTGGTGTGACTGGTGTCATTATTGTGGCCTCAATTTTGAAAATGCAAATTTGGCTAACAATATTAGATGTTTTTTCAAGGATCAATATTAAAATTATGCTCTGCTGTCTAAGTTCCTTTCCAGCTCCTGTCTAATCCTGTGTGTTGAGTTAGGCTAAAACTACCTATTCAATAATTATGCCCATTGAGATCAAGAGATATGTATTTTTGTATGAGCTACCAAACGAGGTGGTAGTCAGAACATTTAGCAAGTTTCTTTATGCATTATTTGGAGATGCCAGTAGTTAGTTAATGCTTTAATGTTGATACTTTTAAGAGGCAACTTCAGGTTGCTGTTTTTGGAGTTTCACGAGCACACTTGCTTATTTCCAACATTTCTGTGTTGAACCCTAACTAAAGTTTTGAAACTAGGCATAAACGTTCTTGCAGATTTTATGGGCATAAAGCATGGAGGATAGCAGGGCATTTGAGAAAGTGTATCTTCATGATACAATACTGAAAAATTTGAGAGTGTGAAATGTTTAAATTAGCACTTACATTTGACCCTTGCATTTTCCTGTTCCTTAGTAAACCATCAACTAGGTATATAAAATATAGAGTCCTCCTGTACTATTGGGTACAGGGAGGGAGGGCATTGTGGGATTACTTCTCAACATGTCCATTGATTTTCTGTACTTGGGGTTTGACCATTTGGTGTTAGGCACACACGTTTGAAAATCCAAGCACTTATTGGTCCAACCTTGTGAAATGGAACAAGGAAAACCTCAAGTCAAACAACTTTGTGTTGGGAGTGTACTTTTGGGAGTTTCTGGTGTAGACAAGTTGTGGTTTATGTCCAGTCCAGCTATTGATGAGGGAAACAAAGATATGGGGGCTATACAGACTCGGTTTTTGACTTTTTGAAGGATTTGAAGTAAAACACATGGTGTTGTGGTGCGTTGTGTTATGGTATGGTGTGGTCTGTGGTGTAGCAAACCTACTTAAAACTCGTTTGGTTAGTGAGGATAGTTTTAAGTAGTAAGTACTGTGATTAAGTTTAAGTTCTTCACATGGGCAAGTGGCTAATTCCAGCCTTAATCCTTATCCAAATCCCTAGTTTTTCCATGATTATCTTGATTAGGTATCGCCCTTTTGTTTTTTTTTTTAATTAATCTCCCACTTGTGAGGTAGTATTATGTACAGGCATGATAAGAGTTGTCTGGTTGCATTTTTAAATTTTTATCATACGATCGGAGAAATACGTTGGGAATTTTCGTTTCTAATACTTGTTCTTCAATTGGGGTCGTCAAAAATTTTGAATGATCCTGGTACTGGATGTGTGATGGTAGCACATTTGCAAAGAAAATGGAGTTAGGAATATTGGTAAGACCGTAAGAGTAGATATGTGGCTTTGTGTATGAGGACTGGACTGATGAAAGGCATGACGAAGACCATTTGACGAACAACTTACTTGGCAGAGAAGCTTGTTAGTTTTGGCCTTTTGGGGTTTAGTTAGTACTTAGTAGGGTATAGTACGTAATTGTTTGCTTGTTTGACAAGTTCATCTATGTAGAACTTGATGTGTCAATGGTTTTTTAATATGGATATGGATGAAATGGTCAACTGAGTTCTCCCCGTTTTTGCTTGTATTTGAGCTGGCGGCAATAGCGTGCAAAATGGTAGCAGTGACTAACTTAAGTTACTTAACGAAGTAGTGTTATTAATGCAAGAAAAAAAAAAAGAAAGAAAGAAAACTTGTGTGACTGAATTGGAAAAAGATTTGAGGACAATAAGCACCTCACAAAGTCCTAGTACAAATACAAATGGTAGTGACGGGAGAGCTGTGGAGATAGGATGATGAGGAGAGAGAGAGATGTAAGATTGAGATTGGCGACGTCGGAAGTTGGGTCATTCATTCTTCCCGACCACCAGTTGCGCGTCTTGGGTTGGGAGAGAGTAAACACAGTAGACGAAGTTAAAAGAAAATGCAGTCAACGCGACGAGAAAGCAAAGTATGTAATAGATAGACAGTAGTCAGTCCATTTGTATTAAATTAATGTCACACAAGCCAATGAGGTTGATAGGGGGAGATTTTGAGTCTGCCTTGCTGAATTCATCATGATAGTACGTAGTAATATTTTTCTCACTCGGCCCAGGAATTCTTGGAGTTCAAGTCGGGGGGGTCAACATCCACGACTTGTCACTAGTAGTATTTTAATGTCACCTTCAGGAAAAAGCATATGTGTGTTGGAGTCAACGTTGTTGTTATAAACTTGGTAAATTTTGATTATGACTCGAAGCTTGTGTTTTTTGTTGAAGAATTAAAAAAGTAGTATCAAGTTGTGGGCTTGAAGGTTTGAGAGTTGAAGATAATAGGAAATGATGAGATTAGTGTGTTATAGAAGGATTTACATACACAAAAAGTGGTAGGAAACAAATCAGGATACATATATACACCCCCACACACACATTCATCATTCACAAAGACAATAATATTGACTGGAATACATACGCAACTGAGACCTGCACACCATTCATCAGTGTAAAACCAATACTACAAAAGAAACAGTTGCAGCAGCAGCGGTAGTAAAGTAGTAATACAGGCTTGGATTTGGTTAATTTGGGGGCGCCTAGCTAGTGCCGACTTGTGGGAATCAATTAATATGTATGTATATTGACTATTCCATATGTCCATAAATGATTATACTAAAAGGAAAAAAAAAGGATTATTTTTTATTTACTATAAAGATGAAGGACTATTTTTATGGGATGAAGAGATACATAATATTTCTTCCGGTCTTTCGTATAACACTTTTTGTTTTGCCATAAATTTGATCTTGTATGTTCTTTTAATTAAAAATAAAATCTAAAAAATGTATTTGATTTTTACGTGTAATAGTATTATTCTAATTATTATAAAATATTTTTAAAATTTTATTTTCAGTTAAAAATACATACTAAATAGAATTTAAGACAAATCAAAATGTTTTATAATAAAGACGAAAGAGAGTATTACTATACTAGGAAAAATAGAAGATTCATATCAAACAAAAAGGAAAAGAGCAAGAAAGAAGAAGAAGCACCGACTTGGTTGTTGTTAGTAAGATTTGCGGATTTGGAGACCTGCCAGAGTTAGTTTCTTCTATTTTGTAATGCAGTGAGCGGCGGTGCGGCAATTCCACCGCGTTTAGTAGAAGGACCACACGCACATCCCTCCACCTACACACTTCATCATCTCACATCCATACTAGTAGGAGTACTAATTTAATAATATTCCTTACATTTTTCAAAAACATTTTTTCTCAGTTTAAATTTTTATTTTCAGTTCCAATTTTAATATATTTAGATAAAATAAAACTTCAAACATTTCTAATTCCATCATTTTTTTTTTACTAGTATAATCAAAGGTAACTAGTCTGAGAGGATGAGATGTTTGGGGGACGCACCTAGGGGTTACCCTCAATGATTTTGATGCCCCCAATCATTAACTAGTAAGTAGTAGTAACTAGAAAGAGATCCAATAATGCGATGATGGATGTATCCATCTATGTATGTAAACTTACCTAATTTGAGATTTGCCTTGCTTTCTTATTTTCGTTATTTTAGTTTCCATGGTATCTTTTTATTAGATTTGAGAATCCCCCTCCAATCCATCATCCAATCGTCCTCGACAAAGACAATATATTTGTGGGAATATCTATGGCGCATCATCAACCGTCCCATGCTTTCAGACAATCATTTTGTGTTCAAAAAATACGAACAAGCTTACCTCCGATGCACGTCTATTGAATCATCCGACACCATATTCTTCAAGTTGTTACCTTCCATAACTACGACTATCACTATCCTTCCAAAGTCCTCCCAACCCGGCCCTTTTCGCCATTATGAATGAACACCAAAAAGATTTGTTTGACACAATTTTTATGTTATACTACTTATAAGCAGTGTAATACTAATAATTAATAGTAATGATACTCATCGATTATTTAGTTAGTATCAACACAGGGAAGAGAGTCGGGATGGGGAAAAGAAAAGGGGTTGACTGGTTATGAAGAAGAGGGTAATTTACAGGTTTACAACTACAGTACATATATATGTGCCAGCCAACAAACGAGGACATTATTACCAAACCAAGAAATCTGGAACCGGAGAGAGTTGATTATAGGAGAAATTAATAGGCAGACCGGTCGGCGTGGTTACTCTGTCTGACAAACACGTGGATTTAATATTTTGCTTTTTTCAGAAAATTGACAGCCAACAGCGCCGTACGTTGCAAAGTACTTGCTTCCCAGTTCCCAATCCCATGATATATATAATGCATCCCTGTAATAATTTATAAGAAAGAAAGAAAGAAAAAAAAAAAAAAAGCAGAAATAGTGAATTTTTTTAATTTAAAGGGGTAGAGAGATATGAAGGTGCATGGAGATCCGAAATGTGACAGTTGGATATGACGATGTCATCATCATCATATTGGTCTGATTTTTCGTTCCATTTTTTAAAAAAGATTTTATATAAAAGTAGGAGTATAATAATTATATAACACGCCAGAAATATTATTAGTTATTAAAATCGAGAGGGTTGTATATCTGGCCTAGCTAAGCTCCGTTAATTCAAAACCTTATTATTAGTAGTATTAATTAAATTAAGATTTTAAGTTGTAGCCAAGTAATAGTACAACTACTTTTTTTTTTCTTTTTTTTTTTTGAAGAAAAGGGCAAATGAGATTCATACTACTTCTACTACTATTGTTTCGTACTAGTACTTTGGTTTGTGGTGGCGGGTTTGACTTTGTGCAGCCGTGATGCCGTCGGCACAGCCAGATAATCACGCCCTTCTCTCCTCCCCGCCCACCGCATTTCCAAATTACTAGTACTTACTACTATTAATTCTTCCATCATTAATTAAGCACTCACTGCTAATTGTCGTTTTATTATTAGTATCCATATATTAATCAGGTGGCTTATTAATACCATTGCCAAAAAGTGTCATATGAATTGATATGATACTTTTTGGCAAATAATAGTAGAAGTAAAATGCTTATGATTTCTGAAATGTTCAGTGATGATTTGTAATTAGATGCCTTCACGTATGTAGCTCTTGACTCTATACATGGATCTTTCTTGTACTCCCTCCGTCCCATAATTATTGTCCAGTTTGAGTTTCATTTCTAGTTCAAATTGTACTAAAAGTGAAATATCAAATTGGATAATAATTTTGGGACAGAGTGAGTATATTAATAAATAGATAATAATAATAATAAAAAAAAAAGAGTAGAACAGGACTTTATCAAACCAAAAAAATCTAGCCGAGGTAAGAACTGCTGCACATATTTATGGCAGCTTTGATTTCACCGAGGATTGAATTGAATTTCAAAAGATGCATATGCAGCTATAGTTGAATTCTTGAGTGTGTATAAATTCATGTTGAATTTTGAATTCCAAAAAGTAGTGAGTATAAAACATATTCAATTAGTATTTATCTGGAATTATTCTTCAAAGACCGTTTATTTTTTTTGACTGCAAGATCTCACTCACACACAACCCCGGTGAATCAGTTATCTTTTCCCCCCAGATTCCTTTTCTTTTTTTTAAAAAAAAAAAAAAATGAAAGGAAAGCTACAATAACAAAATCAATATGAAAGGGCTTAAATACTTGAAAACTCTAGTTTTCTTTTTTCTTTAATTGAAGTTTAATTTGATCTCATTTTCCTTTTCTTTTTAACATATACATATGAACGGTTTACTTCTTTTTTCTCAGCATTATTCTTCTTCTAGTCCAAAAATATATTGTCCTATTTGTTTAATGGGGAATAGTAATTAACAACAAAAAAATATGTGACAGTCATTTGGGGCTGAGGAGTTTTCTCATTCATTGTTATGAATTTAGGGTAGTTACTAATTGGTCTCCTTGTTTGACATCATTATTATATTTCATATAATTAAGCTTATTAGCTAAATGAAATAACTTGTGATGTGCCTGACTGGTCCAAAATAATTCTCTTCATTTGTTGGGATGCTTCTGGGGGTCTCCAAGTGGAAGTATTCAGTTTGCTCCAATTTCTATTTAATGTTGAATGAAAACAATGATACTATATATTATAATCAGTACAAAAGAGTTAACATATAAGTAATTTGAATGTCTCCATCAACTTAGATAGACTTATTCCTATATACCTAAACATCACTAACATTGTCAGTCACACATAAGCATACACATCATTAAAACACACACACACACACACACACTTTGTAATAAAATCTCATAATGTTAACCTAATGATCATTGTATGTTATTTGGTGCATATTATTTCGATCTGAGGTACCAACCCCCAACTAGTATTAATTTGTTAAGAAATCTCTCCTTATATTCTCGGTGTTTGTTATTACTCATAAAATACTCTACTAACTTACCTAGTGTATTTAACTTTTTTAATTTTTTTTTACCTAGTGTATTTATTTCTAAAGGTGGCTTGCTTAACAAGATTAAGTGATGTTACATCTTCTTTTCCATCTCTAGTTTTTACAAAAATTAATTAAAAATTTGAAAAATTGTCTTCTAATTGGGGTGCCAAAACTAGGAAGTTGTAGCAGCCTTGGGGAATACTCAACTACGACTAAGTAAAACTAAAGTAAATTAGTTTAATCAAATTAGCGAGATATGGGCTGATGTGGAGGCTTACGTATTAGCCCTAATTTGTATTTCTTTCTATTTACATACTATTAAATCCAAGTAAAAAAAAGTTGGTCAAGCTTTGAAGAGTCCACTTCAGTTGTATTACTTCATTTTTTTAACAATACTTTATTATTATTATTAATGAATTTTGTTGCCCAGCCCTAGAAACTTCAGTTGGAAGGCCAAATTAATTAGGTCAGCCATTATGCATGTATATTTGCTAGGTGAAAGTTGTGTCCCTTTATGATTTGTCAGCTGCTGTTAAGTTGTTGATACTTTTTTTAGTTTTTTCTGGTTATTTACAACATGTAATACATCCAAGAAAAAAGAGGGATTTGTTTGGTTTGATTTGACGGGCATGCAGTACATTCCGAAATTTATTTTCGTGGAAATTAAAGTGATTTGAATGAGAAATTTAAGGTTGAAATAGACACTCAAATTGTAGGAAATTGAATTAAAATTATGGACTTGACTATTAAACTCCCATCTCTGTTTACTTTCTAACAATTAGACAGAGTCTTTACTCTTACATATGTACGAATAGTTTTGAATTTTAAATTGTAATATTCCAAAAATTTTCTTACTACTCCCTCCGTCTCACAAAAAATAGTCCACATTGAGTTTTGTACTGTTTTTAGTATAAATTTGAAAATTCAATCTGGACTATTTTTGTGAGATGGAGGTAGTATAATTAATGAAGTAGCTGAAAATCAATGTATCGCATCATTTCCTCTTCTTTGAAAGTTTCGGACTGTTTTTTTTTTTTAATTGAAAAAAGTCATTTTTTTACGGAGTTTTGTATGAAATTAAGCTCACACGAAAAAGCTCATACTTAAAAGGAACAAGTGGTAAAACATTTCCATAAAAAGAAAATATACAAATGGCAAAAGGTTTCAGTTTATTTTTCCTTTTTGTTTTCATATACGTAGCAGGGGTAAAAGAAGAACAAAATGAGTAAAAGTCTGAAAACACACTTTTTCGAAGTCAGAAGAACAAAACAACAAAGTTAAATTCATTTCCCCACTGAAAGAAACCTTTTTCCCCCCCTTTTTTGAGATATGTCGTCAAAACTGCGAAAAATACCTTAAAAAAAGTCCATTCCACGTGCCCATGGCTGTCTCTCCTTCCCCCTTCTTCCTCCCTATTTATTCACCTTCACAGATAGCAACATTTTGCTGTCCCAAACTAACACCCAAATTTAGAGAGAGGGCAAATTAAAAGGGAAGAAGAAGAAGAAGAAGAAGAAGCATTTGCAATTTGCATTGTACAGAAGAAACAGAAAGGAAAGAATTCAGTGATTTTGAGCTATACTCGTATCAGAGAAGTTCTGCAAAGAAATTTTCATTTTTCTCAATTTAATTCGGGATATCGAGTTTGGGGCAATCTTCCTCGTTACCCCACCAAATATTTCGCCAAGTCTTCCGAGTTTCTTGTTTCATTGAGGTACAGCCCTTTTCAATTTTTCTTTGTTTTTACAAAAAAGAAGCCTTTTTTACACGTTTATGACACGTGGTTTCGTTTTATCAAGTACAAGATGGTGTCCTTTTGTTTTTGTGTTTCTCTGAGAATTTTTTTTTTAATGCAATATGGTACGCGGGTTTCTTGTTCTTTCTGCCAGAAAATTTATATTACACCCTTGCGTGTTTTATGCTTTTTTGGTTTTGTTTGGGAAATAGGATTTGTGTCATTTCTCTGTTTTGAAGTTCTATTCGGCTGTCTTTGTTTGAAAGATGCAATCTTTATATGAAAAAATAGCGTTTTAATGGAATGGGTCAGAATCAGAGAGCTGAGAAACTGATGCCATTGGGCTGCAAATGGCAAAGTTTCTTATGATTTTTCTTTTAATTGATTGAAACCCCTTACAGAGTTTGCTCAAATGATGATAACATATGCAAATCAAATTTTTGATTAATGTTATCAGCTGGTTTTTGAGTGCATCTCTTTGACCAATTCCAGTGAAGGAAAATGGTTAGGAATATACTTGGTATGTTGATGTTGATGTTGATGATGTTTTTTCCCCACTTTTAAAGGTTGTCCAAATTGCAAAATGCTGTTTAATTTACCAAAAATCATTGATTTTTTTGTTGATTGACAGCCTATTAAATGACTAATTTATCATCTGAACTGTTTTCATCAGTTTTCAGATACATATCTTCTGTGAATTTGTTCCCTTTTTGTTTCTGATATACTGATGATGGTCTGGTTGATGGATTTTCCTCACAGGAATCCAGAAAGTGGTTCAGAGTTTGTCTGAAATTGCATGGGTGTATCATTTTCTTGTCCATTGGGTGCTTACTGTGATCTGGATAATGGGTTTGAATCTGCCCTTGTGAAATCCATTGTCTTCTCTGGTGATCATAATGATTGTGAGGAGAAGAACGCGTACCTGCAGAATCTTGAATCCAATGAGAAGTTCCCCTTGATTGATTCTGAAAGTGAGGAGAATATGGGCGGAACTGAGAGCAGAGTCATTAGTAATAATAGCACTCCAGGCCTTACACAAGATATGATGGCCATTGTCGAAGTGCCAGCACTGCCATCGTTGAACAACTGTTCAAGTCCTAAGCATGAAGCTGCTGTCAAGTTGCAGAAAGTGTACAAAAGCTTCAGGACTAGAAGAAAGTTGGCTGATTGTGCTGTTCTCATTGAGCAGAGTTGGTATGTCTTTGTTATTTTTGAATGAAATTAAAACTTATTCATAATGTATAAACTTTGCTTAGTTACCAGTGTTTTGATTGATCTTTTGGTTCTTTCAGGTGGAAGTTGCTAGACTTTGCGGAACTTAAGCATAGTTCGATATCATTCTTTGATCTTGATAAACATGAGACCGCCATTTCAAGGTGGTCAAGAGCTAGGACGAGGGCTGCCAAGGTGGGGAAAGGACTATCGAAAAATGCAAAGGCGCAGAAACTCGCATTACAACATTGGCTCGAGGCGGTATGTCATTATGATACTTGATCTCTTTTGTGTTTGTATGTTTTATTCATTTGGGATGTGTGCTCATCTGCAATTTCTTTCTTGTCTGCGTCGAACAGATTGACCCACGACATCGTTATGGACACAACCTACATTTCTATTACATGAAATGGCTGCATTCTCAAAGCAAAGAGCCTTTCTTTTATTGGTCAGTTTTTCTTAATAACAATTCAGTACTTGATGCAAAAGTGTTCTTTGTTACTGTCAGTGCACTTACCTTTATGTTCCCCTTCATTATATACGATAGTAATTATCATGGTTCACTGAATGCAGGCTTGACATAGGAGAAGGGAGGGAGGTTAACCTTGTTGACAAATGTCCTCGATGCAAACTCCAGCAGCAATGTATCAAGTATCTTGGGCCGGTAAGCCTTTTCTTCATTGTTTTGTTCTCATCAAACGCTTCTCTGGAGATTAATTGTCTTTTGCGTTAAATGTAATCCCTGATGAATCATTTTGTGTTTTGAATCACAGATTGAAAGAAAGGCTTATGAAGTTGCAGTGGAAGATGGAAAACTCTTATATCAGCAGACACAGGAGCTTCTTGACACGAGTGCAGAACCGAAAGCTAAGTGGATTTTTGTTCTCAGCACAACTCGGACAATGTATGTAGGCAAGAAAAAGAAGGGAACGTTTCAACATTCGAGTTTCCTTGCTGGTGGTGCCACATTAGCTGCCGGAAGGCTAGTTGTTGAGAAAGGAATTTTAAAGGTAACAAGATCAGCTATCCGTTCTGTTCAAATAGATGGTGAACTGGATAAAATGTCCTTATATCATTTACTGAGTGTTAGCCTTACTAATGTGGTTTTTTGTTGATCCTTTCACAGGCTGTCTGGCCTCACAGTGGTCATTACAGACCCACACCCGAAAATTTTCAGGACTTCATTTCATTTCTGAAGGAAAATAATGTTGATCTCAGTAATGTTAAGGTATAAAAAAAGCACATATCATGTACTAGTTGACTGTTTTCTGATCCTTATGATGCCGCCTTATAAAGTGCAAGGTGCATGACTTCTGATTGATTTCAAATAAATGTTGCTTTCGTGCAGCTTGACTCTGTCGATGAAGAAGAATCGACACTAGGAAGGGCAAGCAGTGGACACATGAGGAGTAACTCCTCTGAAGAGGATTTGGCTGAAAATTTGTCAGCCTCCTTAGAAGAAGTGGAAGAGGAAAATGATGTAACAGATTCATCGTCTGAGTCCATCAAAAGGGGGGATAGTTCTGCAGCCGAAGATGCAGAAGAGTTGCCTAATTCTAAGTCGGTTCGGGTGTTTGCTAGCAAATTGACAAGCCTGGAGATTCCAAACAATGATGGTTTGTTACAGTCGTTGAAGTCGTCCCAAACGGAATCCAACAGCACCCCGCCTGATTCGCCATCAGATGGATATGAAACAGCTGAAGAAGAAACAACAACGAGGCCTCCTAATACGCCTGTTTCGTCCTCCCTGGATGCGATCGAAGAAGTAGAGGAAAACGCCTCGGAAGAGTCCATCCTGAAAAGGATCAATTCGCACAGTAAAGGGAGTAAATCAGTTCAGTTAGGGGAGAAGCTGTCATGCAAATGGAGTACTGGAGCAGGACCAAGGATCGGGTATTTACGGGATTACCCGACGGAGCTCCAATCCCATGCACTGGAAGAAGCGAATCTGTCTCCCAGAAGCAGTGGTAATAGCAATAGTTTGTTGCTACAGAGGTTCAGTCACATTAGCAAGGCTCATTGTCCGTCACCATTGTCTCCAAGAAGGCAGTATAGGGATAGGAATTAGAAGAATTAATCCTTCTTATTATTTTTTAATTCATTTTCAAATTTATTGGGGGGCTTGTGAATACAAGAAATGACCTAGCTAGGCATTCTTTGTCATTTTTTTTATTTTTTTTTTACTTTTCTTGGGTTGTAATTTATCTGAACTCTGATGCACACAATTTTGATGATAGAGTGTGCATCAGAGGATGAAGGTTGTACATTACCACCATCATTCTTTATATTTTTGGAAAATGGCAAAAAGGAAAAAAGCAATTCTTTTATAATACAATGTGAAATCGTGAATGAAGTCTGTAGTTGCTCCACTGGATATCATATCCCTCCAGTTGGATCAGCTTTCCAGTTGTTTTGGTGATGATAGTATATTATCCTTTGAAACATATGGAAATATTGCGGAATTATACTTAGTATAATAGTTAATATAGTACAACAAACGCGACATTTGTTTGGGACGGAGGAGAAGTATGGCAATATTGGAATTGAGGCAGGCTGTGATTGACTTGTTCTTAAAAAATGTAGGTTTGAGTACGAGTAAGTAGTGGTTTGGTGAGGTTTGATGAGATTTTGGGAATTGTAGTCATATATATTTGTTGATTCAAAATACTACTCCACGTCAATAAGTTTAATGCAATTTGGGGAGTTGGATGAATGGAATGATTGTGTGTGTGTGTGTGTGTGTGTGGAACTAGGATGAAATGGAACCCACAGCAATTCTCCGCGTACAACAAACTAACTACACACGACTTGGTCCACTTCCATTTCCATACTTCCCATTCCTCCCTCATTATTTATCATTACATTAATTTTTGTTTGGTCAAACCACATTCTCAACTCAATTTACCTCTTACACATTAAACCCAATGCAAAATAAATAACTGTCTAAACAATTTTTCAATTTACATTTTGAAATTTAACTTAAACTATATTTTATCATAATATTTAGTATACTGACCATTTATGAAATTGAAATATTTCAGTGACCAAACTGAAGATTTTACAATAGTTAGTAACCATCGACACAACATCAGCTTAAATTAAATATGTAGCAAAATTGTTCAGTAGTCAGCAGTATATTCTTAATATTGGTGATCTACATCCTACAATAATGTTTTGGGGCACAAAATAAGTTATTTTATCCTACAATATCGAAAATAGTCATGTTAAAAATGAACATATATTTTGCTATTAACAATTTAAAGGGAAAATTCTAATTAACTTTTTTTTTTTTAAAAAAAATGTGTTTGTTTGGTCCTCAGTTTTATTTTCATTTTTTACTTAAATCTGAAAAGTAATTTAAGTGAAAAACGTAATGGAAGATGAAAAAGTTGTTTGGATGGTATTATAGCATAATGACCATTAATGAAATTGAAATAATTCAGTGACCAAACTGAAAACTTTACAATAATTTAATGCCCATCTGCGTATCACCCACTTAATCTAATTGAGAAATTGATAAAGGTAGGAAAACCCACAAAAAACAACTCTAATTACTCTGATGGTAGGATCTCAATGGGAACGTCTTATCCAAGAATGATACATATTGTCAACTGCTACTTTTCTTTACTTGATTTTATATATATATATATATATATATATATATTATTAGGGTTTTGGGATATGGAATTCTTCAAAGTACGCTTTTAGTTTGGTACATGGTTCACTTTTCTGACTTTGTTTTTTGAGTTTCGAAACATTACATGTAATATCTAAAGATTTTTTAAAATTATTTTTATTATGTTAGCAAGTTTGCTTACTCACTCTATGAGCTGGTTTCAATATTTTCCATTAGTTTCCTTTTCTTTTTTCTTCTTTTTTGAAAGGTTAACACATTAACCGTTTTCTTCATTTATTTCATCTGTCGAATTTCTGAATTTTATTTCATATACATGCACAAATTTTCCACGTACAAAAAATGTCATTTTTATAAGAATAGTAATCCCTCCGCCCCATAAAAAAAAAGTCATTTTGTATTGTTTTTAGTATAAATTTAAAAACTCAATGTGGATTATTTTTTGGGACGGAGGTAGTATTTAATTTTCGTTTCATTCGATTTGTAGGATTGGCTTAGTGAATCATTCAATTTTTTTTTTGTTTTTTGTTTACTTAGTGCAATTATGTTTGTTTCGTTTTTTATGTGTATTTTTAGGTATTTTTTGTATTGGAAGTGTAAAAAAGTGTATTGGAAATGTAAAAATGTATGGTGGGATGGGATAATTATTATTTTATTAATCTAAAAAAACCATAAAAAAAAACTAAACAAACAATTAAGTTCTTTTGAATAGTACGGTTTTGCGAAGAATCAAAGCTTCAAGAAACCGAGTAGAGACCATAACACATTTTTAACAGTATTTTTTCCCCGACTGATGAGACTAAGATGCTGTAAATTAACCGGCACTAAGACGGGTTTCTTTAATTTCTCCTTCCATGCGTAAATGAAGCGCATGACTAAGGCAGTCCATCTTACAGAATTACAATTTATAAATTGAACTATTTAAGTTTTTAAATCAAAAAAATTAATAAGGAAAATTGAATAAAGTATCATGTTAATTTTTCATTTTTTTTTCGGAAAAAGTATTTTTTTAGTTATTAGCTAATATAAATCTCACCGGTTCAATTATAAGATTTAAAATTAAACTGTATTCCAAAAAAAAAAAAAAAAAAAGAAGAAGGGAGGCGTATAACATAGTACATCATTGACTTTTATAAGCTACAAAAATCTTTGCCAAAACCATACGTTTTCCAGGTCAATGAGCTGCGCGCCATTAAATTGACCCTTTCACTTAATTTGGTTTCTTGTCGGTTAAGCACCCCTTTTGAACAGATGAAGTCAATGACATTAGAAATGCAGTTCAATATTTCAGGAAATAATTAAAGTCTAATTCATCATCAAACTCCAAGGTTAACGCTTAATTAAAAAACATTTGAAAAAATATTAATATTTATACATTAGTCTTAATTTGATTTACAATCATAAATTTGCACTGGAAGCTGGTTGCTAAAGGTACAGACACGGGAATTTTCGTAGTCTAAAAACTCAAAAAACCTCATCAAAAAAGGTCAACTATGATGTCTGATTTATTAGAGACACATAAACACACAATGTTTTTGTGTAAGCCTTTTAATTAGTTCACTTAATTATATAGTAAAAGGCACAAATTCAAAGCTGTAACATTTGTACTTTTGTCACGCAAGTTCACAACATCATATCACAATACAACTCCGTTTTTAAGAACAAAATCTGGAAATCATGAAATGGCAACGTACGTACGTACGTTATGCATCTGATCATATTCTCATCTCATCATGTCTTCCGTATAAATACATAAGGAATCTTCAATTAGGTTTTGATCAGTTCATGAATTTTCCCAAAGAATTTCACACAGAAATTATTCTTATTCCCCAACAAAAACTGCACCCTAATGTTATACTACTAACTGCTGATCAAGATTTGGAGTTGGATCAGGTTCAGACATCCTGATGCGCTCTCTCTATATCAATGATTACAAACAACTTTGAGGTTTACTTCCAACTGACTTTACTGATCTCTCCAATCTGCGGGAATTAATTAACCAGCATTAACAATATATTATATTTTTGACTACAATATTTACTAACATTTCGTACTACCAGAAAAAAAGAAGAAGAGTGCAGTTGACTCAGAAAATTCAATCATATATATAAATGTGTAATAATAATGTGTGTGATCAGGAGCATAATATCTGTAGCTTACTTAAGAGCAGCTGTCACCACTTTTAGATCCATTGCACCTCTGTTTTTTTTTTTTTTTTTTTCTTTTTTCCTCAGCATAGTTTATGAATGAATGATTTGGTTTATCCCGCTTTTTTTTTTTTTTTTTTTTTGGTGCATTCAATCATGCAACACGAACATTACTATTGGTCATATGATTTTCATCATTATTTTTTTTTTTTTAGGGTTTGCTTGTTTGTGGGAGAGTTGGTGCAATATGGTATCATAAGAAGGGGATTTGTGAAAGAGGTGAGTTGCATTCATTCATTTTTCAACTCATTTGTTAGATATATGTGACATTCACCAATTCTTTTATTGTCTTTCCAACCGTTCCTTCTAGAAAAAAAATAAAATTATGGAAGGAACGGAATAATAGTAAATAAATCATTTACCATTTGTGTAATAATTCGAGATTAAGAATCTCGATCCTAACCCAAAAACACATACGAAATGGGAAAAGAAAAGAAATAACAAAAAGAAAAAAAAAAAAGATGAACAAGATGATGCCAATCCCCTTATCCCCTAGTTTCATCGTAATTTTGTGACATTTTGGGCCTGATTCTGTTATATGGGCCTAGACTGAGTTCTCTTATAATTCATGAATGACGCATCTTCAAATGCACATTTCGGCCTCTCACAGAGTTTCAAGATGCCTATTTCATCTATGGGTTGTGGCCCAAACTTCATTCTCCATGGGATCCAAAAAAAATGTCTCAAAACATTAATTTTAAAAAATGGGATATCTTTTCGAGTGAAATGTTGTGACTAGAAAAATATAATTTTAAAAAGAGAAAGAAAAGCAAGTGTGTAATGGAGGAGACTAGGAAAGGACTAGGGTGGAGGCAAAGAGAGAGGTATGGGAGAACGCTCCTTCTAAAACCGAAGTGGTGAAGCATGGGGGAATTTGTCCTTAACCTTAAGGATGCAAACAAACTCCCCTCAAAAGATCCCCAAATTTATGCACAAATCTCTAAAGGTACTTGTGTTTCCCACCACCCACACTACCCCCCATATCCCCTAATTTCAAAAATTTCAATCTTCCTAGTTCCTAACTCCATCTTCAAGGCAAAAGATCTCATTTTAGGTATATACTGGCCAACAGCTCCAGTTCAGCTTATTTAATTTACATCAATGTAGTTGCAGTTGTGGACTTGAGGAGGGAATCCTAGCGTCTTTCTTTCTTATGATGGACCCAAACAGAAGATTGAACTGGTAAATACTACAGTATATTCCTTGGTTCTGAAAACATGTTGGATTTTGTCAATACTAAAAACTTACTAAAAGGAAAAAAAAAAAAAAACTATAAAAATTTGGGGGGTTCTTTCAATCATTAAGCTAAGTTTTGTTTCTATTAGTTTCATGTTTGAACAACATTATGAGCTGGTGTTTATTCATAGCAAAATGGAACCTTTTTTAATCCCAGACCAAAATAACTGCCTTATCAATTGGCCATTTATCGTTATCCTCTTTTGTAGTGGACTTAAGGATTTTCCAGCAAGTTGTTTATAATTTGACGATATTTTTCTCTTTGATGAGAGTTCATTTTCATTTTTGGGGACGGTTTAAAACTGGTGGGGTTACCAACATTTACTCCTGTTGTTGACATGCAATATTATACCATCAATGAGTACATATTTTGACCCTCCCCCTTCCCCAGTAATAAAAGGAACAAGCAGAAAGAGGACATTTGAGAAAAGTATCTTATTTATTAATTATTTGTTCAGCATGCTTATATGAAAAGACACAATCTTTGGTAACAACAAATATCAGACATTAAAGAAACGAACTTGGAAAAAAAATCTCTACTTTTATGGGTAGTAGTAGTAGTAGTACAGTGGTACTAAGCTATATTGTATTTTCTAGTGGTTCCAAAAGCAGTGTGCTGAGGACTGGCTGCCCTTTTTCTTCTTCTTTTCTTTCCTTTTTTCTTTTTTCTTTTCTTTTGAACTGGGATACTGGAATTTAAAAGGGCCATCTAGTGGTTCCAAAAGCAATCAGAATCTTGTTTACCTAAAAAGGTGCTAACTGGTTAACTAGTTAGCTGAATCTTTGCCCTTCGTTATCAGCTTGAAATATGCACTTCAGCTTACTTTCTCATTCATTTCAAAAGGGCCATCATCATCAATTCATCATCCTTTACCCTTCACAGTTGTTAGTTTGTAACTGATGCGGACTCACTTTTCCATCCCTTCTCCTCATCAGTTCCTATTCCCCTCAGATTCATACTTGAGCATTAGCATATTTACCTGGTCCATTTGTAATCATACCACTCTTACTTCCCCACTCATGTACTTTTGAGTAGTTCTACCTTTGTTTTTTTCTGGGAGATGGAAATGTTTCATTCTCTTGTGGAAATCAAGCATCTTTCAGCAGGTAAGAGTTTAAACCATAAACGGCTTAGTTGTGTGTTTGTTGTTTTCCTGTTGTTGTGTTCTGGTGCCTTTCAGAATGGATTTTGCGATGATTTTAATACCATGGTCTCTGTTCCACTTGGTTTTGAAATAAATGGGATGGACCAAAGTAATAACTTTCGGTTATCCGAAAATGGGATTTTTGCATTTGGATTCTTGAAAAGTGATGATCTTGATAGTTGTGAAGTTGGCATTTGGTATAATTTGGGAAATTCAAATGTAAATTTACCTGTTTGGACTGTTGGTGGGGGTGTTAAAGTTTCTCTTGATTCTTCTATTAGGCTTGATTTGGATGGGAGGCTAGTTTTGGTTCAAAATCAAAATGGGGAAAAAATTGTATTATGGAGTAGCAATACATCAGGTTTAGGTATTAACAAGGCCAGTCTTTTGGACAATGGAAATTTGGTTCTTTTGGATAGTAAAGATAAGGTCTTGTGGGAAAGTTTCAGTAGCCCTACAAATATTTTGCTTCCTGGCCAGTCTTTCCATTATCCGCAAAACCTTCGGGCCCTTTCAGCGAAATCAACCCTAAGTTATTACAGTTTGGTGATTAGCAAATCTGGTGAGCTTCAGCTGGTTTGGGAGCATAATGTCACTTACTGGAGGAGCCCAATTAGTCCCAGTGTGCTTGTAAAGGAAGCAAGGTTTGATAATGATGGCGTGTTGGGATTGTATGATGAATATAACAAGGTGGCCTGGTCTGTTTCAAGCCAGGATTTGGGGGACCTATCATCTACTAAGACTTTACAACACCTTAGTTTGGATCAAGATGGCAACCTGCGGATTTACTCTTGGCACAATGTAACTCGTGAATGGAAAGCCGGATGGCAAGCAGTGCAGGAGCAATGCAATGTGTTTGGTTCCTGTGGTTTGTATAGTTTGTGTGGATATAATTCAACTGGTCCTGTTTGCTGGTGCCTGTATTCTCTGTCTTTGGAAAATTGGGACACTGCCTTTTCTCCTATTGCTGCTGACTTTGGTGGTGGTTCAGGATGCCGAAAAATGGTGGATTTAGCAAACTGCAGGATGCGTACAAGCATGGTGGTTATGAAACAAACGGTTCTTTATGGTATTTATCCTCCCATTGATGTTGAAATGTTCCTGAGTGAAAAGGATTGTAGGGAGTATTGCGCCAATGACTCCACCTGCATTGCCGTAACCTCAATGAATGATGGTTCAGGGAAATGTACAGTGAAAAGAACAAGCTTTATCAGTGGTTATAATACTCATTCTGTTGCAGCCACTTCCTTTTTGAAAGCATGTTCCGTTCCACAAGCAGTTGCAGCTCAGATGAACTCACATAATAGTGCTGGATTAATTGATTCCTCAATTTCTGGGCGCAAAAAGGCCAGTCAAGCAAACACAAGAGCTCTCATTGGGGCTATAGCGCTCATCGCTTTTATCACTGTCGTTGTTGTTGTGAGCTTGGAGCTATTTGTAATATGGATTGCTCATGGGAGTGGACAGATCAAGCCTCAAACGCGTATTCCTTTCGGAAAAGATGCTCGGATGAACCCACATTACAGTGCTCTTATCAGACTTAACTTTGAAGAGATAAAAGGACTGACAGACAACTTTGCAACTCCACTGGGACCCTCTTATTTTAAAGGAACCCTTCCAAACAAAACCCTTGTGGTGGCGAAACTGTTGAATGACATCACTGTATCTGAAAAGGACTTTCGGTTTGCAGTTTCTACATTGGGCGGAACACACCACCGCAATCTTGCCTCGATCAAAGGGTTCTGCTTTGAGCCAAAACATAAGATTCTTCTTTATGAGTACATCCCAAATGGATCGTTAGATCATTGGTTGTTAGGCCCTGAGGTGGATGAAAGTAAAAGGGTTTGGCAAGAAAGGCTGCAAATTGCAGTTGGGGTTGCGCGAGCTATTGCTTACCTTCACACCGAGTGTCAACAATGCATAATCCATGGGAATTTGAAGCTAGAGAACGTCTTGCTTGACGAAAATTTGGTCCCTAAGCTAACAGATTTTGGGTTGCGAAGCCTACTGTTCAAGGAAAGAGTAGCATCTTCTTCTACAGAAATGCCATCCGAAAAGGATATATACATGCTTGGAATGCTGTTGTTGCAAATTGTTACATGCAAGAGGGATGTGGATGGGATCAGTCCACATAAAATGCTTGATGAGCTATTTGATCAGAAGGAGAGATTTGCTGACAGTGATGAGTTTAAGTCGGTTGAAAGAGTGATGAAAATAGCCATATGGTGCATGCAGGATCAGCCGTTTTTGAGGCCTTCCATCAGTGAAGTAGTTAAGGTCTTGGAAGGCACACTTTCCGTTGATCGCCCTCCATCAGGTTTCATGTTGAGTCGAAGCATTGCTGTTGAGAGGCTAGAGGGAGAAGAATCCTAAAGAATCATACTCCTTTGATTTTATAGCTGCTGTTAGGGAAACTCTAAGCTTAAACTCCATTCGTGAGTTTTGTTTCCTTGATGGGAGTTCAAAAGTTTTGTGAACGAACTCCCTTAAGGTTTTTCTTTTTTTCAGGGAAAGACAAAATAGGCTTATGCCCAAACTTAAGAGCTCGTAAACTTTTCATGCTTTGTTCGAGCCTTTTCTTTTCCTCCATATTGCCAGTTTTTATTTCGGAAAATGTGGCATATTCAGAAGCTCCAGAGTTAGGATAAAAGGAAAAACTATACTACGAGTACTATATCTTTGGAGATGAAAAACATACATGATTCTTGCTGATACAAACATTCAATAATGGCATTCACACTATTCAAGTTAGAAGAATCCTAAATTTTGCCCCCTGCATTTACACTATTCAAGTTATTTTAAAGTAAACTAGGTGTTATACCCGCGCACGATGTGGACTATACTGTGTTTTCTTCTTAATCATTAAGACCCTGTTAACGATGAATAGAATGAATTTCTCATGGACATTTTGCAGTACTGTAGTCATTCAAAGACATTATCCCAATAAGAATGGTTTTGAGCAATTCGCGAAGTTGAAGGCTGGTTAATATTATACTGTACCATATAGACCACCTTCTAAACTACTGACTAAAATTTTGGAAGGAGTATTATCCGCATGTAAACAAACTTTTTTTCATCTCTGTCAAGTTAACAGCAAAATGGATCACTGGGGTACTTACTTTTTTCTTTGTGGATTTTGTGGACTATCAAATGCAGGTTTTTGTGAGAGATATCAGTATAATCCGTGAACTTGTTTTTTTTTTCGGGAGATATCAGTGTAATCCGTCAACTTAGATATGTTGTATCATGTCATGCCATTTACATTTTACGCTAATATTCAACTGAAGATTCAAACACGTTCAGTACCGTTGGCCTACTTTATACAGAAACTACAAAATCACTTAAATGTACTTTATACTGGATGGAAAATGGATATGGAAAAACCATTGAAAGGCTCCGAGACAACAATGCTAAAAGTTGAATAGAGAAGGGAAAACCGAAATTCGTTAATAATGAATTGCAAATACAAATCGATGATGCAAGGAGATTAGCAAAATTAGAAACAACCTAGAAACGTACAACAATAATGGAGCAAGGTTTGCCATTCACAAACAAATCCACTGACGCCTCTAGAAAATTAGATAAAGACAGTTGAATTTTTTGCTACTTTTCACCTTCCAATAATGGTGCTATAAACTCTAGATATAAAGAAAAGAGATCGAGTTTTCTTCTATTCCACAGTCAGACCAACCAAGGAGAGTTACATCACTGGATTGGGCTATGGGAACCACAAAGCTACTTCCACCTGAAACAAATATTCAGTAAGTCAAAATTTATATTCTTAAAGAACGTTGAGCATTATATGAGGTCAGCAATTTAAGTCCTATTTGGCATTTGCAAAGGTATGAGATCAGAAAACTGACCAGTACTATCCCAGATGCAGTCAGCACACCATTTTGATGCAAGGCTCCGGTGTACATAGCATTGCTCTGATTGCCTCTCATAATGACCATAGGGAGGCCAATCCGTCTATGATTCAGGTAAGACAACCCCAAACGTAGAAGGGTGTAGTCCTGACCACCAACCAGGACTATGGTAAGATTGTTCCCATGAAATAGTACAGGAGCGAGAACATTACCCAACACCATTGAAACAGTTGCGAACGTCGGATGCTGGTCCACAACAACGGCTCTGACTCGAGCAATGATGTCCTCCATGGCCTCCACCGTTAGTTGATGAACAACAAATCTTGCAAAACAACCAGAAGGAATAAGGATGGCAATAGCAAATTGGTCGTTTTTGCTTTTCACCTCAAATTCAAAAAATCCAGAATCCTCTACAGTATAGACTTTACACATTCTGGTTAGAAGCTATCCGATGATTGGAAACTATCTTGTTCCTCCATAAAATCTTAGGCTGCAAAAGGTTTTCCGAATTCGCAAGGGAACAAAAAGTATGGAGTTTTAAGTCAGAAACACTGCTAGTGCGCACTGGAGGAGGCTAAAGGGAAACAAATAGCAAGACATGATCTCACAGGTTAGGGGTTAGCGGCTTAGCGCATAACACGATGTTTTGAAACAGTTCATTAACACAAACATCAGTGACCAAATAAATCATTGATTAATACTAAACATGCTCGACTGATTCTACAATTATGACATCAGCCAATTTCAAATTTTGGGTTCATTACGTCAGCAAAATAAACACATGCTCGAGGCAAAATGGTCGGTCTAAACTCTACACCTTTCACCACCACCCTTCAACATATAGAAATACAGAAGTCTAATATCAAATTAACCAGTTAGCTTTAACATTAGATACACAACACAAACCTAAACGACAGGAAACCCGGTCAAAGTCACTAAGCAATATGGGCTTCCCTAGCTCATAGTCATTTTCTACGTAAAGATCTGCAGCAAGCCAACCAACCGCAAAAACACAAGACACCCACAAACGGAAGGCAAATTGGGGAATTCCCACATACCAACACACATTGCAGGGAAGGAGGACCACCATTTGGGCACACACCATCTTTTAATTATAGGTTAATGACATAAAGGGAGAGAAATACTAAAGCAGGAAGCTAGAAAACAGATTACTGACTGCAGCAAATACACTAATCAAATAGGGCAAAAACATAGAACCTAACAAGCACAAGATTTGTTAATGAAGACTATAGACAGGTTCTTGGCATTAATAATCCGAACTCAATGAAAAAATTCGTAGCACAGAGCATTGAGACATTGTTCTTTCACCAACTACAGAATTATAGGGGATATAAAACCAGCATGGAGAGAGCATCAAAAGAATGAAACTTGCCTTGAGGTGGACCATGACCATCGTTCCCGGCAGGCCCTCCATTGTTTCCGCCAGCTGCTCCTTGGCCATCGTTGTCCTAGTTGCCGGCAGGCCCTTCATTGTTTCCGCCAACACCTCCTTGGCCATCGTTGCCTCCATTGTTTCTTCCGTCCCCTTCTTGACCCTGGTTTCCGGGTTCGTCATCACTGATCAACCAAAAAGAAAACAAAAACGGAGAAATCTTGAATTTCTAGAAGAGGAAAAAGAAACAAAGTTGATGACGAAGGAGATGATCAACAACTTACCCAAACAAATTCTGCCAATTAAAATGACCATCCATCCCGGATTTTCTTGACTTTGAACTGAGATTAGCGGTAACTTTTCAGCTCGACGGAGCTTCGCCGGGAGAGAAGACTAAGAGTACGACAGGCTGTGTGTAACAGAATTCGTTATAAGGGAGGGAAGTAAATTGTAACTGCCACTGGCGCTATATTTTGTCTTTGGAAAATTCTTTAAATGAAGCCTGGTCTAGGAAGTCTTGCAATAATTGATTCGCCCTACTATATTACATTTGTAAATTATTTGATAAGTCAGTTTTATAGATTGATTATTTAATTTATAAATTATTATTTATTTGAGAAATTAATAGTTACTAATTTTTTGATAAAATTAATAAGTTATTAAAGTAAGAGATTTGAACAAGAAAATTTCAATGTATAATAAGTATGAGATAAAGTCGAGTTTGGATTATATAAATTTAGTTTTTAACTTGTTACATGAATTTCAATAAAATACCCCTTAAGGCTCGAGCAAATGCCTTTACCACGTCATATGTAAATCAGTTATAAAAAAATCAATTGTGAAAGCCTGCTCACCCAGTGATATATTTGATGTAAATAACCACCACAAAGACTAGCTCTTACGTAGACTAAAGAAAAAACAAAAAGTAACTTGAAACTCAGTAAACTCTTTAACGTTCTCAATCTTTCCTGGCATATAAACCTGTATGAGTTCAGAAATCTAGTATACAAAGGGAATCAACTTGTACCCAACTTCACTCGAGTATTCAGTATACAACTTACAACTATACATCTGTCCAAAGCTCTTGACCATCATGAGTTCCTCTAAATTGGCCTTTCGACCATTATACAGCAAGAAAACGGCAATAACAACAATGCACTCAGAGTTGAATGGTACTGCTTAAATAATGTCTTCAGATAGTCAACCATATTCACACATCAACACTTTAGTAACAAGAAAAATCAGTCTTTAGCAATTAGCAATTGAGTTCTATACATTATTTCCAGTAAAAGGACAACCTTTCATTGAGGTAAGCAGGTCATACACCTAAGGATATTAGGTAAGAGTATTTTCATGTACTACCAAAACTCAATAGCTGACTTACCCCAGAGAACTTCCATCCAAGAGCTTAACATATACTAGGGGAAATATTAGCAAAGAGAGATTAGCTGTAAATTCTACCTCTAAATTACTGGTGAAACTGATCCTTTCTCCCTTTTCAAGGAGGGGGACTTGCATCCGCCAAGCAAACGTGGTCATCTTATCACTTAGACATACTAAACACCACAACTAATTCAAAGTTGTCCAACAAAAGCCGCTTGATAGCTTTTCTAGACATATAGAGTTTTTAACCTACTCATGCTCACAATATGCTTCATGCAAGTTCAAAAAGATGAGAAAATTAAGCATATATACTTCCATAAATCTAATAAATGCAGTAATTAAATGCTAGCAAATGAAACAATGAGAAGGTAAATTGACAATTGAGAATGTAGCATAAAATCCATGCCAGATATGACCATCATATAAACATAACTTCAAATCGCATATATTTTGCAATTCAGAGTACTTCTGCAGAAAACTGCAAAGTTATATGTCTTATTCATATGCCAAGGTTTGAAAAATAATCATAAAAAAATACTGAAAACCCACTCTCTGTAGAGATGTATTTGATATAAATAACTAACACAAATATAAGCTCATATATAAATAGACCAAGGAAAAGCAACCCAGTAACTTGAAACTCAGTAAACTCATAAATACTCTCAATTTTTCCTAACATACAAAACCTGTACGAGCTCAGGAATGAGAAATCTATTATTGTAATCAGCCTGACCCGAACTTTTTTTGAGTATTCAATATGCATACTCCAAAGGTCTACTATCACGAGCTCCTCTAAATTGGCCTTTTGACCGTAATACATCAAGCAAACAGCAAAAACCAAATAACGGACTCAGTGGTACACAACGATCTAAACCAAATTGTCGATCAGCAAATTATTTTAACCTATGCAGGTTTCAGGGATCGTATTAAACAAAAAGAAAGAAAAGGTGTTATATTACTATGAAAGAGGAACCATCTACAAAAAAATAATAGTTAAAAAAAGAGAACTGAACAATTTGAAAATAAAAGAGAATTTATAAGATGATAAGTTAAAAAATTAACCCAATCCCAACCAGTAGTAACTTGATATAAGACTAGAGCAAATACTAAGCAGCAATAATAGCATCCTCACCAAAACTTTTTGTTTGTACCTATCCACATTTAAAAGCTATAGCTGTAATACATCCCTGTTAACAAATGCTTGCACAAAGCGAATTCAAAAACATCAGAAACTAAACTGTCACTATACAGTACCTGACAGTCACTACAAAGTCATCTTCTATTAACCAGAACACCGAACAACCATTAACCATCAGGGTAAACACTATACAGTACTCAAGTAGATGGCATTACCGGTATCACCACAACTCCTGCCAAAACAGAAAATAACCATGAACAACTGAATGCAACAAAGTGTCCCAATTAAATAATCATGAACCATTGATTGAAAAAAAGTGTCCCAAGGTAGCTGAGTACATTAAAAACCAACAACATACCTTCAACTCTTCCAAATACAAAAAAGACTCTCACATCGGCTGTTTCATCGATCAAAACACTAGCAACAGTGCCTCCTATCATTTGGCCGTCGTTTCCAACGATGAGGGTCAAACTACCCTCCACATTATTTCCAACAAGTCGATAATAACCAGTTAGACTGAAAATGTGCAACGGACCCTGAAATACAAAAGAAATTTATTTGAAACAATGAAAAATCCGTAACTACTTAACAACAACAACAACAACAACAACAACAACCATAACAACAACAACAACAACAACAACAACAACAACAACAGAAAATCGAAACAAAGATCATATTATATGAGTATAAGCATATGATAACCTCATAGATGGCGGTATTTCCAGCAATAGAATCTAGAATGAGCCCAACCCATGACAGTCCACCAAGGGCAGAGAGAACATAGATACTGGTCTGGTTACTGTGAGCCAAGTCCATAAGTCTTGCAGAAATGTCCTGGAAGAAACATTACAGTCCAAGAAACAAAATACACGAATTGAGATCAAATTAACAACTCAGATACTAAAGGAGATATGGTTGCAACATACCAACACCAACATATTCATCAATTAAACAACTTACCTGACCCCATGTCACAATCAGCAGAAATACATCAAGGCTGGACGGCGGAGGTGCATGTGCAGGATCACCAAAGAAACCGCTGAGATTGAAAAAAAAAGAGAGGAAAAAAAAAGGTTAAACAAACTTAGTCAGGAAATTATGGAAAATCAGACCTGCCAGTGAAAACTTGCAAAGAAGAACTAAAAAAAAACAACTAGAGAAGCTTCGAAGGGGTAATGAAATCAGTAGGATATCAACAATCAGAGGGAGAAACAAACGTCGAACAATGAAATTCAACTACAAAAGCATCAGTTATCAGGCGAATGGAGAATCAACAACAAGGAATGGAGGTCGTTAAACAATCAAAAATCAACTGCGGAAGAATCAATACTCAGAGCAAATGGATAATTAACAACCAGAGAAAGCAAGTAGTTCATAGTCAAAATCAGCTATAAAAGAATTGATTGTGTAGGCGAAAGGGGGTTTCACCGATCGGAGCAAGCAAATTAGAGATAACGATCAGTCGAACAATCAAATGAAATTGAAATAGATAAAAGAGGAAGATATACTCCATGTGTCGCCCTAGCTCCTCATCATCATCCAACTGGTTTTGCAATGGTGAGTAATGCTCATCCATGTCCCAATCTGATTACGCCATTTCTTCTCTGTCGATCTCTCGTGCAAATTTTTTCAAATGTGGCGCTCTCTCTCTCTCTCTCTCTCTCTCTCCTATTCATTTTAAAAGAGAACCGGTGGGTTTATTTTGTTTTAGTATCAATAAGCCCATATCATAGTATATTCTGGGCTGGGCCAGGTAGGTAGGCAAAGGGATTTCTTCGTCGGTGATCTTTGAGCCCAAAATTACTACAGAAAATCTAGGGTCGGCAAAAGAAAAAAAAATCAAAATGAAATTTTGAAAGTCCAAGCTTTGGAAGTCGCCTAGAAATATCACTATGTTGTTAAAATCGAAAAATAAAGGTGGCCTAGGGTTGAGGAAAATACGAGAATTCAACATGGCGCTTCTTCGAAAGTTCACATGGAGACTGATTTCAGAGGAAAATGCAGTATGGAAGAGCATTCTAAAAGCAAAATATGAATTGCCTTCAGATGCACTACCAGCTGATATTTCAAGGACAAAGGCTTCCATTTCTAAATTGAGGCCTGAAGCTCTAAAGGCCATCAGATGGGTGGTGAATGATGGTTCTACAATCAATTTTTGGATTGACAATTGGCTCAATGCTGATGAACCATTGTCCCTTCATGCTAAGCAAATCATCCCTCCTTCAGACTCAAGTGCAAAAGTTGCAGACTTTACTGATGATCGCGGAGATTGGGACTGGAACAAGCTAAACATGTTGCTACCACCAAATATCCTAAAAAAAATCAGAGTTGTACCATCCCCCTCTCCTCTGTTGGGACCTGATTGTCCTGTGGAATATCACAAACACAGGACAATTTTCAACCATTTCAACATATCAGGCCTTGGTTGAAAATCGATGGGATGACGAAGAGAAGCGATGGAGTCTGATTTGGAGGTGGAAAGGTCCGGAAAGAATCAAAACCTTTTTATGGCTACTAATGAGAGAAGTCCTACTTTCAAACGTCGAAAGAAAATGGAGACGCATCTCAGAAGACAGCAACTGCCACGTGTGGGGGGAGGAGGGAGGGGGAAGAAACATTGTTCCACATTTTCAGAGATTGCTTCAAGAGCAAAGAACTCTGGAGAAGCATTAACCCGTCTCTTGGAAGAGATTTCTGGTATGTTAATGACTCCCAACTATAGCTCTAATCTAACCTTAACTCTGTTGTTTTGTAGGAACGACACGCACTTTGGTTTGGTGTAGTCTACTGAAAATTTTGGAATGCTAGGAACAAAGAAATATTTGGCGAGGAAACAATGTCTCAAGCTTCACTTCGTTTTGCCTCTCAAATTTTCGTGAAAGAAGTGGCCCGCTCCAACCAGATTTTTGCACATAGTTTGGAGAGCCATCTGGCTACCACGCGACCCTCATGGAATCTGCCCTCTCCTGATTGGGTCAAAATTAATTCTGACGGCGCCACTGCTTTGCCCTCTTACAAATCGGCAGCCGAAGGAGTCATCAGAAACAACGAAGAAGACTGGATCATTGGATACGAGGCAAATATTGGCAACTACTGTAATCTGGAAGCTGAATACTGGGGGGCATTTCATGGTCTCCAAATTACGTGGGACCTAGGTTTTCAAAAAGTTCACTTAGAACTAGACTCCTTGGAGGCTGTTGAATCTCCGTCTAAGGAGGATTCCTTGTCTGTCAACAGTAATGTGTTCAGCAGAATTAGAAGTCTCCTTAACTGGCATGTAACCATAGGTCAGACAGGTTGCATTCGAAATAAGGTGGCCGACGCTTTAGCCAAATTTGGCTTTTCATGTCCACCAGGTAGACATATTTTGTCAACACCTCCGTTTCGTATGTTAGATCAGTTAGTCTTGGATAAACTATCTGACTTCCCTCGCAATTAGGGACTTTTGTACCTAAGCCTCTGGCTTCCTTTATATATATATATATATATATATATATATATATATATATATATATATATAAATTGAAACGGACCAGACGGTTGGATCGAGAACCGGACATATTAGTGGTCCGATTTTATTAAAAACCCGCCTGAGTAAAAAATCGGTCAAATCCAGTCAAACCGCGGTTAGACCAGAAATTGGAGAAAACCGGCTAGCCGGGAGTTTGATTTTTTCCAACAAAAATCAGTGTGATGCTTCTAATTCTCACCTAATTTCCCCATATCTGTTAAACGATGCATATGGTTCTATACATTATGTTTAACCTTTCCATCACCTGGTAAAAATTATTTCTTATATCTAAATTATTTTACTTTGTGGGAATGAAGGAATAAAAATAAAGAAGAAAGAGAAAATATAGTAGAGAATGAAGAAAAAGAAAGAGAGAAAGCAGAAGGAAAGGAAATGGAGCTTCAGTTCAACAATGAATAGGAGGGGCAAAAATTGAATTGAAAAAAAGAGGGTGGCTGCAAAATGATCTGCGGGAATGGAGGGGAAGGAGAAGAGATCTGAAGAGAAAAAAGAAGGTGGGGAGGCTGTGGACTATCGGGAGGGTAGTTTAAGGTATGGTATGTTTTTTTCATTTTTTTAATGTGTGTTTTTAATTATTTTTTGTATTGAGAATGTAAAAAGGTGTAATGAAAATGTAAAAAAGGTATGATGGGATGAGACATTTATTATTTTATTAATCTAAAAAAACCATAAAAAAACTAAACAAGCAAAGCCTTAGGTTTTTTAATTTAGTATTTATACAATTACATCATGGCCCCAATAGTTTAGTTTAATAAAAAGATGACCTAGACAGTTCTTAAAAATTTAGTTTACAACAAATTTCTTGTATTATATTATATTTAATTTTATTTATTATGTAATAATGATGTCATCCGATTTTTTAAAACGGTTTAACCGGTTCAAACCAGTGACCCAATAAGACAAGTAGTTCCCGAAACGATCCGATTTTCAAAAAAGGAACTTCTAAAGATCCCTCTCCCAAGTTTTGAAATTCAACCCGACTTTCCTTCTGAATCCTGTAAGGTAGACGAGAAAGATGGGTAGATCGGAACCAGATTCCCACCACCACAAGGGTAAAACAATAGCAATTCCGATGAAGAGGAAGTCATATCTCTTAATTGTGTACAAAGATGGATGTGTATGGTTATGTTCATATACGGGTGTCCATAATTTATAGCACTTGCCTGTATTTATTTTTTAATACTGTTGTTATTTCTCCTTTTGTGTTTATTAGTCTTTGAGTTCGATGAGGATTATAGTAATCTTACTTATTCAAGGTATTTACAAAAATAATAATGACAGAGACGTGACAACATAAAGTGAAGTTACTCATTAGCGACAGGTGGCGTATATGAAAATTTCTTATCACTTGTACCTTATAAGAGATATAGTACTAGTTGGATTTGTTTATCTTTTTAGGACAAAACACATTTTTGGTTCTAAATTAAGGGGGCTTACAACGTTTGGTCACCATTAAGTTTTTTTTGACAAAATTAATCACAAGTTTATTATTTATTCAGGGATCAAAAGTGTATTTTGTCCATCTTTTTATTTTGTCACTATATCACCTCACTAAATAAAGTGACATTCTTGTCATTTTATTCTTTTCGAAAATTTGTTGCTAAAATTTTTGAAAAGTAAAACAACTAGTTCTTCGAATTGTTTGCCAGTAAAATTTTATTGTTTGGTTCTCGGCTTACGTTGGAATAGACTAATGTTTTTGTACATGTGATGATTGCTCAACTCAAAGAAAAATGTCAAATTAGGATTAAAACTAGGAATTTTAAACGGCCCATTAGTTTTTAATAAATTGAAAATTATTATTTCCCATTCCGAAATTATTACCCAGTTTGGTTTTTCATTTTTCGTACAAATTGAAGTAAATGTGAAAATTCAAACTGGACAGTAATTTCGGGACGAAGGGAGTAGTAGATTAACAACGTTGATACAATGCAAAAACTCTTAAACCATGACTTTCATTAGTCTCAAAATTTCGTATGGTAATAGGCGTTGAGCCGGCTATCTATACGAAAAATGTCATAGGACAACCATATTCATAGGTTAACAGAAAAAGCCAGTCTTTAGCTACATTTGGTTCTCTACAGTATTTGCAGTACAACTACACGGACAACCTTCATTGCTACATCAAGAGAATACTAGTACTAGGTAAAGGGCATTTTACATAAAATACCAAAATTCAGTAGCTAACTGATCCAATAAACTTCCATCTAAGAGATTAGAATCGCATACTAGAGGTAATATTAGCAGACAGACAAGTTGTAAATTCCACCTCTAAATTACTGGTGAAATTGGTCCTTTTTTCCCCTCTTCATGAAGGGGTTGCATCCGATGACTGAATGCGGCCATCTTATAACTCTGTTACATGCTAGAAACCACAACTACTTCAAAATTTGTCCTAGAAAAGCTCACCAGTTTTTCTAGACTGATGGACTTTCTGCCTAATCACGCTCATCAGAAATTTCATGCAAGTTCAAAATGCCAATTTCCATAAATCTCATACATGAAGTAATTGAGTGTTGGCAAATGAAACACTGAGAAAATAACTTGATAACTGAGTATGCCGCCCAATTCCATGCCAAATAATATGAAAATATACTTTAGCAGAAGACTGCAAGGTGTATGCCTCATTGGCATGTGGAAGGTTGAAAAATAATCATAGAAACACTGAAAAACCTGCTCACTCCAGAGATATATTTGATTAAATAACTAACAAGCTCATATATGGATAGACTACTGAAAAACAACAAAATAACTTGAAACTCGGCAGTCGCATTAATGTTCTCAAGTTTCCTAACATACAAAATCTGCAGGAGTTCAAAAATCTAGTACACAAAGGGAATCAGCTTGTACCGAACTTTACTCGAGTATTCGTTATACATCTGCCCAAACCTCTTGACCATCATGACTTCCTCTAAATTGGCCTTTCGACCATAATACAGAATGCAAACAGCAACAACAAACAATGCACTCAATGGCGCTCGAAGTGCAGCAAAGTAGGTCACAAACAAGAGCATGGTGGATGCATAAATCGGGTGCCGGACGAACCTATAAGGTCCAAACTGCACAACCCCTGTAGGTACCACCACCTTCTCTGAATACTTTGCCAAATACAGAGTCGAATGGTACTGCATAAACAATGTCATCATGATCAAAGCCCATATCCCCAAATTAACCACGAAGCCACCCGGAATAAGATGCAATTCCGGGCCTTCAAACGCCGCGAGCCAATGCCCAATCATGACCCCAACACAGAACAAAAGTTTCTGCCAATTGGGAAGGCTAATATCCCAAACCGGATCATGCTCCCTAGGGTAATAATCACCATATAATCTCTTCCTAACATTAACGTTAAAGAAAAAGAAGTAATGGTACACAAAGAAGAAAACAACAGGCCATCCTTCAAGAAAACCATTAAAATGTGCAGGTGGAACTAGAGTGAGCCAAGTAAAAGCTGCTGTAACAATGGCAAGTTGCTGAAATGCATTAGCAGTGCCCTGTAAATGCTTGCTGAGGCAATAAAGACCATAAGTTGCAACAAAAATCGCCCCCGTCCAAGGCCAGAACAGCCATGTCCAGCTGAAATACATCCACAAGAACGGGCTGAATAGTGCATTCAGAGTCCACTTTGATGCTGCGACGACAATAGAGAGCAACAAGGCCCATTTGCACACATCATAAGGGGTTAAACTCAAAAGGGCCGACTTTAAACCTTCCAAAGAAAGGTTCTTGAAGGCTTCCCGCAATGAATGGTTTGAAAATGAAGAAGATGCACATTGAACCGGGGATAATCTAGTTATAACAGTGTTGGAGTTTGAACCGAAGCTAAAGCTGCATTTTCGGGTAGAATAAAATAAGGGATATCCGAGTGGGATGTTGGAACGATTCTTGAGTGTTGATTGGGCAGGTGAAAAGCTTGAAGAGAATTTGCATTCCAGGTGTTTGTTGGATTGTCTGAGAGAAGAAGGAAACAAAAAGTTACGGGTGAAGTTAAAAGGCTTGACCTTTGAGCTTGAGCAGAGCAAAGAAGTTGTAGTTTCCATGATTCTGAACGATTGACCCTACGTTGAAGAAAGCCAATCAACAGAGGGAGATGGCGCAATGAATAGAATGCCCAAAATTCATAATCTGTCTCATCGACGGGGGCCGGTTCCGGAGCTCCGACTCCTGTGGAGTGAAATCTGTCTTGTTGGATGCATCGTTAAAACGACTGAATAAATTTCAGATTTAATTTCAATCAGCCCCTCTTACTTTGTTGATATTCCCTATAGTGCCACACTATTTCCAGATTGACCACTCATGTGTTTTTAATTTTCACAATTTCCCATTCTACTTGTTTTTAGAAAATAAAATAAAATAAATTTGATAATCCTAACGAGAATCGAACCGTCAATCATCTAGTATTAATAATTATCTTTATCCGAAAATCAGACATTGACATATTAATCATGTCACTATTGGATATTCGGATTTCCTCATTCATTTTTCGGAAGGAAAAAAAAGTTGAATAATCAAATTAGACAAAAGTTGTTTTTGATATTCTTCTTCGTAGTTGACGAAATTTATTTATTTATTTATAATTTATTTTTTGTCAAAACGAAATTTATTTGGAATATGAGGTTGTCTCAACTCTCATGCTAAGCCTCCAAAAGTCAAAGAAATTAATAGGATCAATATTTCTTTCTCAATTCACATAATCACATTAGGCTTTAGCTACATGTAGCTGGTCAATCTTCATGCTTTTTGTCTAATTTTTTTTCGTATTTATTTAATTGTTAATTAATCATATTCAATAGCATGTCTTCGCTATCTTTATCTTGTTTCCCAAGCTGATATTTCGCTTTCATGAACCAAACTAAATAAATTTAAGGGTGGTCAAAATCCAATTAAAGGGAAACCAAACCCCCCACAAAACACCAATAAAATATCTTCGCAATTTTTGGATAAATAATAATCTGCACTTTCTTTGTTTCATTCATTGCTTGTTCTTTCCTGTGGGCTGGCTGTAGTAGATTATTCTGTTTTGCTGTCTTCTCTCAATCTGAAAAAACCCTGGATAAATACCCGTCAATTCACCCGATTTTTTTTCGAGCATATTTGCAGCAAACCCATTTCAAAACTCATTGAATAATCAACCCAAAACCTCTTAATTTTTGGTGGGTTTTTTATTAGGTATTAATAAAGTATGATATTCTCCAAACTCAGCCGCTCAGCATCTCGCTCCTCCATTGCCAGGGTAAGCTTTAGCTTGTTCTCGATCCTTCTCTTTCTTAAATGTGAAAATTATTTGTAAAGTTGCTAACTTTACCCCACTTTGTGTGTTGTGGATTGCAGAATGTGATAAATGGTAGTTTTAAAGGAAGATTGTTGAATGGGGGAAGAGGGGATTTGGGATTGGGAGGATCATCATATATGAATTCGAGCGGCGGTTTGGACTTGGGTGGAAGATTAGGGCTTTTTTGGAGGGAATATTTGGCTATAGCTGGAGGGACAGCAGCACGGTCTATTCCCAAAGCATCTTCTTATGTATCGGATTTCAATCATGCTCTTGCCAACCCAAGAATACGCAGATTTTTCTGCAGTGAAGCCCCAAAGAAAAAGAGTAAACACCTGATTCTCATAGTTTTAGTTTTGTATCTATTTTTTTCCCTAATATTCTAATTGTGATTGAGATGAAAAGATAGGCTCTTGAATTTTGTTTATTTTATTTTTGGTTGACAGAATTTGAGAATTTCTATCCCAAGAAGAAAAAGGAAAATCCCAAACAGAAGGAAGAGAAATCGGAGTCTAAAGGTTTGTATTCTGTCCCCTCCCTGAGAAAAAAAAAACCCATCTTTTAATACTGACATTTTGATTGTGAATGTGATGCATATTTTTGTGGAGTCTCCCTGCTGTTTTGGTTGCAGCTGTGGAATGAAATTGCTTAGGCATGATACATCTGGAATCCAAATATTCATGTTCATTGTTTTCTTACTGAAGAATCAAATTAGCACTTCTTTATACCCCATCTGTTTTTAAGACGAATAGATGATCTGATTTCTGAATCTTAGAATCATGTTGTTTATTGGGACTTGGTTGAAAATTTGCTGGAAAATGATTACACAAAGCTGCCAATATCACTATGTTTTTGCGTTCACTGCAGCAATGCATCTGGTTATGATGTTTTGGGTTTGGCATGTTGGCTTCTCATTGTTGTCAAGTGATCTAGTTATTGTTATTGCTTGTAAAAGGATTTTGTGGCCTTCTCTTAGGGAGTTTTTTTTTTTTTTTTTGGGGGGTGTGTTCAGTTTGTTGTTATTGCATGTCATGACTAGGTTGAGTGAATGCTATCTAAAGTAAGATTTTTTTTTTAGGGTTGGGGGTACATTCTGTTCTTGACTAGTTATCTAAGGTAACATCTTTTTTAGTGTTTTAAATGCTGCCTGCTTGCTTCGCTGAGAGTTATGTCAAATTCGTTTGGTGCTATGTCAATGAAACTCTTCAAGACCATTTATCTGTACTACTCATATCAAATTATTCAGACTGCACCATATGTCTTTTATTTTTGCAGAGGGCGGAAATACGGATGGTAATAGCAACTATCAGGAGACTCTGCCCAAACTAGTTCAAAATTTGATCACTCCGTTGTTAGTGGTTGCATTACTTTTATCAACAATGACAATGAGTCCCCGAGAACAGCAGCAGGTTACTACCCACAAATTTCATAATCCAGGCACTTCTTATTGGTATATGTTTTCGTATGGTACTGCCCAATTTTCCTTTCATCCATAAAGCTATGGCCTTTTGCAGATTAGTTTCCAGGAGTTCAAAAACAAGCTTCTTGAACCTGGCTTTGTGGATCACATTGTAGTTTCCAACAAGTCTGTTGCAAGAGTATATGTGAGAAAGGAACCGCGGAGGCTGAGCGATGATGGTGCCGAAGAAAAATCAGGATACGGAGGACCTTCAATTGGCACCCCTTCCAAAGGGAATGCTGGCCAGTATAGGTATTATTTTAACATTGGAAGTGTTGAATCTTTTGAAGAGAAGCTGGAGGAAGCCCAGGAACTGTTGGGAATTGATCCACATGACTATGTCCCAGTCACATACACATCTGAAATGGTTTGGTACCAAGAGCTTATGAGATACGCGCCAACATTACTGCTTCTTGGTTCGCTGATGTACATGGGGCGGAAAATGCAGAGTGGTCTGGGTGTTGGAGGTTCTGGTGGAAAGGGTCCACGCGGAATATTTAACATCGGTAAAGCTCAAATTACAAAAGTCGATAAGAACGCTAAAAACAAGGTTTGATAACTTTCTCCCACTCTGAGCATGTTAATCTATCTCATTGTATTGATTCTGTTGAATTCGAATTAAGAGGGATAGGGGTAGACCTAAGAAAACATGGAAAGAAACTATCGAAGATGATTTAAGATATTTAAATTTGAATGGCAACATGTGATCCATATAGCCGACCCACCTTGCGGAAAAAGAGTGGTTGTATCGATTCTCTTGATTTGTTTTTGTATCATTTCACGCTTTAATTGTTTTTGTTGTTTCACAATTTGGGTCTTTCTCTTTGCTAATGTCTTCTGGAAGTTTACAGGTTTATTTCAAAGATGTTGCTGGTTGTGATGAAGCAAAGCAGGAAATTATGGAGTTCGTGCACTTCCTCAAGAATCCCAAGAAATATGAAGAGCTGGGGGCTAAAATTCCTAAAGGAGCTCTGTTGGTTGGCCCACCTGGGACTGGTAAAACTCTTTTGGCGAAAGCTACTGCTGGGGAGTCTGGTGTGCCTTTTCTCTCTATGTCCGGTTCAGATTTTATGGAGATGTTTGTTGGGGTTGGACCTTCAAGAGTGAGAAATTTGTTCCAAGAAGCACGGCAGTGTGCACCGAGCATTATATTTATTGATGAGATTGATGCTATTGGTCGGGCAAGAGGACGTGGGGGTTTCTCTGGTGGTAATGACGAGCGTGAGAGTACTCTTAACCAGTTGCTTGTTGAAATGGATGGATTTGGAACTACTTCTGGTGTGGTGGTTCTTGCTGGCACTAATCGACCTGATATCCTGGACAATGCTTTGTTAAGGCCAGGCCGATTTGATCGACAGATTAGCATAGACAAGCCTGATATTAAGGGCCGTGAGGAGATATTTCGATTATACTTGAAAAAGATCAAACTTGATCAAGAGCCGTCTTATTACTCCCAGAGGCTTGCTGCCCTAACTCCTGGATTTGCGGGCGCAGATATTGCAAATGTCTGTAACGAAGCCGCACTGATTGCTGCCAGGAAAGAGCAAACAAAGGTCCAAATTGAACATTTTGATGCGGCTATAGATAGGATAATTGGTGGCCTGGAGAAGAAACACAAGGTATCAATCAAATCTTCTATTATTCATGTTATTATTTAGGGTGTAATTATTATGGATGAAAAAGTGTAATGCTTACCATAAATATCATAACAGGTAATAAGCAAACTTGAAAGGCGTACTGTCGCTTACCATGAGGCTGGTCATGCTGTTACTGGCTGGTTTTTGGAACATGCAGAGCCACTCTTGAAGGTAACAATTGTTCCTCGTGGCACAGCAGCCCTGGGTTTTGCTCAATATGTCCCCAATGAGAACCTCCTTATGACAAAGGAACAGCTATTTGACATGACATGCATGACACTAGGGGGTCGTGCTGCCGAACAAGTAAGTTAACTAGTGCATCATGCCTTAGCATCGTTTCTTTTACTTTGCAGATTTTTACGTAGTTTGGATTGAAATTTGTTGCGTTGCTTATCAATCAACATAGAAAAGCTTACCAGAATTCCTCTGGGTATTGTTATCTGAAGCTGTGAAAACTGAACTGGCTCCGTGTTATTACTGTTGTTCATGTTAAGTTATATCTCTATGCAAGTCAATCTGCTTGTGAGCTAATTAAGCGGAATAGTTTATTGTAATGAAAAAATTAAAAATAGATACAAATTTGAATAGTTTTTGTAAAAGAATTTGGCTGTCAACATTGCTTGGAATGGAGATTTTCTTATGAATTTGTTGTTTTTACAGGTATTGTTGGGTAAAATATCGACTGGAGCCCAGAATGACCTAGAGAAAGTCACGAGGATGACATATGCGCAGGTTGCAGTTTACGGCTTTAGTGAGAAGGTTGGTCTCCTTTCGTTTCCACAGAACAATGAGTATGAGGCAAAGCCTTATGGCAGTAAGACTGCAGCAATTATTGATTCTGAGGTGCGCGAATGGGTTGGCAAAGCTTATGATCACACAGTCAAATTGGTTGAGGAACATAAAGAGCATGTGGCTAAAATTGCTGAATTGTTACTAGAAAAAGAAGTTCTTCATCAGGAGGATTTGATCCAAGTTCTGGGTGAAAGACCTTTTAAATCGGCCGAGGTAAGTAATTATGACAGATTTAAACAAGGGTTTGAAGAGGAAGTTCTGAATACTGATCAGCAGAACGTGGAGAACCAGACAGCAAAGGAGGACGATGGACCTTCATCCCTTGACCCAGGGGTTGTTCCTGCTTAAGGAAGATCCCAGTAAGTGAACTGATATTTATGTGTATAGAACGAGAAAGACGTCGTCTCATCTTCTCCTTGTGCGCAACCCCTCATCGAGGCACTAATTGGAGGGAAAGTCGCTGGCTGTTTACTTCTCCCAAACTAACCATAATTTGTATGAACTGTTCGGTAAAAAAACGCTGCCGTGGCTGGCTTGCTGAATAGAGGCTACAAAATTTGCAGCCATATTGTGATAGGAGCAAATGCTGTTGGGATGAGCCGAAATAGGAGGCATTAGGAAGATCGTATTTGAAAGAATGCTGTTTGTATCAAATGGTTGTTGGAAGTTGGAGCATAGAAAAGAGAAGAAACACTGGACATGAAGGAAGAAATATATGATCATGCCCATGTAAAAACCCAACAGATGGATAGAACCTAGTTCTCATGGTTTGCTATTCAAGTTTTCTAATTTCCTCTTTGTATTTATTATTAGTACATTTTTTTTTTCCAGAAGTTTCTTCTATTGAAATATTGTACTACTTCAAGTTAAAAGTCTTTAAAAGAATGAATGTGAATGAAAGACAAAAGTAAATAACATTCTGGGTTATGGCAATAGCTACTAGCTGCTTTTTTCTTTCCCGGTATCTCTGAATAGTGAATAATTGGATGCATTCTTTACGCTGTCGATCAATGAGCATAAAAAATGCCATGCGGCCTGGGAATCAAGATCTTTTACTAGTACTTAGTTGATGGCATCCACATTCCACACAGGTGTTCTAATGTGCTTTGAAAACCCTCCGCACTAAGCAGCAATAAATCTTATCCGCCTATCTTTTAATTAATTAATCTACAACTACTTTCATGTGATTGACATCACCATATCCCCCGAATGAATGTAGATCGCATCGGGTGCTTTGCTTAAAAAATTGCCTAGGAAAAGGAATAGAGAGATCTATTAGTCTCATTTTTTTGTAAAGAAAAATACTGAAATCGGATTTACAAAATTTGAACTAGTAATTAAAGCAAATTTATAAACAAAAATCGGATTCTACAAATCTGAATTTACGATTAAAACGAATTTCACAAATCTCATTTAAAGAGAAAATCGGATTTTCAAAATCCGAGTTAAAGGTAAATTCGGATTTGTGAAATCTAATTTTTTAGAAAAAGTCAGATTTTGCAAATCCGAATTAAACCCTAAATCATAAACTTGTATAAGAAATTTCGGATTTTCAATATCCGAGTTAGTTAAAAAAATCGGATTCTTGAAAATCGATTTTACCAATAGTTTGGGTTTCGAAAATCCGAAATTAACCCTAAAACTTAAACTTGTTTAAGAAATTTCGGATTTTTAATATCCGAGTTAGCTTGAAAGTTGGATTCCCAAAATTCGATTTTAGTTTTTTTATGCCGGATTTTAGAAATTCAATTTTTTTTTCTTCCATCCCCGATCTCGTAATGTGCCTTGTGTGGGTATGGGCACTGCAAGAATTATAAATTGAGATGTCAGTATCAGTTTTGCTTTTAAAAATCAGTCTATTATTTTTTTTAAAAAAAATTCAGTTTAATGTCGAATTTAACAAATCCAAACTTAGTCAAAACTAAATTAATTATTGTGCTTCATATTTATATGGATGAAAAATAGTTTTGCTGCTGTTATGACAGATTTAGACTGGTTTGAGAATTAGTTTATCTTTTTTTTATAAAAAAAAAAAAAAATTCTTGGTGGATCCGACCTTCGGTAAAAAAAAAATCGCTAAAAAAAAATAATTTTTTTTATCCATAAACTATTATTTTAATGGTAACTCAGATTTTCAAAATCCGACTTTGGTCAAAATTTTATTTTTGAAAAACAAATCTAAGTATTTTTATTAAAAATATTATTTTTTATTAGGACAAGGTCGGCTGTTAATCATGATTAATGTAATTAATTTTTTATATTAAAGGAAAGTCGAACTTAGGATTTCAGAAATCCGATCCCGATAGTTTTCTCTTTTCCGAAATTCGACTTATATTTTTCTCTACTCCTATTTCTAGGTTTTTTTTGATAAAAAAAACTCAAATCCCATACGTTGGCATGGATTATTGTTAAACCTTAAAACTACTACTATACTGAATACTACAACAGAAGTATTTTTATTGTATTTTTTTATATAACAAACATGGAACTTGATCCTGAGTCATAGATCAATTTTCAAGGTTTGTTAAAGTATGAACTTAGCCATTATTTATTGGAAAAGAGAGTAGGCTAAGGAAGGAGGAAGGAAGCCACAATCTTCCCTTTTTTTTGGTTGTTACACGCAAATACTTCTAAAAAAGATCATCATCATCATTTTATGATGAGAAGAAGATTCTGTAGTTGTTGAATGGAAATGCACGGTCGGGGAGGAGACCATGAACTGCATAAAAAAATTCCCAATAAATAAAAGTTCTTTTCTTTTCTTTTTTCCTGAATTTTCATATCTTCTTTCTTTTTCTCTTGCCTGCATAATTGCATTCTAGATGCACATTTTTCCTTTTTGTAATAATGCATCTAAAGGGCTGATTTCTTTTTTTATAACATTATAATGATTTGTGAAAGGCTAAAGGATTTTCTACGGCACGATCCTACAACACTTCATCAGTATTATCATATAAAATTTATCACATTTTTATATTTAATGATTACTCTCTCTTTTTTTAAATTTTAGTAACATCATAATCCACCATCGGATGAAATCAGTAAGAGTCATGTATTAAAATCTGGATGAGCGATGTAAGAAATGTAAGACTGCCCATGCATGTGCTGACGACCGACCCTTTAATTAAAGAAAGAAAGAAAGAAAAAAGGTAAGCTGTGGAGACTTTAGAACCAAGCACGCGGCTAATATAATCACCCCTTTTCCTTTCCTTTTAATTCATGGGAGGGGGAGAGTTTCTCAAGTCAAAAGTGACTCAAAAATCACGACTTTTCCTTTTGTTTTTTCTTTCCCACAATCCATAAAAATATTAAATTACACATATAAATTCCACCCCAATCAAAGTCTTCCAAGTTTGCGTTTGATTTGTTGCTATATATATATATACCAGATTCCCCCTTCAACTCTCAACATCACACTCCCTTAAACCTCTGTTCTGTTGTTGCTTTTCGTGCTTTATAGTTTATCTCTGGTTTAACTTTTTTACCTGCACCAAAAAATCTCCATCATCTTGGCAACCGGGCTGCTCATAAAATCTCTTCTTTTCCCCTCTTCGGATCGATCTGGTAACTCCCTTTGATCTTTTGCATGAATGTGGATGCCTGTTTCCCTTTATGGTTGGCATCTGTTTTTTTTTTTTTTTTACCTTTCTGTATTTGGTTGATGTTGTCAAGACCGTAAATTTTTCATCTTGTTCTTAGTTCTTACTCATCTCGAGAAGTCCTGTTGTTATGATATTTCTGTTAGTCCTCAGCAAAACCTCAACTGAGTAAATTTTTTTTTTTTTTTCTAAAACCATCAATTTCTTCAATTTACATAGATTGGTTAATGCCTATGTTCAGGGAGTCATGATTTCATTGATGAGAAGCAGTTCTAAGTTGGGATTCCTTTGGATTGAATGAATGTCCTTTGTTTGTTTCAGGAGCGGTTTTATTTAGAACAGATAGATTCTGGTTTTAGTTAAATAATGATTCATTTATTTTTTCTGAAATGTCAAATTGAGATTTTTCATTATGTTCAAACTTTAGATGTTGATTGTGAACTACATTATTTGGCCGCCCTTCTCCTAGTGTAATACTTTTCTGATTCTCTGTTGTTTTGTCAAATGTTAAGAAAAGACCATTCCTTGGTTCCTTTGATTTCATTCTTTGTAGTTTCAGCTTACGACTTTCTAGTTGAGTTTTTCTTTTATTACCCTTTTCCTGCTTTTTTCTTACTTTTCTTCTTACTTTAATTGGAGCCTGTCTGTCCCTGTATGATATCTGAATTTGTTGTGCCTTTTCCCGCTGTTGTTCTGATTATTTAAGGTTAAAGACTTTTTAAATGGAGAAAAAGGACAGTTACAAGCAAGTCTCTGGACCGAAATATGATTGCCTACTATTTGGTGAGTCTTTTTTGGATACATGGCTATGCAATGAAGTGATAAGAAGTTTTAAGCATTAATAAGAGGTATTTGTATTCGTAATGTTTGTATGTTGGAATCTTCAGATGTTGATGACACGCTTTATCCTTTTAGTTCCGGCATATCTGCAGAAGTAACGAAGAACATCATGGGTAACAGATCTGAGTTCATTTTTTCCCCAAAGTTAACCCTTTTCCAAGCCCTTTTCTTTTAACTATCTCAAACAATAGTTTGACACTCTTACTGTTTCGTTCTGAAGAGTATATGATCACAAAGCTTGGCGTAAAGGAGGAGAATGTCAAGGAGTTGAATGGACAACTATACAAGGAGTATGGTACTACAATGGCTGGTCTTAGGGTAAGTTGTTGATCAAAGTAGAATCTTCGTAAACAAAGCAACGGAAGCTAGCTTTAGGCCAAGAGAGTGATGGGTTTTGTTTTCTTTTTCAGGCCATTGGTTATGACTTCGACTATGACGACTACCATGCGTATGTTTCTAACCCCTGTGTATATTTTATTGCAAGATAATAAGGGTGATCTTCGAGAAGCATGTTATCTAATGTGTGTGTTTCGTGATTCGAATGCAGTTTTGTACATGGGAGACTACCTTATGACAAGTTGTTGAAGCCTGACCCAGTTTTACGGAACCTATTGCACAGCTTGCCTATTCGTAAATTTGTAAGCTTTTTGCTCCGTTTTTTATAGATATTTAATTCGTATTAGTAGCTTTCCCTCATGACAATCCTTGCAATCAATAGGTTTTCTCGAATGCGAATGATGCCCATGTGGCAAAGGTGCTTAGCAGACTTGGCTTAGAGGACTGCTTCGAAGGGATTATCACTTTTGAGACCTTAAATCCTTCTCATAACAGCAGTGTGCCAAATGAAGATGATGGTAAGATAGAAAGGCAATGGAATCATAAAAAATGAACTGGAATCTTGAGTGTGGAAAATTGTATTGAAACAGCAATATGATGATCATTCATTTTTTTTTCCTTGAATATTCTGCAGTTTCTGAACTACCTAAGATACCAGTTGTCTGCAAACCGTTTGCTGAGGCCTTTGAGACGGTTTTCAAAGTAGCAGACATAGACCCTGAGAAGACGGTAAGATATATGAACTTATAAGTTATTTGGCATTTTTTCTGGTTTTACCTCTCTGAATAGGCTGGTATCCAAGCTTAAGATTTTGCTGCAGAATACATGTGCATTTTATGTTTTAGTGTTTTATGTGTCGTTTCTGCTTGGGGAATGTATTAAGTTGTACTGGAAATGCAATATAGGTGTCTGGAAACGTAAGGAATTACATTAAATTGGGCCAAAACTAAAAAAAGGCCGACATTTGTTTGAAATTCTGCCTTGTTCTTCTCCTTGCAGGTCTTCTTTGATGATTCAATTAGAAATCTCAAGACTGCAAAGAGCTTGGGTGTCCACACTGTGTGGGTAAGTTTTCAAAAGAAGCTAGTTTACATATAGCTCTCTTTACATTAATATGATATAAACTTGCTTTACGAAGCAATGCTAATTTAGTTTGTTATCAATGAAAAATAGGTCGGATCCTCTCATCGAACCAATGGAGTAGATCATGCACTTGAGAGCATTCACAATGTGAGAGAGGCATTGCCTGAGCTGTGGGAGGCCATTGAGGCTGAGGCATCAGACGCTCGCTATTCTGGAAAACTTGCAATTGAAACATCAGTCAGAGCTTAGATATGTACCAAATTCTTAGAGACATGGAACAAAAGAGACTAATAACCCTTCTTTTCTGGGATGTGACAAAACAAATCTTACCATTCTAACTGTATCATTTTGATCAATGAACTTCATATCTTCACAAGCAAGAACTTCTGTTTAGAGTTGGGGAACTGGATGTGTTATGACTGGCATGTTGTGTCTGTTGATTGAAAAAAAAAACACAACAAAAATTAAATATAAAATTGTAATAATCCCTTTTCTTTGCATAGCCTTCAACTGTAATATTGTGAATTTGTGATTTCATTTCATTCACTGGAAAAAGCTTTTTGGGGTTGTAACATTGTTGCGCATATTATTCAAGAACGTCTGATACTCCTACCAAAGCTAAATGGGGGCTCAAAACATAAGCTCCGTTTCCCACTTTTAAATGATTTCGTGTATCCTTGTATCCAGATTATTACATTTTTAATGGAAAATATTTAACTTTGTTATGTTGGTTGAACAAAAACAAAACTAGCATCACCAACGAGAGAAACAAAACCAAAACCAGTTGACTTTCTTCGTGTGGGCTAACATAAGAGTGTTTTTTCGCTTTGTATTAATAAACAATAACATTTTTCTTGGAAAAGAGTCATTTTGGAAGATGTAAATCGAGCAAAAAAAAAAAAAACCCATGAAATCTCCCCAAAGTTTTAAATAAGGATTGTAATTATTACTAATACTAAATTATTACTATTTCTTTGTGGGGGGTTTTTGATTAGGATAGGTTTATATATCGATAGTATGAATGTTCGTTGATCATTGCTTTGTTGGGTTGTTACTGCTGATGCTTCCTCTGTATCGCTGACCGACTTAGGATTCTTTGTTAGTAAAGTTGGAGTCTTTGCATAGTTTTCATTGAAATTCTTCCCCAAGTTTATACAATTCAATCCAGCAAGAAAGCAGCTGTTTTTGTTCCCCTTCATCCTCCTGCTGCCCAGGTGAGTTTCTAGTTCTCAGTCTTTTTGTATTCACTCTTTCTCTCTGTATTTGATAGTTTCCTCTGCAACAACCCTTGCTTAGAAAAAGACAACGTATCTGCGTTTTCACTGTTTTTTTTCCCCCAATGGATATCGATGAGCTTAGATTGATGTATTTTTTGGTAGAATAATGTGCTAAATTATGAGATGTTTTTCTTGTTGCAACTTGGAAGTTCTGCTGCTAAAATTAAAATGGGTTCTGTACCGAGTTTCAAAAGAAAGTCATTTATTCTGTTCAAATCCAAACAACACAAATAATGGCAAATGAATGAGATGGAGCTGGAAATATTAGAGGTATAATTAATTAATCCACTCATTTGCTAGGTACTTAGCCTGCATATAAGCTGGCTGTTTCAAGTTAGGATTAAGACTAGTTTGGTTGAGTTGACAGCCAGTGTATACATTTTCCCTGCCTTATGAGTTTGGATCGTTCATATAAAGTATCGACAAAATTTTGAGGGAAAATGTGATCCACTTGCCCAGCCACATGGTAGGATAAGGTTTTTATTGTTGTTGTTCTTGTGTTGGTGATGTTTTAAATATGGCTATGGTATATTGATTGTGAGGGAGATGGAGATTTCAGAATTTGGTTGATTTTTGTACATGATTAACTGTGAAAGGTAAACATGCTGAAGTGTGATGAAAAACACTTGGGGAAGAGGTTTTTCTGTTGAACTAAATTTAAACCTTTATATTTTCTTGCAGAGCATCATCAGAGAATGGCGGAGAGTAATCAACCCTTTCGGCAGACAAGGTCTGCTGGGGGAAGAAATGCACAGTTTTCATCGTCTTCCTCATCCACAACGTCAGATTCTCGTTATCAGCCTCCCCACAATCGCAATTTCAACCCCAGGAGAAAAGTGCAACCTGTGAATAATCTGTCTAGCAATTTTACTAGGAGTAACGAAAAAAACACAACAGAAAATAGAGCACCAATTAGGGGAGATGATATCGTTGATGAATCTGGAGAGAATAACAGGCATCCAACCATAATTGGAACTTGCCCTTACATGTGTCCAGGTCGATTGATCTCTCATTTTTGCCTCCGTGTGTGATTCATTTGAAGGTAGAAATAACTTCATTTTGGTGTTTATGTATGAACAGTTGAGGAGAGACTTCGACGTGAGAGACTACGAGATTTAGCTGTATTTGAGAGGCTCTACGGGGATCCTGGGAAATCATCACCTAGTCTGGCAGCAAAGAAGGTAATCATTCTGCAATTGAAAAAATTGCAGGATATCCCCTAGTCATAATTCTTTGATTTCTTTAGTCTCTTTGCATAAGAAACTGCACCAGATGAACTTGTTTAAAAAATTGGGAAACTTCAGCATTAGCTTGGAAACTGTGTTAAGCCACACAAGGCTCAGAACTTAGAAAGTGTATCTTTTTAGATGTTGGAAAAACTTGGTCTTGTGTGATTTTACTATTCAAGAGATTATGAAGTAGTCCTTTTTTAATTTAGTAATCTTCTGCCCTTTTCCTGTTTGAACACAAATTTCTATTTTACAAAATGTAAAATAAAAAACATCTACATTTTAATCCCATATTTAGTTTTGCAGAACTATATCAACAAGAGACATGCAAGCTTCTGATTTGCGGCCTCTCTCAGTGTTGGATGAAACTCTTAACTACCTTCTCGGCTTGTTTGATTCTAAAGAACATCCTTTTGACGTGGTTCATGACTTCATCTTTGATAGGACAAGGTCCATCAGACAAGATCTCAGTATGCAGAATATTACCAATAGACAAGCTATCACGATGTACGAGAGAATGGTAAGCTTATACTGGCATAATACTTTCAGTAAATGTGGAGACCTGCTTTTCGATGCTCTTATGATTGTCAGATTCCTGGTTTTCAGTAGGCAATATTGATACAAATTTTGGATGAAAGTTCATCTTTGTTTTCAAAAAATATGATCTAAAAGTCTGATTTTGCTTTAGAATTCGTCAAAGTAGAATTTTTACTAATATATTTTTTTTCTTAGAAATGGATCTTTTTGGAGGCTCCGAGCATCAGAATTAAAGAAATATGAAATTTAAATAGTCTTGATGTTGGTGACTTGGTGCCAATGATGTAATGATTTCCTTTGTGATATTTGTATGACAGCAGCATTATTTAAATTATCTGTCTATTGTTGAATTGGCAAGTCAGGTAGAGATTCGGGTCATAAACTGAATTACTTAGTTGTCACTTTTTGCGCAGGTCAAATTTCACATTTTCTCTCACCAGAGGTTATATAGATCTTGCAGCAGTCCGAATGTTTCTTCTGCCCTTCATTTAAACCTGGAGCAGCTTAACAAGTCACTGACTACACTGTTTAATCTCTATGAAGCAAATGACACATCACCAACTCATGAGAATGAAGCTGAATTTCGCTCAATTTATGTGCTTCTCCAAATTCATCCTGACAGCAAAGTAAAAGCTCCATCTGTCATTTGCTGCTACTAGGGTAATTCTTTTCATCTTAATATGGATAATATTTACTTTCTACACTTCGTAGGGGGAACCATTGTCTCTATGGTTTCGTGGACTCCACTCCGCCGTCATGAAATCCAAGCCAATGCATTTTGCCAAAGATATTTTGAGGTATGGTGAAGTTGGTGGATTCTTTTGCTTATAATCTGCCTTGAAGACATTCAAAAGCATACTTAGACAGAATTCAGAGTGGACGAAATAGAAAAACAAGAGATTTAAGCTACAAAAGTCTGAATCCCTTTTCCCACTCTTGTGCATTTGCAGATATTTTCGTTTGGGCAATTACAAAAGGTTTATGTATACTTTGGAGACCCAAGCATCCGTGCTCCAGTATTGTATTGTTGAGCCTTGCATCAATGAGGTTGTCTAGTTTAGTTATTTATTTTTTCATTTGTTTTCTATGCAATATGTATAGTTAGTCAACTTCATGTTTTATTCTGGAAAAATTGCTGGGAATATCTTTTTATCACAAATATGTTATTTTCTTGAATTTGAGTCCATTTTCCGATTAGTTCCTTATATTACTGATGTATGATAAATTATTTCTGTATTCGTATCAGTTTTCGTTTCTTCAATTTAGCATTCACTATGCCAATGTGTATCTGGAAGTCGTCAATTTCTGTAACAGTCATTTAATATGCTTGATCTGAAATTCTTTGGTTGAGTTTAAATTGCCAGTATGCTCATTGTCAATTGTTATCATGTGGTATCTGTGAATTAATACGGTAGAATTTGATCACTTTCATTATTTACTTTTTTATGTATATTTCTTTCAATTTTGCTTTTTGTCCCTTTTACAGGTTAGAGCGTTAGCAGTATGCTGTCTCAATCAGGCAGGATACAAGCTTCAGCCCATTCCGCTGGAAGACCTATCCAATATTTTATCGCTGGAGGTACTCTTTCTATTCAAATATCTGAAAAGATGCATTCTGTTTACAAAAAAGTTAATTGATCTTCATTTATGATCGACTAGGAATCAGATGTTGAATCGTTCTGCAATGACTGTGGTCTTCATATAACTACTGATGAAGTTGGAAACAAGTTCTTAACACCTAAGCAGTCAAGCTTTCGCCTACCCAAAAGTGGGCTTCAGAAGCACTACCCTCTATGTTTTGAAGGGTTAGCGAGGTAGATAAATAGCTCTACTTGCCACTTGTATTTCCATTCGCTCACTGTGAATATATGGATAAAACTAAGCTTGAATGAGGGCATGAGGCAGTAAATTGTAAATTGGCTTCTTGCTTTGTCCAGTTAATTATGTTAGGCCAGTGATGAATTTTGGTTTTTCTTTTTCTTTTTTTTTTTTTTCTTTCCCAGGTATTCTGTTGAGTTATTGCATATTTGAAAATTTCGAAGTGAGACTATTTTCTTGTCCAAACTCACCTTGAAGTTCTTCACAAAGTCTCAAGGTAAAAGCTGGCTCTGTTGTTCTCTCTTGCATTCTAAATCAAGAGGAAGCAGTAAACTGCATAGAAGGATTTAAGTTGTTGGGGCCGGATTCTTAACCGAAGCAAGTGGCACCAGCAAAAGCTAATCCATTGACTTCTGATTGACAAGTTGGGAGAAAGAAGCGGAAAGAAGGGGAGGGGGATTGGATGAAGTTAGAACTCAACATTCTTTGTATTTTTCTTGAAAACATGCAGCAAGTAGAATGCATGGTATTCTGCTCTATCTATGTTTTTTCCCTTTAGAATCTATCTCGTTTTAGAAAGAGGAAAAAGATCATCCTATCTATATATTGTACATACCAATATCCATGTTGCCAATCATCAATGATGAAATGCTTTGCCTCTCATACAAAGAAGAACCTATCTGCGTATTGTGCAATTTCCTTTCTCTCTCTTTTGTATACTCTCTGTTGAAGTACTTACTGCTTGCTAATGTATGGACCAAATTCTGGTCCCTAACCTAGGTTGAGCTATATTAGCGATCCGTAAAGATTAAATGAAAAACACTCAACATTGAAAATAACAAAATTCATTAATTTAAAATGATGGAATACAGGATCATGATCACATGCTAATGATCTTTCTCTTTTAGAGGAAACCATTAGATACAGAAATCATGCTGTCAGAGTGCTAAGTGTAGCAAAAACATGATCTGACAGCACCAAAACAAATCTTAACTGGAAATTGCAAAAAGCAATAGAGGACAAAGAATCAATTTTGATGATTGAAATAGAAGAATCTAAAGGTCCTAGCATCGAGGAAGATCAGCCGGTGGAGGCGTAACTGTCTCGTATTCCCCTATCCCATTTTCAACCAAGAATGCCATTCCCAATCCCCAAGCCAGATGAGCATCTATGTGACAGTGGAACAGCCAAACTCCTGTTCATTTATATTCATGTAAAAATGTCAGTGACATATTCTCAGTCGAACAGGTAATATACGGGTAAGAATTTTGTTGCAGGATATATAGTTAGGTTCTGATCACATATATGTACCTGGATTATCCGCCACGAATCGGATCACAGCCCATCCCCCAACTGGAACATCAATGGTATTCCTTGAAGGTGGATCAAAAAGGTTGAATCTTTGAGGATCTGTTTGTGGGTTGAAGTTCCCGAATCCCTGTGCTACCACGTAGAAATGGTATCCATGAAGATGAATGGGATGGTCTTCTGTGGAGAAGATGCCCGTGTCTTGCAGCACAATCTGCACGGTTTCGCCGAATTTCAGTTTGTACAGTTTTGTCCCGAATCGAGGTTGCCATAATGCCCGGGGAACATTGCCAGTGTAGTTAAATTGGACAGGTGGAACAGGAGGGAAGTCTGTTGTGAAGATCCCAGGGATGTTGTTGTAGTATGCTTGCAGTAAGGAAGCCCTCCTCGGGAGCACGAATGATACATTGTTCATGCTGGCTGCAAACCTCGTATTATTCGGCCCTTGACATCTAGGTCCTGGATTGCAATTTACAAAGCCTAATCCTACAGTGAAGAATAGGCTATGATCAATCTTCAAGGGGACTTTTGACTCTACTGAAGGAATGCTCCTTAGTTGGTTTTCAAAGACAGTTGCAGTATTTGTGTCGTTGAATGCAGGCAATTGAGGCAACAGAGGTCTTGAGGCAGAGGATCCTCCTGTGGCTGTATTGTATTCAAGAATAGCAGTGGTTGTGGTGTTGTCGAATGGAGCGTTTTGTGCTGTTGCATAAGCACGCGCGGCCATGTAGTACCTTGCCGGAGGTTGATTGGCAGTGAGAAGAACGTCGGTGGTTTGTCCAGGTCCAACCATGATAACTCGGGTTGCAAACTGCTTGTGGTAAACAGCATCAGCTGCTACAACCGTTAGCTGGTGGTTGGCGACCGTGAAGAAGAGTTGTTGATTCAGCGCAGCATTGATGACTCTCAGAAGAACCGTTTCTCCTGAGTTCACATGGATCTTAAAGGTACCTAAATCGCCACATTTTCACGACTGTCTGTTTAGCTATTTGTATTTTTCATGAAAAAAAGAATAAAGATGATTAAAAAAAACATGTATTTACCTTTACTGGAACAAGGATAAAGGTCACCAGGTTGCCCATTGATGGTATAAGCATCTGATACATTTGGGGCAGCTCCAGTAAAAATTGTCTGTCTCAGGATACTGATTATATCTCTATTCCACCATTCTCCTGCTCATTTTTATCAGTTTTTTTTGGCATCAGATAAAAGTTTTTTGTTGCTATGGCAACTTGGCAAGTGCAGAATCTTAAAATGATGATGAAGACGTACCAAGAACGATAGGAACTTCACGCGTGGGCTGTGGAAAAGGGTATGGAGACCCAACCTTTGGCCGGATGACGAGGGCTCCATAGACAGTTGCTCTGAGCCATTTGCTGTGAGCATGCCACCACAAGGTACCCTCTTGATTTATAATGGTGAAACGGTAAGTATACGTTGCTCCTGGTTGGATAGGGCACTGAGTTACATACTCAGGACCGTCGGCCCATGGTGTCCCTAATTGGCGAATCCCATGCCTGACAAGCGACATAAAGTGTTCATTATCCTTACTTGCAAATTTGTGTAGAAGATTGAAACAAAAGATAGCTTACTTTTACAGTTCGTTATAATTACCAGTGAAGGGTGACATTGTAGCGAGCTCTATTTGTGGCTTTGATGACAAGAGTATCTCCATTTCGCACATTCAGGGTTGGTCCTGGGAATTTCCCGTTCACTGTGATTATGTTATGTGTTCTGCACAACCTCTTCACTGGCTTTGCTTCAATCTGTTTGTGGTTTCACCATAAAAGCGAAATTAGTAGAACATTAATCATGAACAGAGATGACAGAAAATAACAATGGCTCGCGGTAGATGGATACATACAACGAAATCATGGTAGTGAGTCTCTCCAGCTGGATGTGCAAATGTTACTACAGAAAAGCTAAGCAATGCTGCAATGCTGATTAGCAAAAGGCCGCCCTTTAGACCCTGCATTGTATTATGTTCTTCTGGTTTGCTATACTAGATAATCAAAAGAGGTGGTGAATGTTGCATGGCTGAGTAGCTCTATATATACTGATGTAGTTAGGTTTAATAAAACTTCTGGGAGATTGAGGTTCAGTTAAAAAATTGTTTGTTTCATGGTCATTGGCCAAATGCTTTTATTAAAAGAGAAGAAAAGGCTAGGTTGATTGGGTTAGATTAGGTCAGGGAGTCAACAAGAAGCCCTTCTTTGATTGATAATGGAAAATTGGAAGAACTTTAATAGCAGGGGATTTGGTTAGGCATTATGAAATTAGGGTTGTTAAACTAAACATCATGGGATTTTCAAGTCTTAGGTTGTCTAAAAGGATATTGTGTATATTATATTTGTTGCAACAAATCAACTCCCTGTCTTCGATTTGGTACAGAAAAAGAGAGTTGTTGCAAACGGTTTTGTTTTTATTCTGTACCTCTACTGAGAAGAGCTTGTAGTGATGTCGCTCGATTGCAAGTTTAATATTCTCTTCGTCTCATTTTAATTGGTTATTTTGTTGTGCCGGACAGTTAAATTGAGATGAATGTAGTACTTGTGAGCATGCATCTCACTGTTCTAACAAAATAATAATCATAGAAACATACTCCCTCCAATCTTTATTATAAGGTATTTTGATTTGTCATAAATTTGTCTTAAATTTAACTTAGGATGTCTTTTTAATTGAAATAAAAACCTTAAAAATATTTTTTAATATTTAGAAGAATACGACGAATGTAAAAATATATTTTTAAGGTTTTTTTTCTAATTAACGCATCTTAAATGAAACCTAAGACAAAATCAAAATGCCTTATAATAAGGACTGGAGGAAATAACTTCCAAGAAGTTGAGACTTGTGAGAACACAGAATGGCCAACGAGCCGCATGCAATATTTGGCCATTATTATGAACTAAAATGAGTTCATCAAGTTGAAAGATCAAATTGAAGTTCAAAAAAAAAAAAAAAAAAAACCTAATGGAAAAGCGATTCCTTGTTGAGGGATTAACTGAGACCATTAAACCATTCTTCATAATATAACAGTCTTGTTCATAATAATATAACCAGAACAACCATCTCGAAGAAATAAGACTCATGTCTTTATGTCAAAGTTCTTCAGATGAAACATCCCCTTGTGCTGGCCACAGTGAATGCAACATCAACAAATCAAGAATCATGACGATGCATAATTTTATCCTGCAGACCACTGTCACAGTAATCTGTAAACATCTGGACTAATAATAAAGTTTGAAGTTACCTTCAAGGTTAGTATTACTATTTACCAAGTCAGTACAATTGAAAAAAAAAAAAAAGTTTGGTTAAAAGCATATTCCACATCCAAATTCTTGAAAACCAATGTGAAGCAATTTCATATACTGTATATGTGGCCTAAAAGGCTGTTAACTTTCATCAATTTTTCTTCTTTTTTTTTTTGGCAAATCTGTTTTTTTTTGCAAATCTGGTTCTATCAAATAAGTTCTAGTAGGTAATTAAAAGCCTCTTCTCTAGTATCCTCCACTTCAATAAATTCACTAATTATTTACCATCACTCTGAGTCGTTGCGAAATTCTATTGCCCCAAAATAATAATAATAATAATAATAAATAAAAATCAGTAAATAAAGGTTCAAGAGTTCTGTACAGTCACGCAAAACCTAAAAATAAACAACAAAGGTGGGGTTTTAGTCTTTCAGCGAGTATTTCTTCCCAGTAAATGCAGCAAACTTCACTTCAGCCTTCTGGGTAGAATCTTCCTGACGCTCCTTTGAAACAGCAGCCTCCTAAAGTTCATAACAAAGTGAAAATTATCAAACCAATTAGTACGAGATCCGTACAAGACTGTTGTGACATTGGAATTTGTAAAATTGTAAATGGGATGATTAAGGCTTAAAGACAAAAGAGGCTTTTAACCACCTTTTGTTTTCCATTTGAAGGACGATCCGTATTTGAACCAAAGACGAGCTTTCCTGCGTGTCGGCGTGAGCTTGAGTCGGATGAACTTGAAACATCAGTCCCACCAGTAGTATTTTGTTTGACAGGAGTGGAAGTTGATGGAGAGGATTGAGTTTGTGCTGCGGTTTTCCCATCCAAGCGTCTTGAAAAACCGCTAAATGGGCTAAACTTTGGAACTTTCTTAGCCGGATCTTCGTCCACTAAAAAAGATATGATTTACAAACAATTCTGAGATACAAATAACAATAAGCAAAGTCACTCTCAGAAATAGCTCAATGTTGAAACAAACCTTCTGGTGGTGCAGCCCTCTTCACAGGCTGTGGCTTCTTTTCAGGTTCTTTATAATCCAGGGGTGGTGCGAAGTCAACCTCACAGTCTGTTTCAATAATGCTAATTGCCGAGGAAGGCTTGGTTTCCACTATATTTATGTAAAACTTTTTGTTGTTATAGGCAACCATGATGGTATCACCAGTGGTTAAACAAGAGTAGTTCCTCAGTGTTGTCTCCAAGCTTCAGATCAGGAAAGAGTAGTTTTAGTAAGAAAAGAAAATGGTATGGACAAAAAGACAAGGCGGGACTGAATCATAATCAGTAATAACCACTAACATTGCTTTAGGGTTGGATACATCTAGAAAGTCCATAGTGTGAGGCTGGAGCTTCACATATGTTCCCTTTGATAAACTGGCATTCTTGATGTGCACGATGTCACCCTCTTGAAGAAGCATATTCTCCATCATCTACGTGGATAAGGTAAATCAAAACAACTGAGAGTCCAATTGCACAGATGAATAAGTGTAAAGACAAAAAAAAAAAAAGGTGCATGCAACAAATTACCCAATATGGAAGGTATATCATGCCTTCATCTGCAACAAATTCTAGCACCCCACAATGAGTAATTTTACTTGAAGACGGATTTGTAAGTTCGAATAACATAGGATAGTCAATCTGCAAATAAGCTGCAGTAAGAATGAAAATAACAGTGTATTTTAGCTCAGCATTTAGTCCAAGAATATCCAGATGAGCAGTGGAAAGAAACAGTGAAACTAAATGAGAGTAAGAGTAATTTTGCACACCTAACCGATCGAGAGCTGATGGGGGCATTATAACTGCGGAAAGAACAGATTTTTTGTGAATATTTAGTCTAGCGGAGTACAAGTAAATGACAGAAAGAGTGCAGGTTAGTAAGTGAGTCAACATACTTTTGTCGCCTTTTTCAAGATGGGACTGCAATACAGAAAACAGGAATTAGTATGCAAGTATCAAGGCAAAACTGAATGGTCAATAACCAAGGAAACTAACTAAACAAGAAGTGCATTCTTCAGTAACACCATGCACCAAAAACATCTTAAATTTGATGAACATGCTCAATATATGTTTCCAGTTACTCTGCAAGTATCCAAAAAAAGATTCAGCTAAATTCAGACCTTCTCGATGAAAGAAACAGGGTAACAACGGTAGTTTTGCGAAAAGGTTGAAATGCCACCGCCATTCTCATCATCATTCTGCATGAACAAGAACAACGTTTAGCAAAATTGACAAAATAGCAATAGCACTAACAAAATGGCAACAACTTTGACATGATTTTCCTATTTTCTCATTATCGAAGACTAACTTTCGCCCAATTGGACATTAGTCTTCTACAGGTCATAATTTGGTCGAGAAAATTTATTACTCTAATATCCAATGAAAATTGATACTACTTCAGTATACTATGTCGATGGCTCATAATAACTTCCACTGAAGAATAATTTCACATACAAGCTCTCCAAAATAAACTATAGAAGACACAATAAGGATAACCATACCATGGTTAAAAAACGTGATGATTAGGCACTCAGAATGCCGACGGAAAATCTGTCAAAAGAACATAATCATATAAAACAAGGACATCAATAAGCAATAAAATCAATTGATACAAAATAAATCTCCATACAATCCAACAAATAACACAAGAAACTGGTTCAAGAAGAGAAGTCTATAGTACCAGAAAGGAACAGATTAATGGAAAACAGAAAATAAGTTTACAAATTGCCTTTATCTTCAATGTCAAAGCATCCAACTTTGGGACGGATTCAATTTGAGCTTATATCAATCTCAAGTGGCAAAACATAAAACTAGCTTCTACATTTTGATGCAAATACCAAAGCATTCAGAAAGCAGACACAAAGATTGCCACTTTCAGACTATATATAGGTGAAAAGAAGGAGACCCTCGATTCAATTTCAGATTATATAATTAATTAGCCCAAACACACAAACAGCTCTGCTCAAATTGATGCAATCCAGAGAAAGAAACATCAAAAAACAAGACGCAATGGTTGCCACTCTCTGTGATCCTATCCAATCCAATCTTTTAAGTGAAAAAAAAATAGTACACCCTCGATTCAAATTCAGTTTACAGTGATCTTAAGTCCTCCAACACACACAGCTAACGATCATATTGATTCATAAAGTACACAAAGAGATTACAGCCACTTTTTTGTGATTCCAGTATCAAAACAATCCAACCTTTTTAAGTGCGAAAAAAGAACAGCAGACCCGCAATTCAATTTCAGTCTACAGCATTCATACGTCCCAAAACACAAAGGGATTTGATTACATCAATGCATAAAATCAAAGAAGAACGACAATCTCACCGACCTTTAAGCGGCTCTTTTTCTGCTTCTGCAGTTGATGACGACAATATCGACTGAAGAAGAAGAAGATCACACAACTCCAGGGGTCCTGTTTGTGTGATAGGAAAGGTGAATAATAAAAAGGAATCATATTTTTGTAAAGATTCGATCTTGGACACTTGACGTAGAAAGATCCGACGGTTCACATTGCCCCATCTCATTAAAGGAAAAGGTCTTGAATGTAATTTTGGAACGGACTCTTTACCCCTTTTTTCCTTTTTCCCGGTTTCTTAAATCCGCTGACACCACAATTTGTTGGGCCCAAAACAAAAACCCCTTCTTTGCCCCAAAAAGAAAAATTGAGTTTTGGGAATTGAAACAATGGCGAAGCGAGAGCTGTCTAGTACTGTGAGAAACTTGAAGGTGAGCTATGTTCAGATTGATTTTTCCATGTGGATTCTGTTTCTTTGATTTGGGTTGCTTTTTGGGTGTATAAATGCTGTATAAATTCTGTTCTAAGTTGGGAATTTTTGGTTTTGTTGTGAAAAGATTTCTAATTTTGCTGAGAAAAATTGCTACTTTCATGGTAGTTTATGCAACGGGTAGCTCAGAAGGAAGGGAAAGCTAAGAAAGAAGAAGAAAAAGATAAAGTAGAAGAAGTCGTGTCCAATGGAATCTTCCCTTCCCGTACTGCCACACGAAAATGGTATCTATAGTTATAGTTATTCTTCTCTCTCTCTATCTTTTGCTTGTTTTTGTTCATGTTTGTGTTAATCGAGTGATTTTCAGTCACTTTCCATAAAGACTATACCAATTGTACTCGTGCCCAAGCATCACTGTGAGAGGATTTTGTTAGTTTTCCTGTCCAGCATATGAGAGATTGGGTAAATAAAAGCTTAGGTAAATTAAAACTGATTTCTATCATCGATATGTGTTTTTGGATGGCTAAAGTGGATTTCATCGGCTGCTGAATTTGTAATGACTTTGAATTCTTTAATATAAATGTGCTCATGTGTTGTAGGCTTACTTTTGAAGATGATTTCCGCCTGTAGAATGGGTTTATATTTTTCCGGTTGCGCTTTAATTTCGAGCTATCAAGGTTATCATGTTTTCTAGGATAGTAGCTTTTTCAGCACAATCACTCCTCTTGAAACTAGAATGGTATTCTCTAATACTTCGGAATGTGATTCAGATCACATGATGTGTATGGAGAACTTCTACTTGAACTTCTGCTTTTGTTTTTACGGCTCTCTTGCACTTGCATTAAGATTCGTACATTAGTTTTTGTCAACAGGTTTCCCGCAGATGTCATCAGCTGTAAAAAATTTAATCAAGTGCTTTCGGTTGTGGAGCCATTGGATGACTGATGTTGCAGTTGCACCTCTGATTACTTTCCTGTTAATGTCTTTGATCACTCTACCATTTTGATGACTTATCTTGCTCTTGTATGAGATGTTGAACTACATCTTCTGTGTCTTATTGCTCTTTATTTTATATTATAGTATATCCCTTTTTTCTTTTCCTGTAATAAGAGCATAGTAATATCCGAATGTATGAGTGGCTATCACTGCTATTCAACTCTTTGTTTTGCTTTGTTTGAAGTTTTATGTTTTTCAAATAACTTGATAATTTAATAACAGCATTATTACTAAATTTTCTGTTGTTGATCCCGATGAGTTTTTGTTACTCTGTTCAAGCTATAAGGTTTTTTTGAAGTTATTTGCAATGACGCTATCTGCAGTGTTATTATTATGGAAGGGGATCCCCATCCTGAGGCAATGAGAGGCCGGATGTCATTTCTGAGCTTTAATCCTTCAGTAGATGTAAGTATAATTAGAATGACTTGAGATTACTTCCTAGTCCAACTGCGATAGTTACTGGAATCCTGGCACTCAGTCTTCTCATTAGAAGTGTTTGTCTTGGTAGAAACTGAACGGTGAAGAGACAAATCCGCCTGAACATGGGCCTGCAGCTACAAGTTCTGCCCGAGAGAGTGAAACGTCAGATAGGTTGGTATTTTATAACTTCAAGGGTTCCTACTGTTCAATTATGTTAGAGTGGGTAAAGTAGGTGTGTTGTTTTGTTTTTCTTGGGGCATTAAGTTTCCAGTTAAGTTTTTGATGGTATTTGTTAAAACAGGAGATGGCTTTTTATGAGATCAAGTTGATTCTTAAGCATATAAATGAAAAATGATCTTTCCTCGTGCATGCCACATAAATAAATAAACACTACCATAGATCTGCAGGTTAAGAATTGGAATTGTCCTTAAACTGGATTGCAACTTAGTCTCTGGAGTTTGGTTGCAGCTCTTGTATTAGTACATAGTACATCTTAATTAGCATTATGAACTTAAAAAATTTAGCAATTTGAACTGTTGTTTAAGATGCCATTGATAAGAAATTCCCAACAATCTGTCAGTCATTTCGATTGCTCTAGTATTTGCTGTTTTGAATCTTAGTTGAACAAATCGTTGATGCAGTTTACCCGACATGCCAAGAAAAGGTATTGAAAATGCTTTTATTTTTCTAACCCAGATGACATTCTTTTGTGACAGGAGAGATATCACCCCACAAGCTAGGCTTTCGAGCCCGCAAGTGCAAAGTATATCCAATAACGGTTCAAATGGGGACCTCAAGCGCAAATCACCAGATGTTTCTAAAGAAGAAGCATCTTATCCGCATAAATCGCCGAAGAATGCTCAAGGCGATCGACCATTACACAGTAATCGCGGTTCTGATAAACAGAGGCTAGACTGGAATGTTCTGAGACCTTCAAAATCTCATAACAAGAAGAAGTGAGGTAATAGTATGAATTATCACTCTTTTTATAATTTGTTTCCATGTATCCTCCTGTTGATTGAGCAAAGTGTAACACCTGAGTAGGGTTTTCCATAGCCAATTTAGGTTTAGGATTTGTGGGGAAGTTTTGATTTTTTCTGTTTTAGAAGTACTTTTTATTGTTTGGTAAAGGATATAAAGTTTTCTGAAGTCACAATCTACTGCATTTTTGGAAGAGAATTTTCAGTTTTTTTTTTTTTTTTTTTCACTTCAAGGTAGCCAGATTCTGAAAGATCAGATATCGATTACTGTTTATAGCAATAGCATTTCATGTTGTACTCAGGCACAATGATGGCACATTGCTGTGAAAGGGTTTTTTATTATTTATCTTTTTATTGGATGAGTACAGTGCTAGTTTGTTCTAAATTATGGGAAGGAGCGAGAACAAAGATTATATAAGTATGCCAATTTGTGTGCTGTACTGGTGAGGAATATGGAGGTTGAGATATGGAGTAGAGAACTTGGTAGCCTCTTGCCAGCAACATTCTACTACTCTCTCTGTTCCAAAATTATTGTCCGAGATTTCACTTTTAATATAATTTGAACTAAAAATGAAAATCCAAACTAGATAATAATTATAAGACGGAGGGAATAATGTTTTTATAATTTAACGGGGGGTTGACAACTTGTTAATAGGATGTGAATAATATTTGACAAATAAAATACAGCTAGTAAATCTGTATATATGTAAAATACAGCACAATTGTTCCCATTCATAGGACTGATATGTATTCTCTCTCTAGTCCTAACCATAAGGGAGTAATACAGAGATGAATCAGAAATGCTCCCCCGTCTATGGTAGTGTTTATGGCCCAAAGAAAACACCCCGAGGGGGAAAAAAAAATTGATGAAAGTGCGATGAAAGCTTTACGGCAACGAAACTCCAAATTAATATGAAAGGTAATTAATGTGATTAAAGTGTTTTTAAATTTTATAATTTTAGGCTAAACATCTCCTTTTTGTTAATTTCACTATTTGCGCAACTCTATAACCAAAGTTTTCCAAAAAGAGAGAAAGAACGGGAGAAGGGCGCATCCGGTAGGAAGGAAGGACCCCACAGGGACACATCAGCAACGGTAAAAGGCGTATTCCCCAAGTTCCAGCAGAGTTGACCGACCCGATGTGCTCACGTGGATATCCCACACCCACACGGAATTTTTATTTTTTTCCTTCTTCCGAAAGGAATAGGAATTAGTTGAGGGACGTCACCGCTTAGGTCATCTTGGACAAGGAAGGGAGAGATTCACGCATCGGATATAATAAAGAAAGTAAAACTTGGGAAAAAGGGATGTTTGGGAAAATGAGAATCTTTGTTGGTGATTTGGTGACAGATTAGGATACAGAATCTACATTGTGACTCGTTTTGTTAATTAATTTTCAGCTGCGATGGAGAATGATTTTTATATATTCATACCTTAAATCCATAATAATATCATCTCCATTTTGATGATGGATGATGACATGACACAGCTAATAAAGCTTCTCAAACACTACTAGAAAGTAGAAATAGAACCCCTCTCCATTACATTCTTGTAAGTACAATTTGGGTTACTAATGTTAGTGATAACTATCCAATTGATTTTATGTCAAACTCTCCTCTTTCTTTACCCACCCAGTTTAACCTAGTATCACTTTAGTTTATCCGACTGGTTTTCTGGACTCATCAACTGTGTTTTCTTTAAACTTTTGCTTCTTCTCAAACTAGTTCAGTTCCATGATATGGTACAACATTCAACGGGTTAACATCTTTCAAATGGGAGATTCATTCTAGTACTCTTTACTCTTTTTTACTAAACCACACACTACATCATTTCATCATAAGTTACTAAAGCCGGTAGTAAGTAATCATAAAGCTGCAAAACTGCACCACTAATCCAAAGAGGAACATTAATTATCTTACACTGCAATAAAACCCAAAGCACCTAACAAAAAGAAAAAAAATGATCCATAATTCTATACACACTGAAGTGTTGCATTTGCACCCAATGCGGAGCTGCAACATTCTTCACGAATAAATATGATCATAATCCTTCAAGTTTGATCCTTCTATTCAAAAACGAGCTAAACGACGTGCACCCAGCCTGTTCTAATGCAGCAGCATCGTTCCATCACCAGATACTATTGTTGCAAGACGGGGGGCCAAAAGCTGCGTCCAAGGCTCTGATTTTCCGCGACATGTCCTTTCCTTTCTCTCATCGCGCATCATCCTTCTTCCTCATCTGGGAGCGGCTCCCAGCAAGAGATTGCTTGAACCACACGTCCTTTCCACCCTTGTAACATCCATTTCCCATCTTCGTCAACTGAGAAATCTCGGTGGTAATGATCCTTTACCTTATCCCTGATATGCTTCACAATCTCCTGATCAAGTAGCATTTGTCTAAACCCTGCTCTCATGTTTCTCACTTGCCATTGCTTATAAGTTTCTGGCCTCTCAACCCTTTCTGTTCCCTCACAAGCTATTACATTCAAGGCATCCCTCGCCAGAATCTCTTGCTCACAAAGGGCTCTTTCCTCACTCTCCCGCAATATAGTCGCATCAAACATATCAAACAACGATGAAAAATGAAATAGCGCTTCTCGGAACCTGGTTACAAAAAAGGGCGAGTTGTAAGTCCCGTTGATAACACTTTGGATGAACACGTTCGGTCGGATTTTCTTGATCAGGCTTAAAACTTGGTCCCTTGGGCAATTTTCCACAACCGTCTCATCAGGTACATTAGCAAGCCTGTCCATACAATTCACCACGAGCACCTCATCTCTATCGATCTTGAAATCCTCGATTTTTATTGTATCCCATCTTTTGGCGATGGCTTCATACTTGAACGGGACTCCAAACCGCTCACAGTACTTCTCTAACCTACGCCCTGTTTCCTCAACTCTTTCTGCTGGCCGGAGACCCGGTTGGGGTAGGTCAATGCCTGTGATGCGAAGATTTGGAGGCCCTCCCTCTCTCATGGAGAGACGCTGGATAAGGCAAGGCCACTGGAAACCATATAAGATGCCAAAATCAATAATGTGAATCCTTGATGCTCCGGCAACTAGCTTCCCAATAGTTTTGTTTGCAAAAATGTTTGAGACCTTCTTAATTGGAACAGCAGCAACGAGCATCTTGTATCCTTTTAGGATATCAAAAGCAGAGATCCTCCTTGTCCTGTAATCTGTATACAATGCCGTTCCAGTGCCAGCCAATCGTGCTTCAAGAGCAATGGCAAAATAATGAGCCAATCTCTCCATGCCATCACCATGAGGTGAAGCATGCTGCCTGATTCGGGCAAGTAACTCATTAGTTGTCCGAACATCATAGCTTGCTACGGCTTGAGCACATTGGACCAAAATACCCCGCAAGTCCACCACTTCTTTTTTGGCACCTTGCCTCTTGCCTCCACGAGGTCTGCCCCTAGAAGACCCTTTCGGTTTTTCAATCAGCACTGGATGGTTCTTGATTGCTTCATCTTTCAAAAAGGGCTTCTCTGATTCACAAAAGAAAGGGTCTGGGTCAATATGCGGATTCAAGCCAGGACAGAGCAACACATTGTCGTACATCTCCTGTGGTACATCATCACTTGAACTTGCCAGCTGTTTACTACTTCTAATCTCTTCCGGGCTGCTATCCTCCCTGGAGTGACTTTTCTTAGTACTGGAACCAGCTGGAGAATGACTATTTCTCTCAACTTTCGTTACCACCACATCAGCATCCCTCAAAGCCCTTTTGCCATATTCAAAATCCGAGCTGGAGACATTGTTAATGCTTTGGGGTACTAAATTAAAAGGACTCATGAAAGAAGAATTACTTGAAGAGGCCTTAATTAGATTCATCAAAGATTCATCCCTCTCGCGTGCGGAGTTGAGGAAACTGTTCGTGGAGCTTAATAACAGCTGATTTGACTGCATAATGGACTCGGGAGAGAGGTCACCAACAAAACCAGAGGGCCTCGTTACAACTGAAGAATGATCATATTGATAATCATGCTCTATTTGATTAGAAACCCAGTTGGACTCCCCAGAGGAAGTACAGATATCAGATGATGCAGTATCTAAACTCCCGGACGGGCTCGCTGCATGTCCTCCATTGGTACCGGGTTCATTAAGCACATCATAGAACGATTTTTCAGCAGCCTGGAGAGCAGAAGAGTCGTGTAACATGCAAGGTTTATTGGCCAAATCATCCTCTTCCATAAGCATCTGGCTAATGAACTTGAGCATGGGATCGGATGGATCTCCCTGCTCATTATGGGGAGCATCAGAGCTAGAAGAAGGTGAAGATGCATCAACAAGCGATTGTGGTGATCCATTTGATAAGTCTGAATAATCCTCAAAGCTACCGGGGACATAGTTGTACGCTCGGACGACTTCATCGTTCTGGATATGATTAAGATGCTGAGGTACAGAGTAATAATTGAAGGTAGCCAAGTAGGGCTCAACAAGAGCATCCATTTATTAAAGAAAAAAAACAACCTTCCGAATTGGATCCTGAGAAGATTAAAAAGACGTACAGAACTATTCATCAAGTCTGGAAATGCAGAGATATATCATCTATGTAAACTTTAGAGAAGAGTACAAGCGACAAAAGATGTACAGTACAGATTGAAAGAACTATAGGCCCAAGACAGAAATGTAAAAATTGTATCTTGTAGAGAGGAAGAAAGAGAACTCAATATGAAAACTAAACTAACATTGGAAGGACATTTTCCATCATCAGAATATAGAAAATCAAACCTTGCAGTGATGATCCCAAAGATTAAGATACCGATTCCAAAAAGAATGAATAAATGCATATAAACTTAACCATATACGAAAAAGAGTTCATTTTTCATCAAAATACAAAACAAATCTTGCTGTTATGATTACAAATATCAAGTTATACAGATTCAAGGAAAGGAGCCGATACCTAAAGGAACTCGAGTACGGAAAAAAAGGGTGGAAACTGAATCTTGCAGGGATAATCCCGAAGATAAGATTCAAACCACGAACTAATTCTAAGAAAACTAACCAATATGAAAGGGATCCAATTTCAACATAAAACTATATTTCTTAAACAACAAAAGGACCCATTCTGGGATGCAAAGTCAAAACACACGAATTGAAGTTCACCAGTTATACTAATAAAAAATAAAGGAAAGATAAAACAACACGGATGGTAGAAGAAAATGATTAGACAAACCTTTTTTAAGAAAGAAAACCAACAGCTACTGAAATTCTGGTGCCGCTCTTCCTCAGGAAGAAAACCCGGAAGTCTGTATTGCTGACTTTGAACAGAATAAACCAAACTAACTGGTTCACTAGTAACAAACAGTTGGGACTTGGGGGGCTAGCAGTACTTATTTGAAGCAGAAGCAGGCTAAAGTGTGAAAGGGGGCAATGGATTGGGATTTTACGGTTTGAAGGGACTATATAAGGAAGAAACTGGATTCAGGGTTTCAGATGAGGGAGGAAGAAGTTTCCAGGAACAAACACAATCCCAATATTTCTCATTCAATTCCTCTCCTCATTTTTATTTTCTGATTGGGGCAAAAAATGGGAGAGGATTTTGGTAAAGAAAAGAAAAAAAAGCTGGAAAAGTGTATGTGAATGAATGAATGAATATTGCGGGATGAGAAAATAAGAAAGTCCGCTGATAATTAAAAAACAATTACTTTTATAACAATGGTCATATATCATTGAATCAGCAAGACTCGAGAGCGCGGGGGCCTACTTCTGCTTTTTGATTTGATTTGATAACCTGCTACCTGCGTAGCCCGGATTCACTCAAAACTTTCATATAGTTCAACAACTCTGTATACTCTTTTTTGGACCGAAAAAAACATTTAGAAATTAATTAAGGAAGCTTAATTAAATAGTCTGAATTCTAATTGTAAAACGTACATTAGAACTATTACTTTATGCCTTATAATTATGACTGCAAAAAACAATAGAAATCAACGGCAAAACCAAGAATGGCTTCAAAAGGACACAAAATTTACAAAAATAAAATAAAATAAATTACAGTTATAAACTTATATCTATATATATATATTTGGAGTAAATGGATGCCTATACTTCCCACTATAAATCATAAGAAATGGCGAGCAAAGAACAGCCTTGATCCCTTGCAAAATAGTGATATTTTCCGACAACAATAGCATCAAGAATTTAAGATTATTAATTTATTAAAAAAAAGAAAGAAAGAAAGAAAGTTCCCGAAGAAAAAGGAAAGATTACAAGCTCCGCGTTAAAAGTTTCAATATGGTTTCAACATGATGTTATAGAGTCGTTCTCCCAAAATGTACTTCTTAAATTATAAGACGTGAGCTTCTTTCTTTGTAACCAAAAAAAAAAAAAATTTCTATATTTTTTTCTATTATTGTCTAATTTAAATTTTCATTTTATTTAAAAGTAGAAATTCAAACTAAATAATTTTGTTTCTCTTTTTAATTACTGAGCCTACCAATTTGACGTCAGGGTCTCTGTAAAAGAAGAATGAACGTCCGCCGAAATTAATATGTAGGAAATAGGTGAGAAGAAGAGTGTGGTCTTGTGGGGGGAGGGGGTTTGATGGCGGCTAGGACCAGACTGAGCCGTGAGTACCCCGGTCCCCTCTAGTTGAGTCCAGCCAGTTGTTGCTTTCACTGGGTGCCGGGCCACTCACATTTAATAAAATCATATTAATTCAGCACTCTGTTGTTATAAACTCATCTCCACCGTCAATTTTTTCCAATGACTTGTCCGATGTTCATACGTATTTTCTTTGTCTTTTTACTAGTATATACTCGATCTCTTTCTCAATTATTGTCCAGTTTGAATTTTCACTTTTAGTTCATTTTATACTGTAAATAAAAATCTAAACTAAACAATAATTTTAAGACGGAGGGAGTATTTGATTAAACGGATAACATTACACTCTACAAGGAAGAATATCAACCGTTCAATCGGGTCGATCAAGCTCTCTCGGCTCTAGCTTTTAATGCCATCCACTTGCATCATGCGTTGCTATAAGATGTACTTGTGATCCTCTCTAATCAGTCTACGTACAAACGCATTGTTCATACGAGCTACATATATGGAGCAAAACTTTTATACTCCCTCCGTCGTATAATTATTGTCCATTTTGAGTTTTCATTTTTAGTTCAAATTGTATTAAAAGTGAAATCTCAAATTAGATAATAATTTTGGGACAGAGGGAGTACGAAATAAGCACTACAAGATGATATTATGACTTGCATGAGGACTGTATAGACTGGTGTAAGAGTCAATTGCTCGGATCAACCAACAATGTCAATTAGGAGATTCGCATACTAAAGATGGGGTGCAATTTATCCAAAAAAAAAAAAAAAGATGGGGGTGCAAGTGCATGAAGAAGTGGTGGTGGTCTTTGGTAGTGCTTTCGTTTGATTTGGATGAATAAATTATGATTTATGAGTACTGTCTGTGCTGGTGAAGTTGTAAAATTCAAAGCTAGCTTAGGTGGTCAAACAATTCTTTGACCACACTCCAATTATTGAGCAGTCCTACTTCAAAAGGTTGTTTGTCCAAGGAAAAAAAACCCTACCTAATTCTTGATAATTATTACTTGCTAATTAGTTTCTTGTGGAAAATCCAAAAGGAGAAAACGTTTTAGAGATTGTATTGGACAAGTCAAATTAAATGTAGGTGCATTAGTACGGGTTTCTTGATTAATATTTTGGAAAATATACACCTTAGATGTTGTATTCTTAACAAGAAAGTTAAATTGAAGGAATATTCACTTTTTTAAAGTTGACTTTTTTTTAATTTTTTTTAAAAAATTATGGCCAAGACTTGAAGAAATCAATCCTTAGTCGCGGGGTGTGGTGTTTCAAACCCACAATGACTTTAATCATAACATCAACCTAAATGATCAAGAACAAAATGAGTGAATTCATATACGTATATTTAATTTACATTTCTACATGCTCTCATTCATATATATATGGCTAATAATGTCTATTCCCATTTCCTAAGAAGACAATTCAATGTACACGAAACAATAATTCTTAATATTATTATGGTCACTGTCAACGGAGATTTAAAAAAAGAAAAAGAAAAAAAAAAGGAAAAGTCCAGCCAATAACACCAATCGAAAGTGATCGTAATTAAACCACTAATGATGATTCTCTAATCCGACTAATGTTTTTTGACATACTGTAATAATAATTCAACATAAAAGTACAATTAAAAATTAATTTTACTTATAAATCACTATATTATATTATCTACATGATGAACCAGCTGGTCAAGAAGACATTTTAGAAATTAACGTGTCGCCCAAGTGCCTATCAATTCTCAATGCAGGTCACTTTCTTGATCACTAAGGAACGAGACAACAGAAAAATACAAAAAATATTAAAGTCTTTTTTGGTTTTATTATGCAATTAAATTAAAAAAACTTCCCTCTCAGCCAAGTAGTATTGCTTTGCGTTGCGATCAATCAAGTCGTCACTACTCGGATCACCAGTCACGATTTGTTGTTTTTCCCCATTAGTATTTTTTAAAAATTTATAATTAACGACTAACCAAAGTAGTGGTTGTGTTGGAGTGCAAGGCACTCATCCACCCTTAACCATAGATCGAGGAATCGAACCTCGACATGGGTATGAAACAACTTTAAATATTTTGACCAACTGTCCCATCTATCGAAATGCCTACAATTCAGCAAGAGGGATTAGTCACTGTTACCAATGGTGGACATCCTGTAAATATAAAATAATAATAATAATAATAATAATAATAATAATAATAATAATAATAATTTCTTTGACTGACATGAATTCTTTTCAACAAAGAAACCATCTTGTTATTTTTTTATTTTTTATTTTTTATCTTTTATGTAATTCAACGTTCTTCCGCATCGTGCATGGATGTCGTTGATTCCTTATTAGGGTCGTCATCGAACGAAAAATGTGTATCCAAGTCCAATCTTCTTTCGTTTCATGATACATGAACCTCACGCGTGTATTAGATATGTTCTTGCAATCCTTCTTTAACAAACAAGCTAATTATGTTGTTTTCGACGATAATTTTTATGTTTTTCTTATAAGTACAGACAGGACAATTATTTAAAAATGGAAGACTACTATCTCTAAAAAATATTAGACATATGAAACTATTTTGAATTGCACGTACAAGTATTTGCAACAAGTCAATATCTTAATTAGCCTCCAATTGTAGATATAATTTTGACTTATTTAAAAAATATGATACTCTCTATCCCCTGAAAGAATTATTTTATTGCATTAAAACGATATAATAAAATTGGCTATTTTTTGTTGAGACAAAGAATCCACATCAGTGTCGTAAAGGATCTGTCACCTGCTTATAAGTGTCGAAGGTCACTCCACTTATTGTCATTTAGTTTTGAGATAGGAGCCCAAAGTAACTTTGACATTTTTTAGGAAAGGAGTATAAAAGCAAGTGAAAGTTTATTATTTATATACAAGTTAGATGATCAGATCTAGCTGACATGAGTTTGCTATAATGTCAGGTGTTTTCCATTTTTCTCTCCCTCCAATGAAGCTTAATTAAAAATGGATTGTCCAAATGTAAGCAGGCACATAAAACCTTACCTAATTGATTCCAGAAAACTAAAAAGACTTGTTTGTGTTTGTGTAGATTTATGCAATTTATTAAGGTAAAAAACAATGATTTGCTCAGGAGGATGCTAGAATATAAATCAGATTCAGAAGAAGAAGACTTTTTCTTTTTGTTTGATGCACTAAAATAAGAAATAAAATAGAAGAATGTAAAAATGAAGTGTTTGGCATATTCGAGGGTGGATTCATGAATTTAGATGAAAAGGCAAACCTAAAGAGAGATGGCGGATTTGAAAACAGTCAACAAATTGTGGAACTTACTGGGAACTAAAGAAACAGAGCTTTTCTATGGGGGGGAGTTAATCTGGTCCTGCGACTTTTCTTTTTTGGCATTAATCTATGTAGATAATGACAATTTTGGGTCAAACACCTGATTACTACTTACTAAAACTTTTTCCATCTTTTTTACCAAATCGTGCTTTCAAGTTTCAACTTTCAACGATGGTGATCACACCTGACACCACATATAATAAAGTAATTGACCACAGTAGTTCATAGAAATTCTTTAATTAGACATTATTCTATTACGTTAATGCATTTTTATTTTTATTTTTTTTTTTGCTCGTGTGATGGAAGATCGCCTTTTGTAATTTTACTTTCCAAGAGTAGTTCTACATCCGTCCCATAATTATTTTAGGGATGTAGAATTCGTTTTCTCTTTAGCCATGTTTTTTTGTGTTAGGCTCGATACTTAATTTTTTTTTTTTTGATTATATATAGTTTCTGAATGAAAATGTAAACGTTTACAAACTAATAAATTACGATAAATGGCTTAATCTTATGTAATGCTTGTAATAAATACATAAAAAGTTGTAGTATTTTCTCACTTCAACACGACCCCGAGCTAAAAGCATTTGAGAAATGAAAGCTATTACTACTTTATTTCATCAAAAAGACAAAAAAAACTTTCGAATATGTTTGGATTGTTTTTTTAGTGTATATTTTTAGGTGCTTTTCGTATTGAAAATATAAAAAGGTGTGTTGGAAATGGAAATTAGTTAAGGACAAGTGAATATTATGTATTTTTATAAATTTATATGGGAAAGTGGGCTCGTTCTACTAAACAGCTAAAGCTCTCCTGTTAACATCAAGCAGAGATTGAGTTGAAGCCCAACTTATTGAGGGCCAAAACCTAATACTACTCAGTCCTAAGCCTGCAAAGCATATAGTGTCTTGACTGTCTGTAGAATGTAACTATAGAAGTCCACTCACAAAGATTGCTGAATAAGAGAACTTTCCCCCAACGTCAGTAATGAAGAAATAGCATCTGAACTAAATCAGGATCCTGTCTGCATTCATGCCCACAAACTCATTGATTACCAACTTTTAGAGAACTATTTTTCGAGGACGGAGGGAGCATAAAATCTAGCTATTAAAGATACATTTATGAAGTTATAATTAATGAATCGTCAGGTCAAAAAAAGAACAGGAGAAGAAGCTTTTGAATGAGCAGCAATACTTTGTTGAATTGCAGACTGATAAAAATCAACAACCAGCTGATATATTTCACATTGCTTCATTTAAAGAGGAGAATCAAACCCCCTGATCGGACAATTAATTGCTGATAAACATATTATGTGTGTGCTCTCAGAGCAAACAAAGCTAAAAAAAGCTCTGTAAATCACATCAATCATGATCATCAATGAACTAAGGCTTGACATGACACGATGATGACATATAATTCGTAAAGTCAGCTCCACATTGCTATATAAAAGCTAATCATTTGGTGTTTTCAGAAGGTTTCCAACATGACAGAGCGTAGTGAACTCTCCCCTTCCATCCTTGCAGGATCCAGTTATTACATTCATCCACCAAAAACTCCTTATGATATCCCATTTTGGTCTTGATTTTCACTTCCCTCATGATCTCAGCATCCAACGGCATTGGCCTAAATCCAGCCCTGGAATTCCTCACACTCCACTTCTTGTAACTATCAGGCCTCTCTATCCTTTCACTGCCTTCACATGCCACCACGTTCATCACTTCCCTTCCCATCACTTCCTTCTCAAACATCATCCTGTCGGGATCTTCCCGCGGCAACGTGGCCTCAAACATGTCGAAAAATGAAGAAAAATGGTACATGGCCTCCTTGAATCGAGTCTCGAAAAATGGGGCGTTGTAAGTTCCATTCAGGATTCCGTGTACAAAAACGGCTGGATTCAGGCGTCTGATCAGGTTCAGGACGCAGTCCCTGGGACTCAAACCTGGATTCCCGTTGCCCTGGATTGTTGTTATAACTTCATCAGGGACATTTCTCATCCTGTAAACACAATTCACAATCAGTGTTTCGTTTCCATCTCTGTCAATCATCAGATCATCTTCAGTTATAGTTTCCCATCTCTTTGCAATCGCGTGGAACTCGAAAGGGACGTTAAACCGCTTCGCGTAGCTTGCCAAGCGACGCCCTGTCTCCTCGATTCGCTCAGCTGGACGAAATCCAGGCTGTGGGAGATCAATTCCAGTGATTTTGAGCTTTGGAGGTCCTCCAGGCCTGAGGGAAATTCCATGTAACAGACATGGCCACTGAAAACCATACAAAATACCAAAATCAATTACGTGAACCCTTGCCGCATCGCCTATTGTTTTCGCAATATTCTTGTTAGCAAAAATGTTGGACATGCGCTGAAACGGGCAGATCCGTAAATACGCCTGATACGCCCTGAGTACATCAAAAGCTGATGCTCTTTTACTTGTAAATGATGTGTACAAAGCTGTACCCATTCCTGTTATCCGGGCTTCCAGGGCATTCCCGAAACAATGAGCCAATCTTTCAGTTGGATCTCCATAAGGCGAAGAATGTTGCCTGATTTTCTTCAACAATTCATTGGCTCCATAATTATCAAAATTTGCAGCTGAATGTGCACACCTTGTTAAGACATCCCTGAGATCAACAACTTCCCTGATGTTCTGCCGTTTAGAACCTGCTTTCGGCCTCCCTCTTTTCGCAGTCGTTGGGGGGACATATTCAGGCTTCTTCAGTCCCTCTTTCTCTGAAGAAAATTCACCTGGCGCGTCTCCTGATTCGCCATAGAAATTAGGATTCCTGCCCGGGCAAAGCAACGCATTGTCATATCCTTCCCTGTTTTGTTCTTCTTGATCAGTTTCCTCCTGATTACACCTTGCGAATTGCTTGCTACATCTTCCATTTTCTTCGCCTGGATCATCGTCGTTGTTCTCCCTGGAACGATGTAAATGATTGTTGCTCTTATTGTTTTCCTGCCTGGAAGAAGAACAGGAAGACTCATTGGAGGAAGAAGAATTACTCTCCCCTGAAGGAACTGCTTTGGAGAGGCAAACTACAGGACTATTCTTGTTAGAACTTAAACTAGGATGCTGACCATCAATCAGGTAACTATCAAAATGAACAGAAACATCAGAAGAAGAACAAGTTGGAGGAGGGCCACAATATGGTAAAAAATGAGGTAATTGTGAATGAATTTGATGCAAAACAGGAGGACAGATTTCAGCAAAATCATCAGCAGGGCTGTTCAAACAATGAATCCCGAAAACGGTAGAGTTAGTAGTAATACTTGCTGTAGGTGCTGGTGTTGGAGTTGCTGGAGGGATTCTTTCAGGAGGAGGTGGTGGATTGAGGGCTTCATAGAAGGATTTTTCAGCAGCTTGGAGGGCTAAAATGTCCTGGAACATGCAGGGCTTATCAGATAAGTCATCTTCTTCTTCCATTAGCATCTGTTGAAGGTATTTGAATACCCCATCAAAGTAATCTTCTCCAACTGGAGAATCATCATTCTGAGAGTTATCTGAAGATTCACCACCTCCATTGTTGTTAGCATGTGTGTTGAACAAATGATATTGATCGAATTGGCATCCACCACCATTTCGGGTTGAATCGAATTGTTGTTGGTGGTGGTGGTGGAGTCCATTTCCAGAAAAGCTGGACAGCCCTCTGAAGAACACATCCATACTCAAACAAGAAAGTTTTCAACTTCAACTGAATTCAAAGATTGGATTTGGAAATGGAGAAAGAAACTGAGATCAGTGGGTGGGTCAATGGAGAGATGATTGAGATATATAATAATATACTGGATTTGCAACTCTGCAAGTACATCTGTTTATTATTATTTACCGGCAATGTGTGGTCCCCGCTCGAGGTATATTGTAGATGTAGTCATCCATGGCCCATGCTTAGTAGCAAAGTATTTCATTGATAATAATATTAAGGAACTACCAACAATATACTTCCTCCATCCCATAATTATTGTCCAATTTGAATTTTCATTTTTAATTTAAATTATACAAAAAGTGAAATATCAAACTGGACAATAATTTTGGGACAGAGAGAGTATTACTTAAAATATATTTATATATATATATATATATATATATATATATATATAGAAAGAGAGATCCAGCGGTACATGAAGATTGGTTTTTGGAGCAATTTAAAATTTCACTAATTACAAGAATATAACATTCTTCCTCACTCAAGTAAGACTATCTACTGAAAATTATAGGTTTTGTTTATATCACTAGCAAAATTCAAGAATTGATCTTCATTAACATACAACGTACTCAAATTCAATTATAAGAATTTGAAGAATGAAGACAATAGGTCAAACTATATTCTAAATTTAGTATAACTTACAAGTGAAGAGAAGAGAGTTTAACTAGATTTATTTGTTTCAGATGCTGTTTTGATTGATCTGAGTTCGAATCGAATAAATCTCTTCGGGATATTTTGAAATTTGGAGGGGGAAAATAACAAGGTTAAGAAAATGTCATCGCCTCATCGGTAGAATAAAAGCTGCAAGATCAAGACAGATTTGGGCTCAGGGATATCTGCAGGGGTAGTGCACCATGTGAACCATACAACAAGGGAGAAAGATAGGGACTAGTAAGAAAGATGTGCCTTTTTGGACAACTACATATTGTATATTAGCACTATAATACTTGCATGGGGAAATTTGCCTTGAAAGTTGAAAGTTGACGCACTGGTTTTTGGCTCTTCCCTGCAATCTAGTATTTCGTCAGTCCATAATTATTGTCTTTATTACTTTCTCTGTCCAATAATTATCGAATACGAAATTTTACTTTTAGTATAATTTGAACTAAAAATAAAAACTTAAATTGTACAATAATTATGAAACGGAAGGAGTACAAAAAATATAATCTGAATAAATACTTTTGAGACAGAAAGAATATACTAATATAAGTTTAAATTCATGGAGTTTTCCGCAAAGTCCACAACTAAGCCCACGTGAAATGGGTATGGGTGTCGGAAATCATCGGACATGTTATCCACCTTTAGCCTGTCTTGGGTTTTTTCTTTTTCTTCTGTGGGGGAAGTAACGGAAATTAAGTTGCATTATTCTTGTACACAACTTGGAGATGATCACCGTTTCAACAAAAAATAAAATAAAATAAATTGGAGATGATCTACACAAACAACGAGTTGCTAGTTGTAAATTTCTAATAACAAGATGTGTTACATTACACACATGACACATGCATTAATTTAAGTATATTACGTCATGTATAAGATAAAATAATATTATAGGATCTTGTAAATTCAAGGGAAAAAAGGAAGTTAAAAACTCAAGACATTATGCACTTTAATACTATATTTACCAGCTAATACTTTTTCATGGGTTGTGTTGGCTGTGTAGTGATATGGAGGAATTATTATCAGTTCAAGATTCTATTTTGGCCACACACACCAAAAAAAAAAGGGGGGTAAAAGACGAAACAAAAATTTTCAAAATAAAAGGTCGAAAAATGAATTATCCAACTATTACCAAAAGGTCGAAATACCAAAATTTTAGCAGCCAAACACCTCTACCCGGAAAAAAAAATCCGGCCGGCCACGATCGATTGACCCCCTGACCCCCCTAATTCTGTCCATGTAACTTATCCATTACATTATTCCTGTGTAGGAGGTGTGTGGCCAAAAAAAAAAAAAAAGAGGAGGTGTGTGGCCATAATTTAGGTATGACTACTCTTTTAGGTTCTCTTTATAACCTTTTTTTTAGGGGTTATAACCTTTTAATTTGTAACACTAAAATTGGATTCTAAAGTTGCGGATTCCTTGGAGATAAATAGATGAATAGACACAATATTCGAAACAAAAAGAATCTAGTACGTTTTCTGGGACTTTCGGGTCACATAAGAATCTAAGGCTCCAGACAAGAGTTTTAAAATGACTTTTAAGCCTAAAAAGTCTATTTAGAGTTTAAAATACGTTTGGACAAAATAATTAAACTCTTTTCTAAACATCAATTTGAAAAAAAGAAGGTTTGAAACAGATTTTTTAGAAAATAGGTAGAGGGTATTTTTCAATTTATTGAAACAGAGTTTTTTTCTCCGTTCGCGGGTCGGAATCCGGGTCAAAGCTGGGTTATGAAAAAACGGGTAACGTATATAAAGGAAAAGTATGTCGTATTCTTTCATTCTTGCCCTAGATCCGCCCCCTTCTCTCTCTCTCTCTCTCTCTCTCTCTCTCTCTCTCTCTCTCTCTCTCTCTCTCTCTCTCTCTCTCTCTCTCTCTCTCTCTCTCTCTCCTTCAGCTGTGCGGCAACCCAGTGACGGCAATAGCGACAGCAAAACTTCCCGTGACGGTGACGGAGAAGTAAAAGGCGACATCTTGTTCTGGTAATCTTTATTATTCCCGTCTTTTTTCTTTCTTTTTTTTATTAGATTAGATTTAGCTTCCAATCACTTCTAATACTTTGATTTACACTCAAATACTTGTTACTTCAGTAGGGATTTGTGTAAATTTTTCATGTGTTTCATTTATTATATCATATTCGAAGTGGGTTTTTGATTTACTTAATTTGTAGCTGAATTTTGGCAGTGGGTTTTTTTTTTCGGGTTTCTGTATTTGTGTTAGGATTTGTTAGGAATCTGGACGTTATTTTTTTGTGGTTTACCTTCGTTCTTGCTCGGTTTGTTAGATTTGTGGTTGATTTGATCTTATGTTCATACTCTCTCTCTCTCTCTCTCTCTCTCTCTCTCTCTCATCCCATGTTTCGAGTTCTATTATTTAGGTTAATCAAACTGATTGATTTGTGGGTTTTCAATCAGAGGAGTTCTCTATATGCTTCAGTGTTCTATTCCGGTAGCTGTTTTGTTCTTATTTGAATTGATTTATATGCAAGTAGGGTTGAGCCGATTTTTGCAAGTTTCTATCTTTTGATTCAGTTTCTTTGATATAGATTATTTTTGAAAAATCTGGGTCTGTTTAATCTTGTTTTGTGGCTCAGTTTCAGTTTTAGTGCATTGCAAATGTGAAAAAGTTTTCTGTTCCAAAATGGTATATTTTGAATGTTGGAAAACAAGATTATAGACCAACTGTACTCAATTATTTACTCTTCCTCTCGTTGGATTTCAGACCCTTGCCAAGCTCAAAGAGGAAGAGAACATGCTGGAAAAAGGAAAAAAGCAGTTGAAGAGGTTAAAATTACATTTTATAAGATGAGTTAATGTTTCATTTATGTAGTTTGTGTAAGCGAATTCATGACAAAAATATCTGTGTGACGATGATGATCGATAGCTTCATGTGTCTTTTACAGTCTATACTGTATACAGGGGGAACTTGAGTCTTAGTTTATTGTAATTCTTCCTTCGTATTGTAATTATTCCTTCTTGCTTCTTTTGTACTTCTGGATTGTATATGCAGTTTTATGATTCGAGTCATGGGATGAGATTAGGTTTCCTTACTTCTTTTCTGTGGTGTTGCACAACTAGGCTGAAACCAGTGAATAATTTCATGAGTTGATGCTTACAGTAATTATATATGTAATTGACCTGCATGTGGAGCTATCTTCTCTAAAATATAGAGTATTCAGGCCATGTCTATCTCCCAAGTTTATCATGCATTTCCCTCTTTTACTTATCTCTTAACAGAATCTGCTTTATCTCTGAGTTGTGATTATAAGGTTATAATCCTTTCAACTAGGTTAATATCAAGAATCAACGTCAGTTGACTTAAATAGATTTTTAGTTGTCTCTGAAAATAGCTTCAAGCTAGCTACTGTTTTGAGCATTGCTTTAGCAGGTTTATAAAGTCCTCTAAAAGTAATTCTTGAACTTCTGCTCTTCCTGTGTTGTTACATGTGTTGTGTATCTTCCTCTTCATGTAGAATTTTGTGTTAGATGGTGTACATGTGCTGTGTATCAACCTTGACATTTGACTTTTATGTCAGTTTGTTTATCTGCTTTCAGGTTGTGGCTGAGCCATCAATTCCTGGGAGCAAAGAATACTTAATCCAATTAAAGGTAATCCCAGACTTGTCAGCTTTAGTTTTCTGCATCCTTTTTTCTCAGCTTTATCTTCCCTATATGTTCATAATTTTGGTTCGAATGAAATCGTGTTTTATCTTCACTTATCTGCTTTTGTTTTTTAGTTTGTGTTTTGTTTTAGAGTTGCAATGGTTTTTTAGTATTGATGGTACACCTACTAAGTTATTAATCATGTTTGTATGGTTTGAGCTTTCATCCATAGGATAAGAGATTATTACAACTCACTAGCTAGTTAATTTATCATGGTTTGGCTGTTTATCATGCATAACTTATAGTATGTATTACGGGACCTTTGATTCAGTGTTCTCTTATGATGGTGTACTAAGTTTAAGGCATTTTCTGCGATCATAATGTAACTTAACAAAGCTTCAGATGTCAGAGATAAGTGAAAGTAGTAGTAACAGGTACAGAGTTTCTCGGACCGTCTGGACTGAAGGAGACGTGAAGCTATTTGTTGACTTATTGTTGGAGTATAAAAGGAAGGGCGAAATGAAGCAGAATAACTTTGGCAAGTCTTGGTCCAGATTACTAAAGATTTTAATACCAAATCAGACTATAAGCAAACCCTTGAGCAACTGAGTCAGAAATTTCATCGCTTTAGAAATGACTGGAATGCTTTTAAGGATTTGCGAGAGAAACACACTGGTCTTAGGTGGGATCACCAAAAAGGAACCGTTATGGCTTCTGAAGAACGTTGGAAAGAGTTAATCAAGGTAATAAATCAAACATATCCTGAGTTAATAAACTATTCTACACTTGCACTAATATGTATAACTATATACATTTAAATGGATACTGCAGACAAACAA